GAACGCTAGCTCCCATGCTTGGGAAATTCGTTTTACATGTTTTAACAAAGGTATGATTTACTTTTGGATGATTTCTTAGCTTTTACTTTAGATAAATTGAACAGATCAAAAGAGGCTTTAGAAAATTATGACTAAGCAATTTAGATAGGCCCAAATATTTCTGACTATTATAATGGCAAAGGTGTAATTAGATATTGATGATTACTTAGCATTGACATTAGTGAAAATGAATCGATACTATGAGGCTTTAGAAAATTACGATTAAGCAATTCTGATTAATTCAAATGATTTTCGTTATAATTTTAACAAAGGTATAATTTATTTGGATGATTTCTAAGCTGCTCTTCTATATAATATGAACAAATTTGAAGAAGCTTAAGAAAATTATGAAATCGGATTTCAGAAAAATCCAGAATATTATGACTATTATTATCGTAAAGGTATAACTAAATATAGTTGATATCTTAGCTGATACTCTAGAGAAAATGAACAGATTTTAAGAGGCTTTGGAATATTATGATGAGGCAATATTGAAAAACCCCACAATTTCAAAGTACTATAGTCGCAAGGGTATAATTCAAAAGAGATAATTTAGCTTTTATATTATGTAAAAAGAAACAATTTGAAGAGGCTCTGGAAAATTATGATATAGCAATCTCAATAGATCCAGAAGATTCCGAAGGTTATTTTGGTAAAGGTATAATACAATATAAATGATTTCTTAGCTAATACATTATCTCAAATGAACAGATTTGAAGAGGCTCTATAATTTTATGAATCAGCAATTTAGAAAAATCCAGAAAATTCAGATTATTGTTATCACAAAGGTAAAACCAAAAATGGATTAATTTATTAGGTTATACATTAAATCAAATGTAAAGATTTGAAGAAGCTCTGTAATGGTATGATTCAGCAATTGAGAGAAATCCAGAAAAATCTGACTATTATAATCGAAAAGGTAACATATAAAATGGATGATATCTAAGCAAATACTTTAGATTAAATGTAAAGATTTGAGGAGGCTTTGGAAGGTTATGATTTAGCAATTTAGAAAAATCCAGAAAATTAAAGTTGTCATATTAACAAAGGTATACACATCAATTTATAATTTCTTAGCTTATACTCTAGATAAATTGGACAAATTGTAAAAGATTTTCAATATTTAGAATAATTCAAATGTTTAAAAGAAATATAATTACAACTTCTAACTTATAAAATAATATATTAACAGGTATTAAGAATTTCGTGATTTGGTTAATGAACATTCTAAATGAATATCGATATATTTTTAAAATATTTTCATCTAAATTAAATAGATATAAAGAAGACAATAATTTTGAGTCAATTTCAGCAATTTTAAAAATAAAAAAAAATATCAACCTTCTAATTTGTACATACAATTACATAATGTTATATTATTTATTTAAATAAAGTTTTTGCTTTATTAATAGGTTGCTTAAATAATACCTTTGTTCAAATAATAGTTCGAATCTTTAGGGTTTTATTTATCTAAATTTTTCTTTTATCTCGTAATGCAATTTAAGTTCTGTATTATATTTCAAATGATTCCATTCTAAACTGATATCTCAAATCCATTATCTTTTATATTAACCTCAAAAGGCTAGAATATAAGCTTTGGATGTCAAAAATACAACATAAGAAAAGTATACTCCACAACTCATGAAACAGCAACTTCCACCCCACTATATCTATCGTTTTTGAGTGATTTTAATTAATTTCTTATTTGCAAATAAAAGTAACTGTATGTACTTTTGTTATAATTAGTGATTTAAATTTGACAATAGTTTGATAGAGAGATAGAATTTAATGGAATTTTTAGAAGATAATTTGATTTTGGCCTATTCTTATTCTTTGATGGCTCAAAACCATATCGCCTAAAAATTTTCTTTCAACCCTCAAGATCTAAAATTAGTATAATTTAAACTTTCATGCTTGATTACCTTTTTCAATGCATTCTTTACCAAATAAGTCATTAGTTAAGTAATAATATTTTTAGTATAATTGCTAAATAATATAAACATTAAACAATAGATACTCTTACTTCTTGATAAGAAAATTTTCAATTAATTTAAATAAAATCAATTTAAATTGCAACATTCTTTCAAATCAAAATCATTCCTTTTAAAATTCTCATTTCTATTTAAACTTATAACTCCTCCCTTACTTGCACTCATTTAAACATTTGTGTTTGAATGGTATTAATAAAATTTAAATTTAAGTTTTCGATGGTTGCATGTCTGAATTTGAATAGAATTTCAATTCTCAGTACTGGAGAATTAGTTAGATGAAAAAATAGGAACTATATCCAATAATAGAGGCTAAGATATTGGACTAAGAATCAAAACAGAGCCGGGAAACTATGAGGAAACAAGTTTTGACTTATAAGTAGCCTCCTTCTTATAGCTAACTGTAGCATAAAGGTCGAGAGAACTTGAGGACGCTTAATTTATTGAGAACGCATTGAGCCTGGCCTAGATGGTTGATGAGGGAAAGGACGACTTTCTTCTTCCATTGAAGATATTCCCCGGAAGGCTGATACCGATTTGCAGAAACCTATGGGTTGAACAACTACCTTAAAAAATTTATGAAACTCAACCGTGGATATCTCAAATCCACCAAGAATTTGGATGGGTTAGGAAGAGAAAGAGCGAGAAAGATGAAAGAGATTAAGACAAAGATTATCTAAGAATTCAAATTGTTGAAGGCCGAGAATGATGAATAAATAGAAAGTGTAGACCTTGCAATCCAAAGAGGCTTCCACAATGAAATTTTATTCGAGATCAAATATTATTATAATTTTTATTTGCCTATTTCCAGAGCTGTTCAAAAAATTGCAATCCCAGCCTGTGTGTAATATTTTGAGGAGGATTATTTTTCCTCTTGGTCCAGAAATATAGCTTGATAAATATAAAAAAAAAATAATAAAAAGGTAAGTAGATTTAATCAATAATAAGATCAATTTAAAAGAACATAGCAGATAATTGAGGCAATATGAGCTTTTCGAAATGATAAAATATATATTTATTATTTTTTAATCTTTAGTTTTTAGATGAAATCTTGATAAAATTAATTCAACTTTATTAAAATTCATAGCTTTGGATAATTACTAGCCCTTGTCATTTCATTCATAATCAATGGTATTTTCTGCCTAAATATTGGCGATAAAAATATTATCTGTAAGAACGTTATAAAAGAGAGTTTGAAGTATCTTAATCTCTCCTCTAGAAGGGAAAGAGATTAGGTCTGAGTTTTGACTTCCCAAAAATATTTGGCATAAAGTATACTTACTCATTTTAGTTACGTCTTATAATTTAATAACTATTAGTTTTTAAGCATCTATTGAATTTCTTTCTTCATTCTCAAATTCGAGCCTATCTCCATTATAAGTTTCTATTAATGATGTTTGCTATATTTCAGTTTGATCAAAAATTCGTTTCATTCCTATTTCATCCCCCTCGATCTTCAGAAGTATTCATAAGAGGATTTTGTTATTCTCTAAGGATTATAGATGAATTCGAAATAGTATGTAAATTTTTATCGCATTATCTTGTTAACATTCAAAGATTAAAGAAATATTGTCGATATTTTTTATACCAATTATGTCTCTTCATATTTTCTTCCAGATTTTCAACACCCAAATCTTTATAGATCTTTAGTTTTTGGTTGTAGATCAATAAACAATAAAGTTTCTTTTCGAAAAATGATTTTAGTAATTTGTATACCTCTCTTTTTCTTTTTGTTTTGACATATACATTTTGAATATCATTTTTCTGGTGTTACTTTTAACAAAGTTTTTGTTTAAAAATTTCCCAATTTTTTCTAGCTTAAGGTATGATTGTCGTCAATTAAATTACAAATTTCAATACTGTAAAATTATATTTTATTACTCAAACTTTAAAGTAAATTTTAAAATATTCTGTTATGAAAAAAATAGACGGGAATGGTGAAAAATAGTTAAAGGATGTTGAAGGGAATTCAGCATCAATGAGTAAAGATACTTTTTATTGTGATAGATTATCCTATACCACTCGAGTTTGATAGCAAAAAAAACCATCCTAATTATCTAAAAGGCAAAAGTAAAGAAAATCAAATTACATCAAGTAGTTATATATGATCATTAGTAGTCCAATAAGATTAAAAAAATCGCAAGCCAGTTTAGGTTAGTATTGATCGCCCTTTAGAAGGCAAAAGATTCTTGAACAAAGAAAAGAACTCATAAAAAATATTTTTATAAGTAAGAAATGATAATGGAAGTGAAAACAGCAGTTGTGAATTAGGAAATTCAAATTCAGATTGCGAATGTGCAAAAAATATGATCCCTAAAAAAAATATCGAAATAAAAATGTATTTAGTTTTAATTTATATAGAAATCGAAAAAGAAAAAAGAAGACTGATACAACTCCATTTTATGATTAAATCATCTACCATGATCCAAGAATGAGGAGGATAAACTTCGTTTACAGTTCATCTGGATCGTCAGATTCTGAATATGAAAGGGTTTTTATAAAGAAAGAAGAAATACCTGAAAAAAAATATAAAGATAAGCCATCAAAAAAAGATCCATCAGAAAAAGAAATCCCATTACCAGAGCACATTCTTGAATGTCCAATTCAGCCCCTTCCTATTCCAAAAGTTGAAAAATTACCAGAAGTGAAAAAACCAAAATAGGAAAAACCTATTAAATAACCAAAGATATAGAAATACCGCCCAAAACCTCCAGAAGAAGAATGGGCGAAATATGAAACCCCAAACGTTGTACATCCATATTAATTAAAAAAACCTTAAAAGCCAGTTGAAAAACAAAAAGACTCTAAACCAATTTATGGGAAACCAAGAGAAAGAGTTGAATTTAAAGCTCCAAAAGTTAATTTATTATTTATTCTTAGGCGTAAGAATAAGCAAATGATTTTATTCCGAAAGCTCTTCCAACTCAAAATGCAGCACCATTAAAAGAAAAACAAAAAAAGAAATAAAAAAAATAGAATCAATCATCATCCGGCTCAAGTTATTGTTATGAGTGTGAGTGCTTAAGCGATGCATGTGATTGTTGAAAATATACTTTGAATTATAATTATTCAGTATTGCTTTAATTTTAAATCAAAACTCAAGAATATTTAAGACTTTATTCATTATCATTAGTTTTTAAAAGAAATCAATTCTTTTAGACATATTATTGAATCTTCGATGCATTTCGCTGATTCTTTCATTCCTCCTAACATGTAAAAACTTAAAAATCCGTGTGACATGCCTTCATAAACAATAATTTTCACATTTCTTTAATTTTTGATTAAAGAGTGAGCTAACCTGTGGGAATGATCTAATAATGGATCTTTTGAGCCAACTAATATTCTTACAGGAGGGAATTTTGAAATAATCTTGAATTTATACAATTTTTACTTCATCACTAAAATGATTGGGGCTTCTAAAAGGGTCAAATTCATAACTGGCTGGATGATTTGTGTACGCATCTATGCAAATATCCATTAATGTATGATTCAATAGAAAATCTTCTAGTCCATGCATATGACTTGGTGAATATTTCATTTTTAAATCTAGCACAGGGTAAGATAGCAGAAGTCCATCGGGCACTTTAATACCAAATTTAATAGCTAATCCTGTTAATGCACAACAAAGGTTGCCTCCTGCGGAATCTCCTGCTAAGATAATTTTTTTTGGCTAGATATTAAAGTGATATTGAAGATGGCTTAAAATCCAATGATAGGCTTGCCAACAATCATCAACTGCTTAAGGATATCTATATTTGGGAGCTAAGCTATAATCAACAGAAAAAATAGGAATTCCTAATTGATTAGCCCATCTAATTTAAAGAAACAGATTACTCTCTTGTGTAATTTTAATGACTAGATGATGACATTGAGATAAAACCTCCTCCGTGGAAATGAATAATTATAGTCTAAAACGTGTCATAATTCAAAGTTTCATTTTTTATTGATTATGAAAAGGTTTACTGAAATTAGTTTGTTTTCACTAAAGATTTTGAGGATAGTATTCTTATTCGTAATTTAGTTTTATCTTTAGTCAATATTGATTTGTGTTGTTTAATATCGTAATGTATAGATTTATTAACATATTCTAAGGGTTCATTGGTTATTTTATTCAGAATCCCTTACTCAAATTGTTTATTCATGTAATTTAGGGTCAGAGGCGAAACAACAGGATCAATGTAAATTTTGATATTATGTTTGATGGAAGTAATTCCAAATTCAATTAAATGCTTAATCCCTGGTTTTTCAACCATTCCCATAACACTCATAGCACTTTCTACTTGCATATCGCACATATGTTCCATAGCTCGTAATTTTGCTCTTCCATCCAATACAAAATACCAAACTGAAGAGAAAATAAAAATGATATCTCTCATAAATGAATTTTTAAATTTAGATTTCTTTAAAAATATGGCGTGACCAATTCTTATGGATTTCATAAAATTATAGTATGATTAAGATATTTAATCCGAGTTCTAACTCAACTTCGTATATGTAGAAATTGCCTTAATTTGCCTCCAAAATAGATGATTTTTATTTAAACAAATTATGTCTTATTGACTCATATCAATAGCTGATGCAAATATTCTCACCAAAATATTAAGATGTGAATTATAAACAACCAATTTTTCCTCTAATGCTTATGAATCATGATTGGAAAGATAATGGTGACTTATTCTAATAATTTATTTTAGAGTATCTTGAGTAAAAACATGATTCATATGTTATAGTCCAAAAAAATTGATATCTTGAATATTTCTAGCTTTAAGCCGAAATTCTTCGTTATCTTAGTATTTTGCTAATAAATCTGAAAATTTTGGGCTCGACTTTTCTGTAGAATCTGCAAAAATTTCTAGCAAAGTTTCATACAAATCTTTTAAAACAACCAAATAGTTAACAGCATATTAAATTCTGTGTATGGTGCAATTGCTTTTGATATATTTATGAATTAAATTGTTCATTAGTTAAATTAGGTCTGATAATGTATTTCTAACTAGTAATATAATTAAGTAATACTCAAAGTGCAATTCAATCTAAACTCATCAATAGTTAACTATTAGTGACTATCTACAGTCATTATTTACTCGAACAATGAATCAACGTGACCCAATAAATTATCTTCTTCACATAAGTTCGATGGCTTATATATTGGGAATATGGCATCCAAAATCTCCTTATCCAATTATTCATAATCGGCACAAAGTTTTTCCATTGATAATAATTAAATAATCTGATAAAAGAATTTTCAATCACAAATTTGATTTCACAAACTTAAATATAATGCTGTTATTTTTTCATTATATCTAACAATATTATTATTTCTTAGACTTTGAGTCAAGCTTAATATTATACTTGTTATAAACTATTATAATTATTTAATGATTAGAGGGACAATAGAAATATTTGTTTATTTAAAAGAGTTAAGGAACATTGATCTTTTTTAACAGGGAGTTTATCAACTTAAGATTTGCATATATAAGAAAGATGATACTTAATTAGATATTATATCAGCTTAACCATACATGACTGTGGAGTAGAAGAGATTTTTCAATAAACAGACAACAGATACTTATGTGTAATCTTCAAAACTCATTGATACAAGCTTTTACAGCAAAGCTTTTATTATTAAATATTGTGATTAAGTTGTAGAGTTAAATGAGGGATGTGTGTTTAGAATTGAAATCCAAGCTTATCCAGAAATGAACCTTAACGAATTATATTGCATTATTGAACTGCATTTTTGTGAACTAAGCACTATAACACAAGAGGATTTTAAGCCAGTATTATTCATTTTGAATTATTAGGATCGATTACAGAATTATCAAAAATGCGTAGCGAAATTTTCAAGCAAATTACACAATGTTAAATTTATAAAAGAATATGTCCCTTGTGTATTTGATGAATCCCACTTTTGCTTATTAAAATTAAGTCTACACTCAGTTTTAGTTGACTTCAAATATTATCAGCAAAATGACTTATCACTTCAATAATTTATGAATAAAATAACAAATCAATGTAAATGATCAAATTAGCAATTAGTTTCTCCTCATCTATTAAATGGATTCTACTCACATTATAATAAAATGCTTATGTAAACTCATGAATAAGTAGCCAATTATTATTAAACTAGAGTGAAGCAATGCATTTCTGATGAATAAATTTAAAATAAATACAGTAAGTTCACCTATGTCAATACTAAAACAGCAAATTATAAGCCTTTCTCTGAATATGTCACTAAGATCAATGACATCAAAAATAATCCTTAATTGTAATAAGAAATATGCAATTAGATGTTTTTAGAAATCAAACATATTTCCTCCTAAATCTTTGTGGCTTGGTATCAATTTGTTGATGCCTATAATTTTATGGCTTCAGCCTTAACTAATAAATTAGAGCAGGAATATTTACAGAAGATTAAGGAAAGGTGGGGTGAAAGTATATTCTAGCATATTTAAACTGTTGACGATCTCTCTTTTTAAGATACCTAATCAGGGAAGAACCATAAATAAATGGCATAGCAATATCGAAATAACAATTACTATAAACAATTAGAACCATTAAATATTGAAGATCTTGATTTATTTCCAGATGCTAAAATACACCCAATAGTTTTTAGGGACGTCTCTCAAAAGCAATAAATTTAACGTAAGTAAATCAAAGGCTTACATTTATTTGTATTTGTTCATGGTTATTAAGGAAATTCTTATGATTTAAGACTGTGGAGAAATAACATTTCTGTAAGATACCCTGAACATTTAACTTTGCTCTCTAAATGTAATCAAGATAATACAGAATAAGATATAATGGCTATGGGAGAGAAATTGGCACTAGAAGTAAAACTTTGGATTAAAGAATGGTGCCCTAAAGAGAATTTTTCTAAACTTTCCTTTATTGGTCATTCGCTAGGTGGTTTGATCATTAGAGCCTCTTTGCAATACTTAACAAAGTACAAAGATAAAATGTACACATATTTATCATTGGCCACACCTCATTTGGGTTATTCTTTATCTTCAAGCAAACTTGTAGACACCGGTTTATGGGTCATTCGTAAATGGAAAAAATGTATATGCTTAAATTAGCTAACTTTAAATGATTCTCAGAATATTCAAGAAACCTGTCTTTACAAATTATCTAAGTTGGAAGGTTTAGGATGGTTTAACAATATAGCCTTGATGAGTTCCTACTAGGACACTTATAGTCCATTTGAGTCAGCTAGGATCTAAAGACCAAAAGGAAATAGTAAAGATGTTATAATTACCAACAAAATGATTGATAATATAATGGAAACTTTATAAAATAAAAAAATAGAAAGGTTGGATGTTAATTATGAATAATCTGGAAGGTATTTTTAGAATTTCAATCTTGTAGATCTTTAGACGTTATGATTGGTAGAGCAGCTCATATTGCTTTCCTAGAAAACAGCGCATTGATCAAATTATCTGTTTACAGTTTCGATGAATTATTTGAATGATTATTCTATTAATCTTTATTATAACGATACTAGTGCAGGCATATTAAAACTTTTTAAAATAAATTATGTTAAAATTAGTGAAATTCTGTTTTTATAATTATTATAATGTAGGAAGTATATTTATGCGCCTTATTTGAAAATAATTCATTGCCAGAATTAAAGAGCTTTTTCATTCATTTTAAGAGAGCCAATCCAAGAGTAAAGAAGGTTTACTTTAGAATAACTTCAACTGATTTGGTTTTATATTGCAAAGAATCAATTTCGTCTTGCTATTATATTAGTTATGTTAGTCTTATATATTAGATAACAATCAAGTGATCGAACAGTTAAAATTGGGCAATTAACAATGCAACAATAAATACATTATATTATAGTTCTAAGATTTCGATACTGTAGTTGGCGCTGTAAATAAAATTGCCTCAAATCCAAAAGATGTCAGAATTTATTTAGAGCAAATTGAGGATTAAATATTTTTGACTGTATAGAATTCAAATGATTTTAGTGGAATATCACATAACAAGATGACACAAGCATTATTAAATAGACATACATTGAATTTATTGAAGAATTAGAGATTGTTCAATTAGAACTTTAACCTATGATAATTATGCCTACTTATTTATTGAATTAGTAAAAACTAACTTTAACTTTAGAATGGCTACAATAGCAAAAAATTATGATGCCCCTTTAAGATTGAATTTTTATAAATAATAAGGCTTATATTCAGTTGAAATAATTGTGTAATTAGAAAATGATGTCCCCTCCTTCTCCACACTCTTTTTGGCCTCCTAACACCAAGCAGAAAATTTAAAACAGATTGATGTATACGATTATGTTAATAGATATTAGAGCTTTTTCTAAATATCAAAAAACTACATCCAATAGTTTATTGATATAACATCGATAGAAGAAAACATAGTTATTACTTTGGATTAATCACCAACTAGCCCATTAGTTCTCAATTACTTATCTGGTAGAGCTGTGGAAATGGGCATTGTTAAACAGTTCATCATATAAAGAATGTATAGTTGATTTATAATAAATATTTGGCTTAATTAAGATATATTTTAAAGAGATTCAAGAAATCAAGCTTTCTTATTACTTTATTTTCATAGAAGTGAAATATCGTTTATATTGAGTCTTAGTCGTATTAATATGTTCTGATTTCGTTAGGTCTTCGTTTGTATGATTTTATTCTTGTTATTAGATCATTTATTAAAGTTTTAATATGCCTTTATTATTGATTTCAATATTCTATTGCATCACAAATGATGGCTATTTGATTAGATAGGGGATAATCTTCCATTTCGTTATTTTCTCTACATAAAATATGTTTTTCAATATCATTGTAATTAACCAAACTAAAATTATGCTTATGACACAGCAAATAACTATGAAAAGAATAATGAAAACTTTAGAATTTAGAAAGTTTTATCTATTTTTAGTTTCCTTTATTGAAGTTCTAAATCTTATTAATAAATTTACAATCTAATTGACAATAAAATAACCATCACTATAAGTACAAGTTAAAAAGTGACCAAGCAAAATAATGGGATTTTATCTTTACTTTACTCCCAACCTAATCTCTTTATAATATAAGAACATTAATTTACCGGAAGAAAAATGAAATTTCCCTCTATTATCATATTGAATTTGACTTAGCATGAAGAACATTTTGCTCCTCTTATTTTATAATTATATTCATCCAAAATTTACTGCTTTAAGCATTCCTCATGAACATAATACCTCGACCTTACGCATTCACAAGCTTTGATTAAAGGACAGTCATCAGAATCTCCATCTCCACAAATTCTGCATTAATTATACGAACTAAAACATGTTTCTTGCTTCAAATTGTAAATTTACTTTAATTTTTCTTTGGTTTTTCTTTTGTTTATTGGTTGATATTGTTTTAACATCTAAATGTTATCAGTTTTTAATCGTTGACTTAGTTATCAGATCGCGAAACTAATATATCTGATTAAGTTGTTTGATTGATTTATGTCTGTTGAATTGGTTGATTTTCAAGATCAGGTGCAATCTGATTTTATCTGACTTTTTAATACTCCTGTTATTAATATTGCGAACTTAAGATGTATAAGCATTAAATTTACATTCCAACTCTCCTTTATTTATACTTGGATTAAATTACTTTGCTAATGTCTAAGTTTTCAAGATCATCTAGATTATTTTCATCCTAATCTTCATAATCAGTATTCATTTATTATCTAATTATTTAATTTACGATAATATTATTAATTAATAACATTTTTCATTCTTTATAAGAAGAAATAATAGAAAGTTAGACAGTTTTATTAAAAATTAAATAATGTTTTTACACGAATTTTAATCAGGCTCTTATTTCTAGGTTTTCGATCCTAAGGAAGTAGAAACCAAAGGAAGCAAAGAAAAAGAAGATCTTTATAAAAAGTTGTTCAAAATCAATTACCCTTTAAAAAGTTCAAGGTATTTTGATAAAGAAATGAAAGGTAATTAAAATCTAAATCCCAGGATTTATTTATGAATTCTTAGGTGACTCAACTAGGATTCAATTTCCAAAACAAGGAGAATTAGGCTTGATTCAATAGTTTTTAGTGGTATAGGTTAATATAGATCTTGGGTTCGTTTGGACTCTAGAGTTGGATGTGACTGATACTACAAAAACTAAAAGAAGAATAGTATTAACAGATAGTGTGAAGAGTCTTGAAAATCATCATTTCCATATTAAATCCCCAATAGATCATGTAAAAAGAGGATAATGGTTAAATCTCTGCATAGATGTTTGGAGTTTCATGGAAGCGTTTAAAGGGTGCACATTTCGATCCATAGATTAGATAATTATTGGTTCGCCATGTAAATTAAGGAAAATTTATATTATGAAATATCCAATTTAGGATAGCGAAATAGATATCACCTTCACTTAAGGTTTTGCGGTAGTTCCAAAGTAGGTTAATTTTCCTGAGGGTTTCCCTTATTAAAACTAATTAATTACTTTTCGACTGTTGAATTATAATGAGTTTGCTTTAAGTTCTCAAATTCAAAGCCTCCCTAAAAGCCCTGATAAGTATTATTGAAATATTTATAGATATGTTTATGATGTAAAATATCCGATAGAGTAAAAATAAAAAATAGGAAAATATAAATATAACAAACCTGAACAATCTATTTAAAAAAAACAGACCTAGCAATAATCTTAAAATTTTCAAAAATATGATAATATTGATTTAGATGAAAAATTATAATCTTCCTTGAATGATGAAGAATCAGAACCTAAAGATAATCCATCTTATTTCGAAGAAATTTAATAGGATTAATATGAAAATGAATAATTAGAAGATTATCTAGAGGATTTCGATCAAAAGGATGAAGAGTATCTCAAACTAGTGTACGATCCGAAATTGAAATGCTTTTATGATCCTTAAACTAATGAATATTATCAATTAAATAATTAAGAATGAATTTTAATTATATGTTCATTAGGAATTATATATATTTAAATAACAACATCCTATGTCAATGGAGTTTATTATTACTAAAATGTCTCAAACCATTAACACTACAAAACCATGCAATTATTCAATGAAATAAAGCTGAAAAATGAAATTATTTTAATGTGTTCTAAAAAATAATAATTATGAAAAAATGATAACCTTCTTGAATTTATTTATTTTATTAGGCTTTGTTTGGAGCCAAAAATAATTGATTTATTATTCAAATAATGAAAAAGAACAAACAAGTTTCAGCCAAATCATAATATTTAAAAAAGAAAAAGGAAATGCCAAGTGGAGTGGATGATTTAGCAACGCATGAAGAGAATGACATTCATTCTTTTAATTAGCTAAAATAATAACAGAATCCAAAATTTTAACAAATTGCTATAAAAGAAGGAGACACAAGTTCAAGTGAAGATGATGGGGAACTCAAGAACAGAGATGATCCTGATGAGTAATCCCGTTTTGTATTAGGCCTAATCTAAAAGAATGTACGAGTTTAAAAATATTATGAAAATAGAGAGTTAATGAAAAAAATTCATTTGAGATACCTATGATCAATATTAAAGATCTAAATGCATTCAAATGTATGTGATTGTTCATATTTTAGAGATTGAATAAGGAGATGCTTGGAAACAAATCTCCGCTTCATTAGATGCGGGATCGAAAATATATGGGTTTAGGGTTGATTTAGTACATTAGAACACATTTAAAGTACTTGGGGGTTTGCATAGAACCTAAATTAATGAAAAACAAAATTAGGAAGAATAGCAGGAATATGAACAAGAATAATTGAGAAAAAAGAAATTATAAAATACAGGAGGAGAGAACACACTAGAGAAAAACCAAGCAAACATAGACACAAATAAATATGATTTAGAATTTGAAATTGATCCTCTATTTTAGTAAACATCTGCAAAATTTGATGAAGCAGGAGCAAAGGGATTATTGATGAACAATTTGACAATAAATGAGAATTTAATGCTTGCATTGGATTCGGATGTCTTGCCCATCAAACCTATCACATGCTCATTGAATATAGAAAGTAACATATAAAAAATATAAATAGAATATAAGTCCTTTTTAAAGAATTTACAAAATTTAAAATTGTGTCCAGAATTAACTGAATTCAGAGAGAATATGTTTCAAAAAGGATAGAATATAATAGAAATTAAATAAAACATCTCATTTGCAAATGTGATGGACCCAATAGCTCTGAACATGGATTTTAATTAAGAAGATTAAGTATATGAGAATATGAATATGGCAGAAGAGGTAATGGATGAACAAGCATCTATTCTTTCAGTAAATTAATAATACTAAAATGGTATGGTTAATTAATATAGCGGACATAAATTCTCATAAAATAAATTCAATATCTTAAATTTTGAATAAGCTGCAGCTAATATTGGAACAGGAAAAGTCTTTGAAAATGAGAAGGAATAAGTTGCATGGATGGCTTTGGATATGAATCAGTAGCCTAAAAAAAAAAATATTGCTTAACTAAATGAAAAGCCCAAGAAGAACAAAACTAAAAAGAAAAATGGTCTACCTTTTTCATTTGATCCTGAAGAGGATGATCAAGATTTAGATCGATAAAATATCCTTTAAAAAAGGGATAAAGAAAATTATTGCAATAACAAAGAAACCATGAATTAATTATATCTATTACCTAAATCTTATCAAATAGATAGATAAGAGTAAATATATTTAATTATATAATTAGTTTATGTTAACCATTTTAAGTTCCAAAATTACCAAAGTGGGAGGAAGAAAATTAGGAATAGCCATTTTTATAACATGATAATTTTGATACCGGAGGAATCGATGAGGATCCTTAACCACTTATAACATAATAAAATACAGCCTTTAACTCAGCATACAAAAATACTAATAATGCTCAGGGGAAGTTGAATATTCCGATTAAGGAATTAAAAACATAAGTTTGGCAGAATTTATAGTAATAAATACCTGTAATTATTTAATATTAATTTCCATATAGTTATCAACAGATAATGCTGGTTTAGAATTTAATGAGATTAACAAAATTTTACCCAAAATTTTAAAAATTCCTTAATCTAAAGGTAGAGTTTCTATACAAACTTGTTTTGTCACAATGTTACACTTAGCTAATGAATAAGGATTGAAATTTATTCAGAGTGATACTGAAAACGATTTTGTAATTCAAAGAGAAATATTGCCTCAATAATCATGATTTTTTTCTAATATTTTATAATAAATAATGTAATTTAAACAAATCAATTTAGAGGAATTCAATGAATAAAAAGCTTTAGATTACTTGGAATTAAAAAATTAAAGTCTCCAATAAACTCTCTTAGAAGATCCTAAAATAGCTCGTTATTTAGATTTTGCTGATTACTTGTTAAGTTATCATTTTTAATAGACGATCCATAAGAAGGCACATGAAAGATTATTGGTGGAAATGTTTAATACAGACTATATACTTTCGAAATTGTACGGATTGGAACTGCATAAAATTAAGGAATACTTTGTAAAATTTGGGAATAGGATAAAAATTTCAGGATTTGTGTTATTACTTTTGAAATTGATATAATTTCAATTAGATGAAGTTCCATATATGATAAATGGGTTGAGAGAGTTAGCTGAAAAGATAGCTCAGAATGGAATAATCACATTTGAATAATTTGTTGCATATTATATGTCATGCAGTGAGAATGATGAGTAAGACAATATCCAACATGCTTATTACAAAATAGTCGAAAGCAAAGGTTAAGACACAATGTACCATAAACACGAGATATAAAAAGTACTGGAAATTATATGACTTTTTAGGCAATCTACACAAAATCGATCCAAAAAATTGCTTTGCTCGAAGAAAATTAACCACAAATATATTTGTTGGGGACAGACTTTCAGATACATAAAGAAATAAAACTAGATAATCCTGATACACATTATATAATTTTAGATTTTGACTTTGCTGAGAATATCAAAGAATTTTGTTGCAGCTTGTCTAATAATCATATTTTATTCTTGAGTTTTGTAATAAGCTATAATTAATATTAGATGGATCAATTGCATAACAATAAATTAGTATAATGTGAATACTTATTGACCAAGATTCAATATCTTTAAATGCTTGATCACTGGGGATCGGTCACAACAAATTAGTAATTGATATTATGGCATCCAAAGACGCATCAACAAACCAGAGTACCCTTATAATTATAGGGTGGAAAGATTTAGAGCATAATAGAACTTTAGAAAAATGAAATGATTTGTTTATAAACTGATTTGAAAAGAGTGCACATTTTTAATCCTAAATTTGAATAACTGATTGTTATATAGGATTCATTGCTTATTTAGACGTAATTATATCTATCATAGTTAATTTTTAGATTTATATTCTATGAAGCAGGACAATGCTTTTATTCTATAAATTTTACTCATAAAATCTAAAAATGGTTAATCGAAGAGAATGGTGTTGATTATACTAAAGATAAAACTATTCAAATTTGTAAACCAGAATATACAGTTCTTGCTATTGGTTTTGTTTAAGACTTATTAGTAACTTATGATTCAAGTAATTAAATTAGAGTGTTTGATACTGAGGATTTCAGAAAGTTAACTACATATAAAAAAATACTTAAACCTACTAATCATATGAAGATTATTGAAATCAATAAATATTAATTTATAATCGTTGGTAATAGAATCAGTTCATTTGAAATCGATGTTAGAATTGAAGAAAAGTAAATCTCTAATAAAGATGAACTTGAGAAACATAATGAAGATTTTGAAACTCAAATGAAATCTACTAAACTATTAATGTAGTAAATTTTAAAGAATCAGCCTTAAGTGGTAAACTTTAGAGGGACCAAACATTAAGATCAGATGTAAATAATATAATTGAATTAAGAGAGTCAATTTTAGAATAAATCAAGGGGGCTAAGAGTCAATTGCTTCCGAAAATAAAAGTGAAGGAAATTCATCATTATACAGAATTGCCAGATGAGTACATTAGAGAGAAAATAGAAGAAATAGAAAAGAACATATATGCAAATAAATTGTTAAAAGACAGAATACATTAAGCAACCGAACCCTTCGTTGATTCACAACCTGATCCCATAGATCCAAAAATATTATAAAAATTGTAGCCTTTATAATAAGGGTTCTAAAAAATAGATCATAAACATAACCAATCAGAGTAAAATGGCTCCAAGATACAATCTGTTAGATAATTATAAAAGTAAGATTTGATTAAAAAGTATATAGTAATAGTAAAGTAAAAAAGAAGTTTGACATTTTAAATTTTGATTTGTAAGAAAAATCAATTCGTTCAAAAATTGACCCTTTGTTAGACACAGATACAAATTTCTTATTCAAACAATTAAAAGATGATTATTTGAATGTTCAATCTAAAAAATCTACAAAAACCTAATCATTATGTTATGAATCCAGATATGAATATTAAACTTAGAGAGGGAAATTAAAAAAATAATTATTCACAACTTAATACAAAACAAAAGGACAAAAAATAAAGACTATACAATCTATACAACCTACTAATCAAACAATTAATCAAACAATTGCTTTATCAAGAACTTCAAGAAATAGTAGAAATACTACTTACCCCTATTCATAATTATAACAGAATGATTAGCCTCCTCCAATTCCATTAGAATGCATCCCATAGATGGAAAAGGTTAAGTTATTTTACAATGAAGCTGTTAAGGCAATGAACTATTTAAAAGAATAAAACCAATTTTTGTTTTTTGACTCTTGATTCATAATTATTCATAATTATTGAGAATTAATTATGTTTTAATTTAAATTAATACAGAAACATTAAAATATCAAAATTTTTTATACATTATTGATTTTTTGAAGCGTCTAAATTATCAAATATAAAATTTACATACGCATTTACTGCTGCTTATTTGAGAATCATATATTTACATTCGATTCCCTCTTCTGATTCGTTCATTTTAGAGAAATCTCTAATGGTTTCCTCAACCTCTTCTTTTTTGTATGACAGTTATTACTATGAATTAGAATTCTTATTTATTGCCTTCTTATTTTGACCAGTAATTTATTCCATATAAGAATTAGGAGTAATTGTTAACTTTTTTTCTTGCATATGTGGTCTCTTCTATTCTGGAGTCAATGTAAGGTTCTGCTTGCTATCGCGTGCTCGAGAATTAGAATTAAATGATAGTTTGCTTAATCTACTCAACATACTTGGCTAAATTCCTAGCATAACACTTCCATTGTTATCCATTTCAGAATGAGAATCATTGTAACTACTCACCGATTGCATTCTATTTTTTCTTCTATTAATATCTGGTGTTAAATTAGATTTTCTTTATTCTGGAGTCTTGAGCAGCGAATTCATCTCCAATTATTCAAGAGAGTAATTAAGAAGTGATCCTCCAATGTTATTGGATGAGATGTCATCTTTTGATTTTTTAAATCTAAAAGAAAATATTTCTATTTTAATTACAATGAGGGCTTATTATTAACCAAATTGCTATTTTAACTACTAGGTAAATGACCTTCAATGGTTTATTTTCTCTTATCATCGTTCCTATCTGATTTAGGACCTGTTTCCCAATCAAAAACTAGATCTTTTTATGTATAGTTGTGTTCTTAGCATACTTTCTTAAAAAAGGACTAACAATGCTTATAATTGGGTTCAGCTTTGAATGGTAACCCTTTTATGTATTCTAGAAATCGTCCAAATTCTATTGGAATTCCTTTACAAAGTTCATTCGTTTCCATCTTCATCTTCATTTAGCCAACTTAACGCATTTTATCTTCCTCATCTGCGAATTGTAAATTTTACCAGGGTAATTAACCTTTATAATATCAAATAGGTACATTTTACCCTTTAATAAAAAGATAAGCATATAGCCTAATGATTCTAGATCATCTCTCCTACTTAAAGATGTGCCTTTATGAGCATTAATGCTGGCATATCTTGTAGTTCCAATAAATGGTTAGTTCTCCCTATATGAACTAAATTATACTGATTTATTTTACATGTGTGAATCATTTTCATCCTTATAAAACTTGCTAATTCCAAAGTCCACTATATATAGTAGATTCTCTTCTTCCTCTTTTCCCACTAAAACATTTTCTGGTTTAATATCACGATGCAACACTTTGCTAAATTTTTGATTTATCAATTTCTTACTTTTTGTGAATATTTTCTATGATGTTGATCATTTACTCAGCTATATTGAGTACACAGCGAAGTGAAAATTTACGAAATGTTTTCATGTAATGTGTCAAATCCCTTCCCAAATATTATATAACAAGCACATTTGAATCTCCTTCTTTTCCTGCCCAATGTAACTTTGGAATCTAAGGTACCTTTTACAATCTTTTCAGTATTTCGGCCTTAATGTTTCATGATATTTAAATTACCTCTCGTTCTAAACTTGAGTCTTCTTTATTACCCTTCTCAATCTTTATGGCAACTAATGCCCTGGTATTTATGTCTTGACCACAGTATACTACACCGAAAGATCCAGCAGAAACTCTCTTTTTAGTTATAAAAGTGTTGTTTATCAACTTTTAAAGCTATTGATTGCTCATTAATTTATAAACAACTCTAATTATTAAACAAATGATAGCTGATCTCATTTATTAATTAATTCATTTATAGATTACAATTATAAATTTCTACTTTTAATTTTATCACTTCTCTTCCTTTCTAAAATAATATTTATCATAGATTATTTCAAATAGTAAAAGAGATTAGTGTTGATACTGCATGGAGAAAATATTCAAAGTTCATGGACGGCTAGAATGATATTCATTATAAATCAAAGATATTCAAGAGTATTTTTATTGCTGCTAATTTATAATAATAAAATAATCATGACTTAAATATATACTTCAACATTAAAGGTCCGTTTAATTAGCAAATAAGATTATCGAAAAATTTACACACTTTTAGGGAAATAAAAAAAAATGGAATTTAAAGAAATACAATATGGAACTATATAAAGAATAATGGCATTCATTAAATGCAAGACTAACAAATAAAATGGTTGAATAAACAATTTAAAGAGAATATCTTATTTCCAAAGCCTACTCTCCCTCATTCAAAACTTATGTGAGTGATTTATTAATAATTTCATCATCGCCAGACCAACATTGATTGACTTGAATAGCAAAGTATTAAATTTTATTTTATACAGAAGGTTCTTAGAGTTGATCATGGCAATTCATTCAAATGTCCTAAAGTATCATAGCTAGCAGACTAAATAGTTTTTAGGTACATTACTTGTAAAAATCACTTGGATTGAATATTCCAACTGCAACTTCTTATAAATCTAATTGCATCAAAATAAGTTTGATTTAGAAATGAAATGGAATATAATATAGGAAGTCAACTAGGTCATTCTCGATTCTTGATGATATTATAATCCAAACAATCATATAATTTTATTATTTTCATTTTTACACAAATTTTAAAAATTATTTTAATATATAATTTATGTCTGAAAAAAATATAATAATTTAATAGTTGTAATTCTTTTGTGATGAAATAAACACTATCGTCATTAAAGTTGTAAGCATTTTGTATCAACTCCGAAATGGTTTGAATTAGGCTTATCCAACTGTGGCAGCACATTTACTGCAATGCTAAATTACATCTTTGCAGTCATTCTTGCAAAATGGCAAAAATGCAAAAGGGAAACATAATAGAAGTAAGAGGATAGCACAAAAATAGGTATAATTCCCATTTTAGTAGGCAATTAAGGTTTCAGATTTCTAACGACAAGCAGGACAGTCTATAAAGATTGGAGTCCTAGAGTCATCTGCCGATTAAGGAAATATAAACATTGATTAGACCTCTAATGGTTAGTCTATTAATTAGCTTTGGTTTAGTATTAATAAGACAGATTTTTTTTATCCTTTATATGTATCTAATTAATTAATTTTGAAAATACTTTTGCAAGTATCTTACGTTGATTATGATTCTCCAGATTTTTGCAATGAATAACAGCTAGTCTATGAATTTTTCAGCATTATAAATTTAATAAATAATGTTTAATTAATCGATCTAATTTTGGTTTATTAATGATGTTTTAATAAAAGACTTTTTGCGATTAATACCAAATATAAGATAAATAAGATATTATTTCAAAATGAGAAAAGTTGATAGGAAATAGATTTTTTGACTATTTTAATATTTTATTATTAACATATGAAGATAACAGAAATAATATTAAATTAATTTATCAGTTATGCAGCAATACCCATAATTAGCTCCGGTATATGAAAAATGCCCTAAACACGCTATCAATGACATTGTGTTATTTTGTCTACATGATTAATGCAGAGAAGTATATTTTAAATTTAATTTTTAAGCCCTTATGCAAAGAATGTTGTAAAATACATATTCAATTGCATAATTTATAAGGAACACCTGCGAATATTGATACAGTTGATAGTGTTAGAGAGATGTTATTTAGTGATGTTCACAATCTTAAGGTCAGATTTGAAGAGTAAGTTTGATATGAATATGCTAGAGAAAGAGAAATATTACATCATTTTTCAGATGGCGAAAATTCTTAACTGATTAAATAAATTCATACGAAAGTAGAATAAGTCAAGAAAAATCTTCTTTAATTGGTTAATGATTACTGTAATTAATTGGAAAAAGAAATCTAAAAAAGAATCCATTAACATAAGGTATTATTTGATTTTAAATTAAGGCTGCACATCCTGGAGAGAAAAAAGAATTGCATCACAAACTGAACACAGTTATTACTTAATTGGATTCACAAGAGAGGGCACTTTTATCACAAAAATACATCAAAGCTTGTTTAGTTGTGATATCTGAGGAGAAGAATCATGATTTAGAAGGATTATCCCTTGATATTGACAATGCATTAAAACATTACTTGGATAATATGTTTGATTTATGCATTCATGAAGATAAATTACAAAAAATTAGTAATATTTTTATTTATTCTACTTCTAGGTGATGCTTTGAATGAATATGTTGAAATTCATTAAGTTAATTTAGCGGAAGAATTAGAATATTATACTTAATAAATTAGAGAAAAAAAAAGGACTTCTGGAATGCAATAGTAATAGTATAATTAGTAATTGAAACAAAATAATGTAAAATAAGAGATCAATCCTCCTATTTCCCAAACAATTCCTTAAAGCAAACTGAATTATTCTTCTATTTATGATGCTCCTCAGTACTCATAGAATATTCGTAAAAATAAATCCATATTTAACTTAATAGATTCTTCGCTTCAACAATCCAGGGTGGGTCCAACATCATCTAAGAATTATGAAACTAGATTGCAACAGAATAATGAAAAATTGAAGTAATTTTATGGATGATATTAAAATTAAAAATTATATAAATAACAGCAATTATGAATAAAGGCTAATCTCCAAGAAGAGATCATTCTCCAAATTTCTTCTATAATATTACAAATGATAATTACATGTATAAGAGGAGTACAGATACATAACAAACAGATCAAAATTGCATGACTAAATAAGCTAGAAATTATGTGAATAATGCAAACATTACAAATTCTCCAAAACCTGCTGGATCACCTTCAAGAATGAATTTTACTATGCAAAACAAATATTTCCATCAATCAAATATTTTTGATGGAATTCAATAAACAAAAGAGTATAAGCAACCTGAATAGGCATAGAAGGAGAAATATCGAGACAATAAATCTCCTTCAATATTAAATGGAGCACAGATTAACAAAAATTATAATTGCACATCTGGTAAATCATAGCCAATAATCAATAAATCAAAATAAATTACGGTTGAGTTTTAAACAGACAACAATAATTTTGATGCTTTGGATTTAAAAAGATCTTTATTAAAATAAGGTATTTAGATTTCTGATATATAAATGAAAAATCCCATTAACTCAGGAAGAACTAAGAATGTTGGAAATCTGACAGTGAGAGGAGATGAAGACAAGTTGTCTAATCTCCATTAAGAACTTGAAAAAGTTGGACTTAAAACACATGACAAACCAAATAATTATTATGTAATTTGTAAATATCAATTCTCTAGAAATAACAAGCTGATCATAGTTGGATGCTTTAGAAATAAAAATATGATAAAATTGAATATTTCAAGAATCGTTGATTTCAAATAAATGTAGTATACCTTATTTAATCACATCTCTTCTCTAACTTCATTTCTATTAGCAAAATTGATCCCAATCAATTTCATCATCTATCAATGATTGAAATGAAAAAGTTCTAAGTTTCCTTTGAATCCCTACCCTACTTTATTTTGGATCAATCAATATTTTGCCTGCTTAAATAACCATATTTTTAGCTTTTCGTTATTTACATTAACCTTAAGGCTAGGATTTATGAAAGATCGAAAATAAGCAATAAATCTAAGCATATGAATTCCATGCCCCAAATATTATTGGGAGATAATTTACATTATAGAATAATGGATACATACATTTTTGTCAAATGGTTTCAATAGTTAATAATTTTCACTGTTCTGACATCTATCTCTGATAAAATTTAATTTAAATCAAATAAAACTTCTCTCAAAACTTTGGCTATTGTAGAATTGAGTCATTTCTATAATAATAATGAATGACTAACTAGAGGAAGTTTTCATAATCTGAATTTTGGCTCTTAAACTTCTCTATCGTCATAAGTCAACAATATATTTCAATTAATGTTATCTTTACTTAGCCTGCTTCAAATCGTAATTTTGTATTGAATAACTTTTGTTAACATTTTCTGAATATCAACTGATTTAGCTGTAATCTGAATGAATCTTAATTAATTATCTTTTATAAAGATTTAAATAAACCCAAAAATATTATAAGCCTAAGGAATCAGTAAAGAATATCTCTTATATTAATTATTTAATTTATAGTGCGTCTGTTTTTTCTTCAAAACAATGCTAGAAAAGGTTGACGTTGTTATCATGTTAATAGTATTGTAAATAAGAATCTGGTAAATATTTCATGAAATATCAATATAAACCTTCCTCGCTTGTTCAGTTTTTAATTGATATTATTTTGAACTTTTTATTATTTTTCTTATGACTTTGTTGACTTGTCATATTAATTTCAGATTTTGAATATAATAATATATTGTATTTTAATTTTGATGCAAAGACCCCTTGGTTCTCCTATTGATAAAAAGTCTATGATTCAAAGAAACAATGTGTCTTTAAGGAATTTGGCTGAAAAATCAATCTTTGCCAAGCAATAGCTCAGTAAGTAATAAAGATAAATGATTGTTTAGAAAAAGAAGTCAATCTATTAATCTTTAATAATAAGATGAACCATCTATACATTATTCACATCCAATAGAAACAAAAAGGGTGTCATAAGCAAGTGTCCCTTTAATTCAGCAAGATTCCAATGAATGCTTTTAAAAAGTTCTGGGATCTAAACAAGGATCAAAAGATGGGAGTGGAGAAGAGGATGATAGGATTGTTGCAAATGAACCAAGACCGTCAAAAATTAGACGATTATCTCGTTTGAAGGATATTGAACCACCAGAATCTTATAAATTCTCACTGATCATAACTTAATAAAGTAGATTAAAATAAACCTGGGATGCAGTCATTTTTATAGTATTAATGTATAATTATACGATTTATTAGATATATTTGTATATTTACTCCATATAAAATGGCATTCATTAACGATGAAGAATACCCTGTTTGGGACAGTTTCGAAAATCAAATTGACTTTATATTTATGGCAGATATCCTAGTCACATTTTTTTGTTCTTATTATGATGAAGAGAACAATCTAATCAAAGAACCTAAGTTAATAGCCATCAACTATTTAAAAGGTTGGTTTACAGTCGACTTAATGGTATATATATGAGAGATAATTCTTAGTCTTGCTTTCCATTCCAATACATATTCCAAGATTATGATAAATCCAGCAACATTGCCAGATTATCAAAACTACCCAAAATGTATAGAGTTATTAAAATGGTTAAAATATTTCGTATGATTCAATTAAAAGATGTTCAGTACATCAAAGTGATTAACATTAACATAGGAAGTGAAAGATTTCTTTATGCATTCATATTGTTGATATTTAGTTGTCATGTTACTGGATGTATTTGGTTTTTCATAGCATCATTATCAGAAGATCCTGATTGGGAATACAATTTCATTTCAGGATATGATCAATATATAGTCTCTTTATATTGGGCAGTTCAAACTATTTTAACAGTTGGATATGGTGATGTAAAAGTGTTTAAATGGCCTTCATATCTATTTGCAATATTTTGGATGCTAGTCTCTGTGTACATTTTTTCATTTGCTGTTGGTTCTTTAGCTTCTTTTCTAGACAGATTGGATCATGCAAATTCCATTTATGTGAATCGACTCTCTACTTTGAAAAACATTAAAAAAGAATTTCATATTTCCAACACCATCTTCTAAAAAGTAAAAAAAGAATTGAAATCTGGCAAGAAAAACCTATTATTAAATTATAATACTTTATTGGAAGATTTGCCTCCCTAATTAAGAGTTGAATTAGCATTTATTATGAATAAATAATTATAAGAAGAAATTTAGTATTTCAGAGATAAAGCACCTACTTTTATTGCTGCCATAGGACCTGTTTTAACTCCATTAAAAGTCGGAGCTCATGAATACTTATTTATGACTGGAGATAATGCAGAAGAAATTTATTTTGTAAAAAGTGGAAAATTAGCTTTAGTTATTCCAGACAATGATAATTTCAAATTCTTAATGATTAAACCTGGATCTTACTTTGGTGAAATTGATATCCTATTTTATGGAGAGAAAAGAAAATACACAATAATGACAACAAAAAAGTGTGAATTTTATGTGCTATCAAAAAAACATTACAAACTCATTTATTTAAACTAATTCAGAGATGAAGGAGCAAAAATGATTAAAGAAGCTCAAAAAAGAAAGCAAATGATTAAGTCTGCCTACGAAGAAGCTATGCAGTTTATTGAAGCCCATGGGGATAAAAATTTTAAAAGAAATTAATAAACTTCTACTTAAACAATTTAACTTAAGCATATGAATTCCGTTTCAAGCTCTAAAAGTCCTTAAGAAAGTAAACGTTATTAAATATTTGAAGTATCTGTGTCTAATCAAAAATTCTAATTAGAGAAAATCATTTAGGAAGAGAATGAAGATGATGATCAAGAAAGAGAAACTGAAGCATTGATGTCTTTAATGGATAGATAATAATTTAGGAAAAAGATTTCTTAGTTAGAAAAGTAAATCTAGTTGAAAGATTAAACTATATAAGCCATTTAATAGGAACTTGATGAGTTAATGACTGAAATCTAATTAAAAAATTTGGACGCATTACAAGAAAAAATCAAAGTCCCAAAAACCTTTGAAGAACATTTGTAACAAAGGCGTTTCTTGAAGGCTAATTAAAAGCTTAAAGAAAAGTTGAAAAAAAGAAGAAGTAGGAAAGTTTCATTACGTTTCTCATTTAAGTAAACAACTTCCCTTAGTGAGTCAGAATAAAACTGTAAATCACTCTCTCCTTTAAAATTCGATGGTGAATAAGATTGAAAGAAAATTTATTTAATACTAATTTACTGCAGTTTATATTGCCTTAATTTTGTAAGTCATTCTAATTATGATTCGATCTTCTATTATTCCTCTTCTAAATATTTGCCTACAAACTCTTTGGGTTTCTGATCTGATTGTATTTAAACTTCCTCTTCAAATTGCTAGTTTAATGTTTCTCTTTCTTAAAATTCAAAATAAACTTGCTCTTCTTATAATTCAACGTTATAATAACCCTTTTCTGTTGCTTCTTGAGGTTGGTATATTTCAGATTATTGTAAACTATCAGTATTTTAAATATCTCCAATGTGAGCTGCTTGTTCTTTTAAATTTGGAAAACATGTGATTTATTCAGTTAACTATGGTTAAATGTCGTTTTAAAGTAATTATTCATTTTAATTTTATTAAATAATCGAGTTTATTTGCTCTGTCTTTGACATTTATTGAATTGCTTTAGTTTTCATTTTAAAATTCTATTCATCTTCTTTTTGTTAATCTAATTCTATTTCAGGCTATTAAACCATCTAAACAATTTTAACTTCTGGTTCCTGCAATTGAACTAAATCTTATGTTTCATTTTATTGTTTCTCATCATTTTATTATTATTCTGATTCTGAATTGTCATCTTACCTTTATTAATTCCTAAGTTCAAAATTCTATTCATCTTCTTTTTGTTAATCTAATTCTATTTCAGGCTATTAAACCATCTAAACAATTTTAACTTCTGGTTCCTGCAATTGAACTAAATCTTATGTTTCATTTTATTGTTTCTCATCATTTTATTATTATTCTGATTCTGAATTGTCATCTTACCTTTTATTAAATTCCTAAGTTCAAAATTCTATTCATCTTCTTTTTGTTAATCTAATTCTATTTCAGGCTATTAAACCATCTAAACAATTTTAACTTCTGGTTCCTGCAATTGAACTAAATCTTATGTTTCATTTTATTGTTTCTCATCATTTTATTATTATTCTGATTCTGAATTGTCATCTTACCTTTATTAATTCCTAAGTTCAAAATTCTATTCATCTTCTTTTTGTTAATCTAATTCTATTTCAGGCTATTAAACCATCTAAACAATTTTAACTTCTGGTTCCTGCAATTGAACTAAATCTTATGTTTCATTTTATTGTTTCTCATCATTTTATTATTATTCTGATTCTGAATTGTCATCTTACCTTTATTAATTCCTAAGTTCAAAATTCTATTCATCTTCTTTTTGTTAATCTAATTCTATTTCAGGCTATTAAACCATCTAAACAATTTTAACTTCTGGTTCCTGCAATTGAACTAAATCTTATGTTTCATTTTATTGTTTCTCATCATTTTATTATTATTCTGATTCTGAATTGTCATCTGACCTTTATTAATTCCTAAGTTCAAAATTCTATTCATCTTCTTTTTGTTAATCTAATTCTATATCAGGATATTAAACCATCTAAACAATTTTCACTTCTGGTTCCTGTAATTAATCTATATCTTATGTATCAATTAATTATCTATGATCGATTTTACTATTAAGTCTCTTAAAATTTTATTACTATTCTGATTCTGAATTATCATCTGACCTTTATTAATTCCTAAGTTCAAAATTCTATTCATCTTCTTTTTGTTAATCTAATTCTATTTCAGGCTATTAAACCATCTAAACAATTTTAACTTCTGGTTCCTGCAATTGAACTAAATCTTATGTTTCATTTTATTGTTTCTCAACATTTTATTATTATTCTGATTCTGAATTGTCATCTTACCTTTTTTCATTTCTAAGTTCGAAATTCTATTCATCTTCCTCTTATTAATCTAATTCTATTTCAGGCTATTAAACCATCTAAACAATTTTAACTTCTGGTTCCTGCAATTGAACTAAATCTTATGTTTCATTTTATTGTTTCTCAACATTTTATTATTATTCTGATTCTGAATTGTCATCTGACCTTTATTAATTCCTAAGTTCAAAATTCTATTCATCTTCTTTTTGTTAATCTAACTCTATTTCAGGCTATTAAACCATCTAAACAATTTTAACTTCTGGTTCCTGCAATTAAACTAAATCTTATGTTTCATTTTATTGTTTCTCATCATTTTATTACTATTCTGATTCTGAATTGTCATCTTACCTTTTTTCATTTCTAAGTTCGAAATTCTATTCATCTTCCTCTTATTAATCTAATTCTATTTCAGGCTATTCAACCATCTAAACAATTTTAACTTCTGGTTCCTGCAATTGAACTAAATCTTATGTTTCATTTTATTGTTTCTCATCATTTTATTATTATTCTGATTCTGAATTGTCATCTGACCTTTATTAATTCCTAAGTTCAAAATTCTATTCATCTTCTTTTTGTTAATCTAACTCTATTTCAGGCTATTAAACCATCTAAACAATTTTAACTTCTGGTTCCTGCAATTAAACTAAATCTTATGTTTCATTTTATTGTTTCTCATCATTTTATTACTATTCTGATTCTGAATTGTCATCTTACCTTTTTTCATTTCTAAGTTCGAAATTCTATTCGTCTTCCTCTTATTAATCTAATTCTATTTCAGGCTATTCAACCATCTAAACAATTTTAACTTCTGGTTCCTGCAATTGAACTAAATCTTATGTTTTATTTTATTGTTTCTCAACATTTTAATTATTATTCTGATTCTGAATTGTCATCTTACCTTTATTAATTCCTAAGTTCAAAATTCTATTCATCTTCTTTTTGTTAATCTAATTCTATATCAGGCTATTAAACCATCTAAACAATTTTAACTTCTGGTTCCTGTAATTAATCTATATCTTGTGTATCATTTAATTGTCTATCATTGATTTTATTATTTAGTTTATCATCATTTTTATTAATTGTTGTATATGACATTTATTATCCTAAATCTAATTACTCTTACTCATTTTATCCTCTTTCTTTAAGTTATTTTGGAATCTCTTCACTCTTTTTTTAATATTCTTCATCATTTTCTTATTAATTAAGACCGCTTCTTAATTCAAAGTTACTACAATCTTCGTTTTCCTAACTAATTTCTTCATTCTACGTGCCGTTTTATTTTATTTCTATTTAATTATTAGGTATATATAAATTGGTCAATTGTTATTCGTTTTTCCCATTATTTTTTATTGTATTATTTGTTTGATTTTTTAAGTCGTTAATATCTTTTGTTAATTTTTCTTATTTTACTTGTGCTTATAAATTATATTCTTAAATTTCTAATGTTTTTTATTTTATTTAAACCTCATAAGTCTAATTTTCCTATTTCAACTATTGTATCTATTCTATTAGTTAATTAACTTTAATTTTAAGTTGCTCAATCTCTTCTTTCTTTATAAAATCATTTTTTATTACTTATTATTAAAGCACTTTTAATTATTCATCTTTTGCTATTAAAGATAACTATAAATCTTCGATTTTTTTTTAATTTTCACTTATTTCTATTATCTTCAATTTTTATGTATTAATCAAATCATCTATTTACTTTTCTAATTTACCATTATATTTAAATTAATTTTGTTATAATTCCTCTATTTCTTCTCTCTTTTTCTCAAGACTTTTCTAAAGGTCATCTTTTACGGCTTACAATTCATTAACCTTTTATTTTAGCTCTTCGTTATTCTGTTTTTGATCAAAAAATTATTTTTCCAATTTTTCTATTATTTCAGCGTCATCATTACTGTTTGAATGCAACAAATTTTCTAGATCTTAATTTTTTTGTTTTAATAATTCATTCTCATTTAATAAAACATCTTGATAATTTCCTTAATTTTAAGCTTCTAAATTCTATTCCAGTTCTTAAATTTTCATATTTGATTTTATTATTTGTGATTCTTAAGTTTCTTATTCAGATTAATAAAGCTTATTTTAATCAAAAAGATGTTTATTCTGCTCCTTCAGTTAATTGATTTCTATCACTTTTTGATTGACTTCTTCTTCTAATTCTCCTATTTTTTCTTGTAATTTGTTTCTCTAATGATAAAGTTTTGAATTTTCATTTTCTAATTATGTAAAATTTGATAACTTTTCTTCTTCAATTTTTTGTATTTCTTTTTATTTAAGTTCAAAATTGTTTTTTATTTGTTATTTTTCCTTCTCTAAAGAATTTATTTTTATTAGATTCTCTTCATGAATCCTTGTTAAATCATCAATTTCTATCTAACATTTTTATAATTCTTCCGAAATTTCTTTAATTTAATTTTATAATTGAATGATATGATTTTTTAATTAAGATTTTTCAGTTTAGTACTCTTTATTTTCAGATTTTTATTAAATTATAAATTTTTCAAAATCTTTTATATTTTAATTTTACTTTTCTAGTTTGTTTAACAACTATAATATCTCAACATCTTTTTAATTATTCGTCAAATTTAATTATTCTATTTACTAATTCAAATCATTAATTTTATATTCCAATTCCACTAACTATGATTATTAATTTGATAATCTAATATTCTCTTATCTCAATTAATTTACTTCAGCTTCTTATTATTTAATTTTCATACATTTACTTTCTAGAACTTTATATCCTTCAGCATGCTGTTATTTTAATTCTTGATTATTCTTTTTTATTATCATAAGTTCTTCATTAATTTCTTCAAAATCCACTTATTAATTTAAAAGTTTTTCATTTTATTCCTATAATTCTATTACCTTCCTTTCATAATCTTTTATCTCTTATTCAAGGTAATTAGTTTTTGGATTATTCTAATATTCCACTTTTAATTAATTAATTTAATCTTCAAATAACTTCAATTATTATTTTAAATCATGATTCTGAATTTTCTGTTCGTAGATTATCATTTAAAGGTTGTCATTCTCTTTTTCATAAGATGTTTCTTTCAAAAATTCTTTTGCTTGCTATTTTAATTTCCCATTTTCTTCTTCTAATAAACTTATCTCTTAGAGAAATTAATTATTAAGATTTTCTAAATGCTGTAATTTTTCCTAATCTTGCTAATTTGTCTTTTTCTTTGATTCTCCAATTTAGATTTGTAAAGTATGGATTTATTTATCTTTTCCTTGTAATTGAATCTGTAAAATTTGAATTTCTTGATGTTTTTATTATTCAATCTATTAATCAAGAGAATTCATACATTATTGCATTTTTTTATTTGTTCATTCAATTTAGAAGTCTACAACTAAAGATTTAATTTTAACTCCTCTGTATTTTTCTCTAACTCTTATATTTATTCTTGTAATTAACGAGTTTCAGCGTCTCTTTCTTCTAGTTTTATTGTCAAATCCTTAAAATAAATTTTCTGCTTACATTCATTTCATTGTTTTTCTCATTTGTCATGTTTTATAAATCTAGTGCTTTATAAAGGTTTTCTCTTTCATTTTCAAATCTAATTTCAATAGATTCTATTTCTCTCTAATATTATTCGATTATTTCTTCGTATTTCTTTCGAATTTAAGCTTATTCCTATTAAGATTGTCGAGATAAATGGGCTTAACGATACTAATATTCTTTAAGATTTGCAAAGTATTTCTCCTTCCATTATGATAATTCCTTATTCAAAACTGATATTTCTTCTTTATAATTGTCTTCAATAATTTAGACTTCATTCATTTCCAGAACAAATTATTTGATTTGAGATTATTAATAGACGATCTCCTTGTCTCTAGCTTTTAATTTTGCATCTTAGGAATCTATTCTAAATTGTAGTTCATCAATTTTCTTTTTTAGTTAAGAAACATCATTTTCTTTTGTGATTATAAAGCTTCCACTAGTTTTAGTTGATATCTCATATGATTTATTATTAACTTAGTATTGTTATCTAAATTGTTTTAATCAAATACCTGGAATTTCCTCTTTTTATAGAATCTCCCCTAGATCGGATATCATTTGCTTATCGAATCCCCACTGTAAGATCTTAAGAATTATTTTTGAGATGGCTTTCAAATAATAACTTCTTTCTATCCATTTAATTTGAATTATTATATTGTATATCAATTTAATTTAAGAATATAATTGCAATAACATCTAATAAATTGACGTAGAATAATAAAGTATCATAATCATAAAACGTGACTACAAACTATTTATCATGAAAAAGATCTTAATTTCGTCATTTCTAAAATCTCAACCATTTATAATTACGAAAAGAATAAATGAAAATTATTAAATTAAATAATTGTAATGTTCAACATGTTTTTTAAATAATAAACTGAATTCGAGAAAGCCTTATCAAATAGCTCTATTTTGAATAATAAACCCTCATTGAGTATTGCAGACTTGAAACATCTGATTTAAGGTTTCCCTTAACAGTCTTAATCAATGTGTCGAACTCCTTAATCAATAAAGAAAACTTTTTAAACATTTTTTTAAGCCCTACCGGAAAAGACTTCCTTTCGAGTAAAACTGAAAGTTTTAGCCACTTGCCATGTCCTTTTAGAAGATGGTATACACGGATAGTAATTTTCTGAATCCCTTCTAAGTTGGAATGGATTTCGGATTAAGTAAAATAATATAAGCAACATAGGATTTAGAGATAAAAATCAAGATCAGGAGAAATTCGTTTAAATGTATTAGGAAATGCTAAAAAGATTCGCGTATGGATTTGATTTACTGAGGATAGCAAAATCGCAGTAAATAAATTCTTCAAATAGTATTTATCATTTTTAATTAAATTAGCTACTATTGATTGCACCTATTATTACAAGGCTATTAATTTATTAAACCATATTTTCAGTTATTCGTAGGTATTCTAATTTAGGATTATTTTTAGTTTATTAAATATGTGTTTGAGACAGTCTAAGAGTTGATTGTTGGCGAGATATTACTATTAATTTGGAATGATGTTATAGCAACATATTTATTTATTGAAAAGTAATAATTTGAGTAAATTTAGAATCATATTTCAATTCCTTGTAGATTATTAAATCATCTAAGCATCAATATTCTTTTAATTAAATGGCCTTATTCCAGAATTTATTAGATTAACATCTTAAATATAAAAGTTTTATGAATCAAATTAAAATTTCTTGAATTTAAAATAATTTAAGGCGCCTGCATGGAAAATAATTGATTAAAAACTGTTGTAGGATTTAGAAAAATAGAATCAAACATTAAAACTTTAAAATGCCAAAGATAGGTTGACTAAAAAATAAAGTTCAAAAGCATCTTCCTTAAGTACACTTTACTCTACCCCTTAACATCAAACGGCAAAGTCATTTTTATTTGGAAACACTACTTTTGGTTATATTAAAAGATTATCAACACTTAATGATCCTTTTGATGATATTGAAGAGATGACATAAGGTTTTAAGATTTGATTAAAATGAAATAAATAAGTATGCTTTTCACTTTTAATTCTTATATTTTATCTCAGGCATTGCAAAATCATTTTTGATAACTAATTTATTATTTTTTGCGTAGGTTACAATCTATGGTCCTTAGTAAGTTTTCCGTGGTTCGAACTATTTTTTAGAATTTAAAGTTGAATTAGCTCTTGTTGAATTTGAACTTGTGATTTTTGGTTAACTTAATAAACCTGACTATCGTTATTGAACAGCCTATTGACCAACGATGTTAAGACCTGATAATTTTTTATCTTAAGTTTTTGTCATTTACCAGCCTTTCGCATCCTGTGGATTCTCACTTATTTTTAAAGAGAGGGGTTCTTTTTTTCCTATCCTTATTTCCTTTTCATAATTCCTTAATTATTGAATAAATCCATAATTAGGTTATATAACGCTTCTCTTCTTTTTTACGAAATTAAAAGCTTCTTAAAAGGCTAACCCTTTTTTTTTCATCAAATATGCTATCACTACTGAAGCAGACCTGGAGACACCTGCAGCACAATGCACTAAAACTGATCCTCTTTTTAAACCTTCAATTATTTAAGTGTTCGTGTCTTAAAATAATCTTCCAATGTTTGCAGTTTCTGAATCTAGGATATGATATACCTTTCTGTATTTAGATTTACTACCTTGTGATTTATCCCAGGCTCTCTGTAGGCTATATCTAAGCCAGTTGCAATAGTTAACACTGTTTTAATACTTTTTGATTCAAGCAATGTCCTGTCTAATGCTGCAGTAAAATCACCAAGCCAGAGGACATTATCACCTTCTTCATATATAGGATTCATTTATTGATAACTGGAATCAAACAATCTAAACATTTTTGATAATTTATTTTATGATTATAATAAATGACATAAGTGATTATTATGTCAAGTTGACGTACGTATAGATTTTTTACTTAAAACACCAGCATTCAAACTCATTCTTAAGGTTCTTATTTAGAAAAAAATTCTAAATATAAATATCATATATTCATCTAGTTTAGAGGAAAATATCATTGAAAATATTATAAGGGTGATATCATAAAGAACAGAAATTTCATTAAAATTTCAAATAAATCTGTACAATTGGTATAAAAATTGATTTGTTATTGATTGTGATATAACTTCAATTATCTTATTAAATTGAAAGAAATCAATGAGAATTGCCCTTTTGAAGATTACTTAGTATTTGGAAATATTAAATGAGTTGAAACAATAGTGTAAAAAGAATAAAATTGGGATCTATTCTCAGATTTGATTAAAATTAAATCAATAAGTTAAAATTATAATTTATTAGATAGGAATATAATAAAATAAATCTGAGAGTTAAGCATTTAGCAATTTCATTGATTTGATGAAACAATTTTTATTACAAAATACAATTGTTCAAGAAAGCAAAAATGATGATTTCTATTTTTTTTTGTTTAAAGTTCCCCTATTTAGAATTCGACTTCCTTTGTTAAATTAAACGAGTTTTAATGAATAAAAATTAAGGAGTCTTGATAAGAAATTGTTTACTATAAATATATAAATCATTAATTAATATATAGTATAATTGCATAATAAAATAAATTAAAATTCATAAATCATAAATCATTTGATCGATATTCCATTGATAGATGAGATATTATCATTTGACAACTATAAATTTGATTACTTTCAATTAATTTTTCCATTAAAAAGTTAATACCTCGAAGATTATTGAATACATAAAGAATAATTATTCGACTAATTGAGAATATAATAAATAATAAATCATTTCTTTAATGGAAATTTTAACTACATCTAACCAAATCAATGAATGTAAGAATAATGAGACGATAAAAGGAACAAAATAATTTCGCTCTAAAAACACCTAACTAGATAATTAAAAAGAAAAATCCTAGCCTGAATGCAAAAAAGATTCAGAAGGAACTAATTAAGGGAATGTATCAAGTTTAGTTTAAATTAATAGAGTAAGGCAATATCAAAAAAAAAGAGCGATGAGTATGAAGCTAATACAATTATAAAAAACATAGTATGTTTATCTTTGAGTATTGTTAATGAAGAACTTTAATTTAATTGTTAATAACAGATTTAGTAAGAATAAATTTCTGAACATCGTAAAGTTTTATAAATTTGTGATTAAGAAGATATTGACTCGTTTTAATTACCCCCAACAGACTAATAATTTCCTTAATAAAAATAAAAATCTCATAAAAAAACAAAGAACAGAAAGAATAAAAAAGATCCCTAGGCAAGAATATCAAAAAATTAAACACTCACATAAAAATAACAACCTCAATAACCTCCAATTCAATAACAATCTAAAGAAAAATAATTTCATTAACTTTCTCCTCAAGAGTCTAATAAAATAAAACAGCAGATAGCATAGTCGAAGACAAGAAAACAGCCTAGTATCACCTAGATAGAAAAGTGCGAATAGGAAAATAAAAAAGATTCTGCTGACTTTGATGCTTAATTTAGTCATGTACTTTATTAATACTATGTTAGATTGGAGCAAGAAGTACAACTGCTGGAAATTCCTAATCTGAATCAGATGATTGTCTTTAATAATCAGATGAAAATAAATAAAGCGCATAAAAATTATCAAGCAGAGATAAACCAAAGAAAAAAAACTATAATAACAATGGAGAAAAAGTTGGAGATAAATAATATCCTCATTCCACATAAACAACACCAATTAAAAGAAAAAAGTTAAATTTAACAAAATCCAAAACTCATGACATTGATGAATTATCTAGTGCTATTCTATAAAAGAGCTATCAAAATAGAATCAGAAAATAAATCTGTTTGAATAGACTTAATTATCTTATCTATACCAATTACCATCTCAATATGTACCCTTATGGATCCTTTGAAACTGGTTTAGATTTGGAAATAAGTGATGTAGATGTTGGTGTTTGGGGATCATAAAACTTAAGCTATGCTTAGATAGTAAGTTTCTTATAACTTTTAAATAATACATTAAAGTAGACACCCTTTTTAATTAAATCAAAGTAAGAATTTTAATAATAACAATTTAGATTGATTCAAGGTCAAATGCCAATATTGAAATTAGAATTAAATCCAAAATCAGGTTTTTATGATGAGGATTAACACATTCAATAGAACTGGTCGTATTTTCATTTAGATCACAATGATTAAGGTATAATTATAATAGTAACCCTTTAGGAAGAATTATTTAGGTGGATATAACTTGGATTTACTAATCGAGCAATGTATATAATAATCCTCATTTGGGATTTGCCTCAACAACTATTGTTAAAGATTGGATTCATAGATTTGTTTGGTATAGAGATATTATGTTAATTCTGAAACAATTAGTTAAATCAAAAAATTTAAATGATGCCCACACAGGTATTTTATGCATATCTATTTTAATAGGCGGAATAAGTTCCTTCTGTTTATCAATAATGTTAGCTGCAATCTATATGTGTAAGCATTACACTCAAAATGATAAGAAATAAATTCTTCTTGACTTTTTAAAGAAGTATGGCACTCAATTCGATCCATTAAAAGAGGGCATTTACATTGACAGTTATGGGTATGCAATAAGTCTAAATTAGTTAACAACATCCATTTATAGCTTTGGAAGAATGTCCTCCTTATAATCCTCTCACAATTTATTCACCTATCAATTATTAAATCATTTCTCAAAAAGCTCATAGATTTTTAGAGATCTAAGAAGAATTTAAATAGTTCTATGAACACTTGACTAAATCTAACAAAATTTAAGACTACTTTGATTTCCCTTTATAAGTGAATTAACCATTATTTATATGATTATATTGTGACTTATATTTATAATTTTAATCAGTATTCATCTAAGGCTTTATGAGTTTTTGAAAAGGCGACACTTGTATTTAAACCATCGAATTTATAAGTGTTTCCTAGAAATCCTGAAGTAAATTTAGCATCTCTAGGGTAATACTTTTCAATTAATTCAAAGTTAGTAGGATTCAATTACCCATATTACATATTCGAAGTTTCGTATATAGGTAGGCCTATATAAGTAACTCAAACTTCATAATACCAACATTGAGTCCCAAAGGTGGTTTTTTGTATTAATCTTCTTTTACAGGAAAAGGTTTTGGAGGTACTTTATTATCGATTTTTCTTCTTTGTTTCTAATCTTCAGTTTCCTTCTTTTAAGATTCCAGGCTGATCTGTTATGCGACCAATTTATTTTTTATCAATTTTTCTGCTCGTTTGAAATCCTAATATTGTAAATTAGCTAAATTACTTGCATACTTCTAACGATTTCTGCATAAGTAGGAACTGGAGCCTCATTCACTTTGATTTGCTATTATCCTTAATGTAATAACCAACCTTATCCATATTATGAGTTGCAGGTTCTATATTATGCGGAATTAGATCTAGTGGACTACATGTTATTAATTATAAAATATAAGAGAAAATTGGTTAAAGCCTGAATTATAAACAATATAAAAATGATAATTTAAATTTAAAATTATACAAAGAAAAGTTGCTTAATTTATATACAAAAAGGTTATTTCCCTTTGATTTACACTACTGAAGTTATCTTACATTTTATAAGAAAACAGAAAATATTATTTGTTTTCGATGTTTTATAATACTTCAGAATAAATTCGTCATATATTTAAATTAAATTATTTTACAATGATTGAATAATTACCAACGATCTCACTTTGTGAATCAACTCTGCTAGAATAACCACTTCTTTCATCACAATAATCTTATACTGAGAAAAAATGTGGTAGTCGGTTTTAATTTATTAAATGTGAATAAGAAGATAAGCAATATTAGGCAGAAAATAATAGAAATAGGATTAAACAATAATTAAAAGGTATAGTATCTAGTAGAATGATAGGAAGACTGTAACTAATAATAAAAAAACCTTCATATTACGAGAAGAATTCATAGGAGGAACTTTAGGAATTAGGATAGAAACTAGATGTTGAATTTAGTGATCTAGACTCTTTATACATTTGTGCTGACACTAAAAAATTCGATTAAGAATATGAGATGATGGAGATTCTAGGAGAGGGGTGTTTAGGATTAGTGAAAAGGATTATAAATAAGCAGACAAAAGAGGAATATGCAGTTAAAATAGTGTAAACATAGGATGATGAAATTATAAGAAATGTAAGATAAGTATTAGATTTAGATGATAATTGAATTTAAATCACTTTAAAAGTTAAATCATGATAATATTGTAAAGGTTCATCGATTATATATTGATTTTAATAATGGATTTTAATCTGAAAGTAAAGCATATGCCATAATGGAATTGGTCAAAGGATAAGAAATGTTTGAAGTAATTAATAAATTAGGACATTATTCTGAAAGTGTTGCTAAGGAACTATTCAAACAACTATTGAGTGCAATTGAATATATGCATAGAAATGGAATTTGTCATAGAGATTTAAAACCAAATAATATTTTATGTGTGGAAAGTATTGTTAATTATTTATTAGATAAACAACAGATAAAAGTGACTGATTTCAATGTGAGTAAATTTAGTGATACTTATAAAGAATTTGGAGATTTGAAAGACAGAGAAAAAATTGAAATGTGGACATATACTGGAACTGTTGCATTTTCTGCACCCGAAATATTTACAGGAGAAGGCTACAAGTAATAATTTTCTATAATTTCTATTTACAAAGTTAGATGGTTGATATGTGGAGTGCAGGATGTATTTTATATTCAATGCTATCTGGCTAATTACCATTTATTTCAGAATAGTAAATTAATAATGTTAATTTAGTTTGAATGATTTGATAGAATAAATTAAAGAAGCTTAAATTTAATTTCCTGATGAATTATTCAAATAAATTTCAAAAGAAGCCAAAGATCTAGTATCCTAATTGCTACAAAAGGATTCATCTCAAAGACTTTAACCTGATGCGGCCTTAAAACATCCATGGTTTGAAAATGTAGTCCTTGAATAAGATATAGAACCATTTTTAAATCTAGCAATCTTAAACAATATTCCTAGGTTATCCTCAAAATATTCAAGGAACAACTAAAAATCTAGAAGTATCCTTTTGAAATCCTCATAAAATACTGATAAATCAAATCTGTTGCAATCCGAGTTTACTTGCAGTCCTACAAAATTTTCAAGTAAAAAAAATAATTTCTTCTCAAATTCTGTTTTTGAAAGCTAATTAAATAATTAAGGTGCAATCCAAAATGATAATACTTCAATTACAGATTTTGCTAACTTACAATTAATTAAAAACACATCAAATATTAGCGAAGATATTTCTGATCTTTAATATGTAAAACTGGAGCAATTTATTGTTTACAAGAAAAATGAAAATTAAAATCAAGAAACCTAACAACAATGATAATTATTATATAATTATACTTTTTCTATTTTATTAATTTATTAGAATTATTTCACTTATCTGTTTTAAAAACTTAAGAATTCTTTTTGAATTTCTTAGGTTCTACCTAACATACATTTAATAATTGATCCAATATATCATAAATATGTATTCCTTAATGATACTATATATTTCTTATGATTAATTAAAGAAACCATTCAAAAATATCATGGTCTGAAATACTAATTCATCTAAGAAACAAAGATGTGAAGAAATAATAAATAAAAAAGAGGCTAGATAAATTAATTTCTAAAATTGAACATTTATGATTTGATAGTATTCGTGTGTTAATATTAATAATAATAATTAAAGAATATCTTAAAGAGACTTGAAAATAATAATAAGAATTTTAATATATTAAAATAAATATATTATTTAAATAAATTAATCGATGAATTAAATAGAACGAAATTGGACCGATTTCATATAATTATTTTACAACTGAAATCTGAATGGAAATATTGTGAAATTCATTTAGTCCCTAAACTAGAAATAAATTGCTTAATTAAAACATCATTTTAGTCTAGAATAAATTTGATCTGTTCGATTTAATAATATCATTTTTATTATATTTCAACTCTAACTTTTGATGTAAAAGTAGATTCCTGCTCCTATTAAACCTGAAAGTGCAATTAAGGCAATTCCATATTTTGGATGATAAAATAACCAAGCAAATGCTATGGTTAAGAGTGAAAACGGAATTGATATAATAAAACTCACCAAAAAGAAAATAAATCCTGTAATAGATGCTAAAAAGTTTCCTACCAATGGGAACCATGAAACCAACCATGAGATTGGAGAGAATATCAAACAAAATCCAATTCCCTACAAAATTAATCAAATTAATTACCATCAATATATAACCACCTATTCTTTATGCCAATGTGAGGCATGCATTTTCTTCTGCTTTTTTTTTAAATACCTGATTTTATGTCATAATTTATTCGAAGATCCAATCTATTTGAGTTAGAGGCTTCTCAAGTGCTCTACATAGTTTACAACAGAAACAGCAGCATGTAGTACATGTCAATGACATATCCTCCAAATTTTCATCTCTAGCCAAGGTCTATTCAAATTTATCGTGAATAACAAATGGTGTGAATGTATCATTATATTGTTGAGAAACTACAGTTGTAGGACCAGTTCTGGCAGCATCAAATGAGACTCTTAAATCATTCATGGAGACAGTTCCTCTATTTTATTAGAAATATATATATTGTCCATTTGCTTCGCTAGGATATAAATAGTTTTTTATACTAATTCTAAAACCCTTTTGAAAATCCATAGAAATTGGAAACTGCTTATGCATTATTCGCAGCCATTGGAATACTCTCATGGGCATTTGTTTATTCTGCCAAAGACTTGCTCATTAAATACGCCCCGATACGAACATTCAAGTTGACTTGGGTCTCTTATTCGACAATCCATTTAGATTTATCATTGTAGTGTCCATCTCCGCAATCAGAATGGAATGTTGAACTCCATTCTTAAACATAATAATAGACAGTTCTTTTATTTTCTTCTCTTGATTTGCGTACCCATTAGTACATTTCAACTGTCCTAACTAGTTTAATGCAATCTTTCATAGACAAACCAAAAGTTGCGTCCACAACTAGATCATTAGTCTTGCTCTCACCTAAAATTTATTAGTTGATATATTACCATTTGTGTGAATCAATTGATGATTGGTATTTGGATTTACTTCTGCTGAATTGACTGATGTACACTATTTCTTTGCTTATTCTAATCTGTATTCAGTAATTGCTTATCTAATATTGTTATGTGATAAATAAATACCTTCTCTCATTGTACCATAACATAGCAAACGCCCCAAAAACACACAAGAATCCAAAGATTACAGCAGCGATTGGGTTCCCTTTTGAATGGCTCGAATACAAATGCTTATTTTAAGGCTCTAACTGTATTGTTATGTAATACCCTCAATGTGTCCTCTCAAATGATTGATTGCATCACAGGAAGAGATAAGTAAAGCAAACAATGTAAACACAACAAGGCCATGATTGGACTAAGACAATCTTAACATTATTTAAATTAATTAATAATATTACCATTCGAATTATTTTGTATATAAATATTGCAATAAATTTTAATAAAACATACTTAATAAATTAAATCTTTCATCGAAGTTAATTAAGCCTAATTAAATTATTAATTGAATTTTTAGATAATAAAATAAATTGATAAATTTTTATTGAGCATATTTTACTAGATCTATTAAAACTATTCAACAAATTATTAAATTATATATTTATATAGATAAACAGCGTAGCTAAAACTTGAAAATATATACTTTTTTAATATACTAGTTATCAAACTTAACCCATCGCAATACCATAACCAAACTTATATGAATCCTTATTGTAATCTGCAACGGCACATAATTTTAATTGATAAGCGAATCCTTACAAAGTTAAAGCAGAACTGAACTTCATTTTTGAATTTATAGTGATTATGACTTCAGAAGTGGCAAACTTTTATCTGTAGCCCTTAAAATGATTTAATAAATTCTATTACAAGAATAGTTTTGGATTCCCCTGATTAATTTGAGTATTCAAGTTCTGACATGAAGTAAGCTTTGTCCAAGAGCTAATTTAAATACAGTCAAATACTCTATGGTTGTAGGCTAGAATTAATTAATCTGCAGCTCCAACGTATTAGGCATACAAATTCTACTTTTAGCTGATTCCAAACTTAAAGGCATAACTCATCAATGACATGTTTCTTTCAGTCTATTTTATTTTAATTTTATACCAATGTCATCATTTCATATCCCAGTACCACTCTCTTTCCGATGGTTTACATCATATTGAAACTGTATAATCCTGTGCCCAGCTTAACGGAGTGAACATAATCATCTCCAGTTATATCGCAATCAAAATGGACTTGTGCATTATTTGGACTAGAATCTAAATAGAATGCGCTGAATCTATTTTAATGATAGAAATTCGTTGATGTACCTAAAATTAAACATTTCATTCAATTTCTTTATAATGGCAGCTTCCAATTTACCAGTAGAGTCCCATCTTCCTGTCATGATATAAGAAGGTTGATCAAATGGAGTTCTCAACTCTCCTCCTAAATATTGAGCAGCTAGAGTGTAACTTGGAACTGGAGGTTGTTTCATAGGATTAGGATTAGGTGCCTTGCCTTTGCTCTATAATTTTAGATATGTTCAAATACTGATGGTGGAATCATCCAGGAATGAGCTAAATGAAAATTACTGGATAATCCTCCAGCTACTTCAAATTTAAATCCTTTGATATGTTCTACTTTTTTTGTAACAGCCCTAACATTGTTCAATAAACCATCAAAAAGTGGTGGTCTTCTTGGGTAACGATTTCTAAATTAAGGTGGTAAACTCATTTCTTCCTCATCATTTATTTTAAGATGTGGATCTTGTTAGGCGAATGCTGGATTATCCATGTCAACCTATTCTTTGTTCATTGCTGCCATTATTAATTTTTAATTAATTTATTATGAATTAAGACGATCACAATTCTAATCAACAAAATCTCCATAACAATTTACTCAATTTCGACCAAGCAAAGCCTTAAAAACAACAAACCATATCATCAAGATTCACTCCATAATAGTTATGTCTCTTTCCAATTTAAAATCATCTCTTCATTCAATCTCATATCTGAACAAGAAACGATAGATTAAATTAAGTTATTGACAAAACTATCAGCTGATTATGGTTTTTGATAATAGGAACAAAATTATAATTGGCTTTCTACGAATAAACTTCTTTTAAATAAGTAAAAACTAAAAATCAAATTTTTTAACCTAACTAGTATACTCTTTAATTTTGATAACCATACTCTCCTCATTTGTAGAAATCTTAATCCTTATGATACTTCCTAGGATTAAAAATCTTTATCTAAAGAGTTGTAATATAACTCAATCTATTGATTTAATATAAGAAGGTCTCCTCTTTTTAATGTAATTACAAAAAAAAGTAAATGCTTAAATTTCTATTTCTAATGTTTTCCAAAGAATTCGGTTTAATAATCAATATATTTTTTGTATTCAAAAAGTGGTAATTGTGCTATATACAAAAATAGAGAATTGGAAATCCTTATAGAAATATATTAATTTGTAGAAGAAGCTCTCTCAGAAACCTAGAAACATTATAACTAAATTTTAAACTCAAAATGGTTGTAGCCAAAAATCCTCTTGATTAATTAATGTTCAAAAATATAGAAAGAATTGAATTTTAAGAAGTATAAAAAAAAAACTAGGAAGAGTTGAAATAGTAGAAATTTGGCTATAATCAAACAATTTTGTGAATGCTAGAGCGTTAACTAAAAAAATAATGATCGATATGAATTTGAGAATTGTCTTTATAATGAGTAGTAGCAACTATAAAACAAAAATTATGTTTTCTCTATTGAAATAAATTTATTTCATTAAAACATAATAGAAACATAATTAAAAATATATTTAATCATGGAACTTTACTTAAGTTCTTTAGCTCTTTTATTAAAGGTAAAATTTTCTTTCCTTCTCTCTAATGTTCTTAAATTTTTTAACTTGCCCATATCAGGAAAATTTCATCCTCTTTTTCTATCTTTCTTTATTTCTCTTCTTATTAATCTAATTATTCAATATACTCTTTTTCTCTTATAACCTATGAGATATTAATATGATAATAATACTTTCTTTTCATCAATTTAGTTTTATTAAAATCTTGCATTCTAAACTCTTCTCTCTCTTTATGCAGTAGTTTCAGCTCTTTCTATTTCTTCTAATTCTTTACCTCTTCTTTCCCAGTATGTCTGAAACTCTTTTTTATGATAATCAACAGCTAAATATTAATTAATATAAAATACATTTAGATTCTGTTTCTTTCACTTCTTCTTTGATCTTTCTACTATAATCAATTGCTCTACACATTTATTCTCTCTTCTGCTTTTTTATTTTTTCTACTTCTTCAGCTTTAACTTAAGCTTCTATAATTTATTTATTTAAATGTTCTTCCTAGGCTTTCTTCAATCCCTCTAACTATTAAATCTATCGATCAATCATTTTTTATCTCTATTATTATTTTTCATGAAATTTTAAATCCTCCCTCACTTTTCGCATCTCAGCTATTCTATGTTTCTTTTCAGCATGTTATCTTATCTTTTCATCTTCTTCCTTCTCTTTAATTTTCTATTAAATCTTGAATTCTGTTAATTAATCATTCGCCAATTATACTAACCTCTGATTCTCCTATATCTTTTCCTATTTTAGTCTTTATATCTTTTAATCCTCTTCTAAAGCATCCCTAACCTTTTACTTAATCAATTCTCCTTCAATTCTTTCTTCCTTTAATTTAGTTAGATATTTCTCTTTCATTTCTTCATGTTATCTAAATATATGTTATCATACTTATGGAGCATATCCTTTTATTCCTTCTTCTTTTATTGTAGTAATTTCTATTTTACAATTTACTTCTAATCATATTCATCCAATTGTTCTTCTATGATTTAATGATAGATCTCTTCCTATTATTTCAGAAGTTCTTTCTTATATTTCTCCATTACAATTTATTCATCCCTCTCCTGCAATACATCTGAAAAAAGCATTTTCCCATGAAATGCCTTTACCCTATCGCCATCTTCATAAATTTATATGTTCGCTTTTTATAAAGTTATTTTCTTCTGTTCCTTCTAAAATTTCTCCTCTTCAACATCAATTTGCCTTCTCTCTTCTTCTGCTGCTGTGAATTTTTCAAATCTATGCTAATCTCTTTTTTGTTTATAAGCTGCTATAGTCGTTGGCCAACGTTTCATCCTTTCTTCAGAATTTGCCTTCCTAAAATGAAAGCAAGTTATACATTCTCATTTTATCCAGTTACCGTTCTTCTGTGGCCAAATTCCCTCCCTTAAGTTTTCCCCTTATATGATTGATTTCAGAAAGTGGTATAAGAGTTTGAGTTTATGTTTTTGAAAATTGATTTTATTGCTACCCTCTCGATGTATTGGATAACATTTATTATAATGAGTTATTTATTAAACATAAATTTTCAAGAAATTTCACAATCTATTGATTATATGACATTCATCATATGGTTGACTTATGAGTAAGAAAACATATATCGACATAAGACAGAATTAAAGTATAAAATAAATCATCTAATTTAAAATGCATATCCTCCTAATTCAATATATGAATTAATATTTTATTTCAACTGTTAAACCTAAAGTTTATAATTTCATTCAATCTTTGTTGTTTTTAATCATCCCAACATAATAAAAAAGCTCAATTAATTTAGTAGATAGAAGGAGTTTGAAACACTGGCTTGACTCATACTTTATTTGTTATTTATAATATATTTCTATTTAAAAATGAATGAATCAAGTTCAATTTGGACTAATTATATTTTATTGAGAATGAAAAAGGTAGAGAAAGTTTTAACACTAAAATGATAAAGATTAATTGGAATATTTAAGAATTGAGTAAGAACTACTTAAAATATTTAAAGAAAATATAATCATATAAATTTAGCAAGACTGAATTAAAATACTGACTTTTTTAATTTATTAAAAGTTTAAATGCTAAATAATATTAAACTTATAAAGTAAAATTAGATTTGATATATTTATTCTTCCTATTATCTTTCCATCTTCTGTCTTTCAGTTGTACGATTTGAATTAATAAATATTCCTTAATCTTATTATTCCCTTTAGCCCATCAATAAAATTTTCCTTTTCCATTTTTACCTACTTAATATTAATAAAGCTATAAATAGAACAATTTACTCTTATTAATCAAAAAAGTGTAAATAAATGAATATTCTTTTGGAACAAAGTATTGATACAATAAAGAATAATAATATTGTGAGTTTTAAGGATATTTTCAAGTTCTTATTATATAATAAATTCTAAATTATTAATGGATACAATTCTTATAAAATCATTACTTTAAACTTGTGAATCTTTCTTTTAATAAATTTTTTAAATCATCTATTTCTTTTTTGTATTTATCTTGATAGTTTTCAATCAATTGATCAATACTATGACAACTAAGTTCTTCTTTTTTTCTTGACATTATTTCATTTGATTTTTGAATCAAATTTTCTGGTCTGCCTTATTTATTCGAAGGTGATTCGTCTTCAGGCATATTAGTTTAACTTTCATTCTATAATTTGGTTAAATGTTCTCTAAACTCTTATCCCCAAGCAAGTACGAATGCCCAACTTACGAAATGCTTATGCTTATTAATGTCATATAAGTCATCTTCAGCAGATAAGTCTTGAATAGTACTCTCAGGTTGATCTAACTGCTTATGTTTATTGTTAAAGTTTAGATTATCTTCACCAGAGAAGTCTTGACTAAAATTCTCATGTAAATCAAAATGTTTTTGTCTTTTAATATCATGTAAATCATCTTCAACAGATATGTCTTGGCTAGAACACTTTGATTAATCTGTTAATTCTAGGAGGTTCTTCAATGTTCTCTAGAAATCTTGATGTATGATGGGATTTAACAACATCATTTTCGAGTTTGAGTTTTCTTAATCAAAAGTAGCTTCATCAGAAGTATTGTCTCCGAAAATAAAATAATTCATCTGCTGCTTATCCCCAATCAATTTTATTGATAAATGGTTTTCAAGTTTTTTTAATAATTTAGTTTAGAGCTCCTAAATATTTATATATAATAAATAATTTACAGTAGCCTCTTCTATAAATGTTTATCGTTTAAGTTTGAAGTTATTAAAAGTAACTTCTTATTAGTTTTCAGGCCAGAAAGAATTCTTTAGTTTATTTGCAGATTACCCGCTGAGACACTTAAATAAAATTTGACATTTGCTTGCTAGTATTCGAACGATTTCTCTTGTTTCATTATCTGTAAACCAGTATTATTTTTAATTATTGTTTTATTGTTTTTGGTCGATTGAAGGTTGAGGTGACTAAGAAAATCATCTTATCTTTTTTTACTTTATATTTAGGAGGTCTTCCTCTTTATTTATTAGTAGAAGGTTTCTTTTATTATCCATTTGATTATTTTTAAGGTTGTTTCCCCATATTTATTAAATAATTATCATTTTATATATAGGTTATTAATAATTTTATATTATTGTGATCAGATAGAATTAAGTATATATTTATAAGTTATTTGATGTTAAGCAATTTAAATGCGAGTTCAAATCATTATAAAGTTATGATATATTATTTTATTTTTAATATTTATAAGAGAGACTTATATTTATTTTAGAAATAAAGTTTCAATAAATCAAAATTTGAAAAGATTTCATTAAATTTGAAAATGATTCAAAATCTAATATTAGATGTTAGGCTTCCATGTGACATAAAACTGGTTTGATTTTTTCTAAAATTTAATGATCAACATCTAAGTTTATAAAATCAGTGGATATTTGTCCATCCTTATCATTGTCAAGTTGATTAAATATTATCCTCAAAATTTCTTGATTCTGTTTAAATTACATCCTCTGTTATGCGAACTCAATTAACTTTTTTCTCTAAGGTATTCCTATCAATTATGCTAATTCATAATCTTCTTAATCTATTTTTTTGCTTACTTTCTTATATATATTATCTTTTGTGATTTTTGGTTTAAAATCATGACCAATAGGAGAGTTAGACTCGATTCTCAGCTTTTGCAATCTTTTTTCTGACACATTCTTTTAAGATATCAATCTATTAGCCAAGTCGACTTGTTCTTATCTTGATCTTTTTGGTTGCTATTTGTAATCCTTATTCTATTCGATATCAGTTACACATTTGGCATTCCTCAGTTCATTTTTTTTTTATAACAAATTTCCCTATGATTTCTAACCTTGAATTATAAAATTGCTTGTATTTCGCTAATGCAATTAGGCAGTTGATGGTTTCTTCTAAATCTAAGCCCAAACTGTATTATGAAGTGCTTCATAATCATTTTTTTCTAAATTAATTGTTTAAATTAATTACTAACTTATGCTGGTTTTTAAATAATTGCTTATGATTAACATTGTTTCAATGTATTTGTTTATGGCACAAATTTCTATCTGATTTGCTTCTCTTATAATTTTAGTTGATCTCTAATGTGATCAATTATAAATTATTTGCCATCCTCTTGAATATTGTGTCTGTCACAAAAGAATTCTGCTAGCATCTCGATGTCATCTCCTTCATAGATGTGAATATATTCAGGTTTGTCTCCAGTGTCCAAAGTGACGATTGCCTTCAAAGCACTCATTGAATTTTTGAATTAAATATTAATTATAAGTGTATTTATTATATCGAATTAGATTATTGTTTGAATAATTTGATTATTAAATGACAATACAATAATAAAACAAATTTAATAATTCTGTAACAATAATCTTAAATTTATTTCAATAAACATATGACTTTTATCTGAACATTTTCACTTGAGCCATAGCTTAATTCTATCCATTCAATTTTAGATATTCACATGTTAGGTGTTTCAAATAGTAAGATCTATCTAGAATAACTATAGTTAAAAGATTCTTCGCCATTTATATGAGGTTTGTTCGGTCTGTCTATATATTTGAGGTATATTTAAATTACCTATTCAAATCTTGGGATTTTCTCTTAAATTATTTGGTTGAGTTTATCCTAATATGTAGCTATAAAGAGTTGTTGTTTGACATTCAACAATTCTATAGTCAATCTAAAATTTATAACAACAGCAGATTTGATATAATAGTTGATTGTTTTTTATATAATATGTTTATCTGATAATCATAATATCATCAGATCAAAATTGGAAATGGATATGCCAAGAATCTACAATAAAACAAGACTATCATACCTCACTTTTTAATGATTTAATGAGCTAATTTGGCCTTAAATAAAAGCATTTGTTTTGGATTTCGGAAATCTATTTTCTCAACAGCAGAATAAAAAATTGAGGAGTTTGAACAACTGGATCGAGATGCTTTGATTGTTTCGGGAGTCTTCATGTTCATAATAGATATTTTATGTTTAATTATTTATTAAATGAAGTGATATGTAGAATATGGCTTTGTAATTTATCAAGCCACTTCTGATTTTAAGTATTTTCTATTCATCAGAGTCTCTACTGCTAATTTTTAAATGCACTCTATCTAATTGCTATCTTTAAAAAGAACAAGCAAGGTGGCATCTCTATAAATTTAGACAGTTATTTTAGGATTTCTTTACGGCAACAGTGATTCATTAATCTGTATGTTTAAATAAAATAATTTAAATGATTATGCCAAAAATAGACAAAATGGTAAAATTTATTATTATCTCACATCATTTCAAGAATTCAGTATTGAAATCTACAGTGTTTTGTAAACTCGTCTAGCTTTTTAATATTTATATAATATAATTAAATTACATAAAAACGGAAATGAGATTATTATTGGTTCTATTGATTGTGACAATTGTTTCTGCCACAATGGCTCCCCCCATAACAAGTAATGATAAAAAATGGGTGAGATCATCTATTGAAAATAATGATTGTCACAAAGATTGCAGAAGAGCAGATGGTCATGTTTGTGCAGGATTACATAAATCATAATGTTGCCAAAGACATTGGTGTTTATAGGATGAAAAACTACATGATGTGTGGAGCTGCAGAACTGGATTGTAACATTACTTGTTTTTATAAACTCTAGCGAAATTCACGTTGATTCATGTAATTCTTTCCCTAAAAGAGATGCAGGATTTCTATAAGAAAACAATTGATATAAGCAATTAAAATAATTTACATATAGTCGAAAAATAATTTTACTTAAGCATTTAGTCAATCCTTGGATAATTTTGCATAAATTTTCATCAATTATTTCATTCGACCAAAATGATAGTTATAACTTCATTGACAAATATTCTGGTTTAATTCAATCATAAAATAAGAAACTTACAGCCTAAATTGTTTATTTGGAGTTAATAAGGAAGTTAAATAAATGCTAGATTATATTTCCTTATTTATTTCTTCAAGATATTCTACCTTGCATCATTATATTTACCATTAATATTCAATCTTGTCCTTCAGAGTCCTAAAAACAGCGACTTTTTTGATTTATAATTCATCTAATAAAGTTGTTAACAATTATTCTTTAAAAATGAATAAGGTTAAGTTATTTTTAATTAATTTTTTCCTTCTAGTGATAATATATCCAGTTAGCTTTATGTGATTATAAATTCTAATTCAATAACAATAATAATCTATTCAATTTATCCAAATATTTAACTAAATTAAGCTATGAATTTAGATTCAATATATTATAAATTAGTTTTTAAATACTAAATTTTTGGCTGTTGAAGAATAAATTTGTGAAAGTAATTGAACAATTCATCAACTTTCCTAAGGATATATTAAAATATACTGGGTTGTGATTACTATTGCAAAAGAAGAAAACAAATTTATACTTTCAAGTTGATAAGATATTTAATATACATATATTTACTATTTCATTTTTTAATTTAAAGGATACTAAAACTGCAATCTAATGCAGCTATTGCACATTTATCTTTTAAAATATTCATTTTCATTGTCTTTGCTCTCATTTTCATAATTTTATCCCATTTATTAAACTATTCATTTACAAGTAAGATAGCTACAATCGATAAAAATCAATACTTCCATCTTCACAACCTAAAATTAGAGACTAATCAGTTGAGCATACGCACCAAGGATTGAGCTTTTTATCTGGATAAGTGATTTTCTTAATTAAATGGTAATTCTCTAAATTCCAAACTGTGATTTCAGAACCAAAACCGAATAATTAGTTCATTCTTACTATCAAAGCATATTGTGGCTAAGATGTATCAATTTTTTTTAATGGAGTATTTGATTCATATTACCAAAAGTATATTAGGTTCTGTCTAACACTTTTAGTCTTCATTTCCCATAAACTGAAACAAAATAGCCTTTTTTAATTGATCAAACACATAGGTCCAAATGTAGAACCCTGTATTCTATATTTAATTAATTTACCAGAGTCTAATTTCCATTAATAGACATAGTTTTAAGAGATAACTTAGAAGAATGTATTTGTAGCAAATATTGATTAAGTTTAGGCACAATAATATAGTTTACTTGGAGTTCCTTAAGATTCTTCAAATTCTAATTTATTCTCCACATATTGATGGTTCACCCATTAAAATAGTTTAATATTATGCACGTAGGCTAATACTATTCTATCATTTCCAATTGCAATTGAATCATAAACCCCGTTCTTTTCTTAACATATTTATTATTTGATTATCTACATCTCAGGATCAAATATTATGTATGGGTTATAATCTCCAGCTGCAATTCCCAATAGGTTATCATTCAACCAAGTGATGCTATACATTCTTTTAAATTTGAAAGTTGTTGGGATCTCAAAACTATTTGATTTCTCAACTAGATTTTGATTGAGGATTGGAATGTCAACTTATTTTATAAACAATGAGTCTGTTTCTTCCTTATTAGTAGTTTTAATCAGATCTTGATCATCATCAAAATTAATAGTTTACACTTCTTTAGTGATATTTTAATTCTAATTAAATTACGATATACATCTTTAGATTGTTTATTCAAAATGTACTACTTCTTGTAATTTCTCTTTTATTTACTTTATTTGATCTCGAGCAATATAAAAATTTATTAACTGAAATAAATATTTCTCCTCCTCATTTTGCAATATCATCATCAGATTTTCTACTTATTTCTTCTGAGAACTCTTGATCAAGTCTTAATATGATGAATTAATCTTGGAGCTGAGTTATTCTATTGAAATGGGTAATTGATCGTATAATACGATTTACAGTTCTGAAAGCAACGGAAGTGCTTTTTATTGGAAATCCATCAAATCAGCTTTTAGGACAAATTTATGAGATTCAATGCATTCTATATCATTGCAAATATCACAAACCTCCTTGATCATCTATTACTCAATCAAATAACCTATCTTCTAATGACTGCAATTAATTATCATTAATATTTTATTAGTATTTCATTTATTGCAATAATTATTTTTATTATTCAATTCCCAAACTATAAAACAACACTAAATCCACCCAAAACCTAATATAAATCGATCCCCAAAAAGATTCTAATCAAAACAGATGCAATACAAGTCTTTTAAATTAAGACAATAAATTTTGAATTTATAAATAATAAAAAGTTCTATTCTTATTATTATTTTACAAAATGTAAGAACCTTTTGATTTATTTGGATTTTAATTGAATGAATAAATATATCAGTACTCTGATTCCTCAAATGATGGGTTATTTCAAAATAACAATTAAAATATTGATGCAATTTCAGAATAGGATAATGCCTTGATTTTAAATTAAATAGAATCACCTCCACCTCAAAAGGAGGATATTGATGTAGTTAGAATCTTAAATTTTGAAGAAGTTAAAGTGTTCATAGATGAATTAATTTGTCCCATTTGCTCTTACATATTGATTGATCCAAGAATATGTTCGGATTGTAGTCAAGGATTTTGTAAATAGTGTCTTACATAATGGTATCTAAATCTTCATAGATATTGCTTAGGTTCAATAAATATCATTTGAAGAGCTGCCCTTGTTGTAGATCTATTTCAAATGAACCAGATGATGGATCAAAAGCCCCAAAACTATTGTTTAAATTGTTGAGCAAATTGAAAATAAGTTGTAAATATTAAGTAAAATATTATACCAATCTTAATAATAGAATAATGGTTGTAAGTAGGCCATTTGGTATGAGAGCAAAGAAAAGCACTACGAAAAAGAATGCGAATATAAAGCAATTATTTGTCAATATTGTTTTGAAATATTTTTGAAAATGGAAAGTGAAACTCACGTAAACCATATTATGTAAAATAATAGTTTGAAAAATGTTAATATAAGCCTAAAAAATGTAAATGGTGCTCTAAATCATTTTCTTATTACAAGCACTAAAAACATTAAGATGATTGCTCCCCAAGAAAATTAACCTGTCCAATCTGTGTATAGGAATTTTCAATTAAGAAGATGGAAGGGCATATTTAATTTTGCTTTCCAAAAAAGTAGTTAAAGATAATAAAGAATGAACTGTAAGAAAGTATATAAGAAGTTTAAAAGGCAAAATAGGAGATTAAAGAATCAATCAAAGAAATATTAGAGATCGACATGTTTATAAGAAAGTAGAAATAAAAATGTTAAAAAAAAAAATAGTTAGATGAAATATTGAACAATGAAATTATAAATAGTTTTGAATAACCGGTTTGTTAATAAAAAGATGTAGATCCTTAAGAGTTGAATTAAGAGTAAGTTGATTTCTAAGAACACCATTTATAATAACAGATTAAAGATGCTAGCATCCAAATTTAAGAATTTGGAGAGGAACAGAAAATAAATAATATCTGCTAGGAAGAAGCAGAGTTTTAGAATTGACTATTAGTAAAAATTACTTATTATTATTTTTTAATGATTCAATAAATGATGTATATTGAAATACGATACCATTCTAAATTGATCATCATCACTTTACAATATATATATATAAGTGTGTTAGTTCTGATTTCACAGTATGAACCACTTTAAATTCTCATATTTACAATTTTATTTACACAGAAACATAGTTAATGTAACTTGAGCCTTTTGTACAACTAAATTGTAATCTGCTAACTTGAGTGTAATTAGTAACAATGTTTTCATAAGTATCATATTTATTTGCAATATAAAATACTCATCATTTTCATATCTACCTTTGAGATTATCTTATAATTGATAGCGTTGATGTTGGTGTTATTGATTCTTAAGAAGAATTATAATAAATATTAATTTATATTTTAATATGAATAAAGAGAAAGATAACTAGGAACTATTAATAGGAAAGGATTGGGAAGGAAACCAAATTCATATTCATCACAATGATCTTCATAAGGCAGAATATGTTGACGTTTAGGCTATGTTGAATGATACCTTAGATAAATTGGATAAAATAGAGAAGATAGAAATATTTATGACCTTCCTTAACTTTACTACAAAAGCCTTATCACTCTACCTCGTCCTCATTTATTATGATACAGTTTTCAAATACGATTCTCTATTGCTATTTAGTTATCTCTTATATGCTCTGCTTGAGGTGGTGGCTTTTGGAGCTGCATTTGCAGTTGTTTTGAGTGCTCGTATAATTTCAGCCTTGTTGGGAGTGAACGTATTCTATTTAGGTAAGATGCAACCTATGATTTAGACAGCTTCATTTATTTACCCATCTTGTATTCTGTATTTAAGTTTTGCTTTGTGGTAACATTTCTTGTTTAATCATTGACCGTGGTGATCTTTTCTAAGTTTTCCCATTGGGTGTTCCCTTTAGTTTTGGTATAAGAAGCAATTGAAATATTAAAATAGATAGCCTCCCTGTTTGTGACTCTGATATTGCAGGTTAGTCGATTGATCCTGATGGTGGGTGGGAAGGTCAGTTCCATATCGAAGTGTTTTGATACCAACTGGATATTTAAGATATTGGCTCCTGAGAATTGGCAGAAGGTATGCTATTTAATGCTATGAATAACAAGAGTTACCAATTGACAAGGAATATGCTGTATCAATTTTTGAATATCTTCGAGGAACTCAACCCAGAATACAAAGAATTTATACAGAAGGGTTACAAGTATCAGAAGCAAGTGATCGAATTGAAGGAGGACATCGAATGGGCCAAAGATTTCATCAAGAGATCGATCATAGAAAATAACGATGTTCCAGGCAATACTACTTCTAATAGATAATCTCTTGCCGTACAACATTGAATATGCACTATTATTATAATTATTCGCTTGTACCATAAGCTCTTGATTAAGTAGTATTTTAAAATCAATTCCTAATTCAATTATTATTATCAGATTAAATGAGCTATTTATCTCAATCTAGTCGATTGACTTTCCTGTTAATACAACTCAAAGGCAAAGATTTAATTACGCCTGACTAATATTCTCGACTTTGTGACCATGCGGCTAAAGACAACCCACAATTAAAGGAATTGCTAGTTAACTACGAGAATGGTTTATCGTAAAGTGAGCTAATTGACGAATTGTCTAAAATGCTAAATAATCAGGATGGGAATGAAAACATCGTCAAATCCTACTTGTAAGTTCTTTAATAATACTGCTTAGTGATTCTATCGTGTGCATATGCAAATAACTCAAGAACAAGATTAAGGAGTTTTATCGCGACATTAAGGTAAATTGAATCTAAATTAGATCTCAGTAAGATATCAACGAAATTTATAAGGAGTGTTTTATTGCTCAACATCACTAATAGGAAGTAAAGGATCTCATTCGATTGATTCTCAAGCAATTTTATATCAAAGAGTTCAGCCTGCTCCAGTTTAAGCAAGATCATCAATGTCACATTCTATCAAATAATTTTGAATCCACTATAATTAAAGAGGCCCAAGAAATTCAAGAGTTCATTGATTCCCAACCCCATCAATAACTATTAGAAACTCCAGCAGATTATCTTAGTTTATTAAAAACAGAAAAACTGCCTTAGTATTGTATAATATCTAATAATGATATCTTTTTCTTATCCTTTACTGAAAAAGTGAATAACAACTTTAAGCAGTATCTTATGATTACTTCTCTTTATGACTCTATTATTTCAATTATCAAACAAGGAAATCAAATAGTGGGATTAAAAAAGTTATAGACTATTAGAATGGAAATACTGCAGTTGGTCTCAAGAACAATCAATATTTTGACATACAAACTAATATTTCATATGTTGGTTTAGATTATGAAATAATTTAATTTGTACAATTTGGTTAGCCCGATAGACAAGGAATATTATTAGCAACAAAAGGTGACTAATTATCTATTGTTTACATTTAAAAGTGAATGGAATTGTGTGTTTATAGAGTTGTAAGGCAATCTTTCCTTATAATTGAAAGAAAAGGTCTAGAGTACGTTTAGAAAGAGTATCAAAAGATATAGTAAAAAATTGAAATAGAAAAAGAATTTGTTAGAGTCTTTCTAATAAGTTACTTAGCATAATGAAATGATTATGTGTCTTTTCTTTAACAGTTACTTGTATTTGTATTATATGACTGTCTAATGGAATCATGATTAATTTGTGTATGATTTGCATATAAATATAGGTCTCGATTCAAACTATCCAGAGAAATCAATCACGGAGATCCCATTTACAAGATCTTTGAGAAGAACCCTGTCATAATATCAAGGGTTAAGGAATTAATTGAATCTAAAAATGACCATTTGGAATTTGATGATGGGTTTTATAAATTCTCATTGAAGGTTGAGAGAGGAAGAAAACAAGAAGTCAAACAAATTTCAGTCTATTTATTTAACATATAATTGAAAAGGTAATTCTACTTGTTATTTATATAAGACCTCTCAATGAGTTGTTACAGATCTTCAGAAGCAAAGTGAAAATACTATTAACACTAAAGAAGGCTACTTTGGCATTTAAATCAAAGCAGTTAATGATGGAAAACTAGTTCTTTAGATCGTCAGCTTTGGTGATGTACTTGCCTGATCACGATATGAGAAAACTGGCTATTGTTTATAATTAGGATCATGATTAAGCCCTAGAGAAATATCGTGCAGCCACAATGAAGAAGAAATCAAAAAAATTATCGTTATTTTTAGCCAAATATGAGGAAGAAGATAAGAAAAATCCAGATGGACGAAAAATAGCAATAGATCCTAATTTACAAGAGAGATTATTGGATTACGAATTCAATCTATTAAACAAGAAATAATATAAGAATAAGTTCATTATAGTGTACAACATCTTTGATATGCTGGAATACACCAAACAATATCCATTGAAAAATAAAGAGTTCATCAATTTTTTAACTGCTCTGAAGTACAAATATAATAAGACAGCAAATCCATTTCATAATTTTACTCATGGAGTTAATGTGATGCATGGATGTTTCCTTTTTACTCATCATCCAAAATTCGGATTCTGTTTCAATGATTAATAGAGATTTGCAATGACACTTGCTGGTTTATGTCACGATGTTGGACATCCTGGGACAAATAACCTATTTTAAGTAAACACTTAAACCAAATTGGCTTTATTATATAATGACAAATCTGTTTTGGAAAATCATCATATAGCAGTCACTTATAAGTTGTTAGCCCTGGAACAATGTGATTTTTTGGAATCAGTCCCTAGGGCTGACAAACTCATGATCAGAAAATATATTGTGAATAATGTGTTGGCAACCGATAATCAATTTCATTTTAAGATACTTAATGACATCGAGATAAAGTTTGCTCAATCTTAAGGGGATCCCAAAATCTTTGGTACCTTATTTAACTTATATAATAATTAGAATCTGATGACAACAAGCTGCTTCTAAGTGGGTTCTTGACTCATGCAGCTGACTTCTTTGGAGCAGCTAAGTCTTATTAAGTCGCTAGGACATGGAGTGAAAGATTAAGGAGAGAATTTCAGGCTTAGGTAAATTACTGATATTATGAATTATAAAGTCTTAATTAGAGGATATAGTGGGTATCGCATAGACTCCGTATCTCAGGAATTTAGATGATGAAGTGCAATATGCCAAAAATGAGATCGGATTCTTGAAGGTTATTGTGAAACCAATTTATGAATCCTTGAATTAATTCTCTGATGGTGCGATGTCATTACAATTGGCCAATATCAATTTGAGCATCAAAAAATATTCGGAAATCGTTGATTCACGGTAATAATTATGATATATGATTGTATAAAGCCCTATAAAATACTAATATCATTCTAATTCACTATCTGATAGATCTGAATCCTTTCCTGAAAATGCTTCCAATTTTTTATTGATATCTTGCATCAGGTCAATGCTTCGATTAAAAGAATTCCTACATTCCTCTATAGACACTCTATTTGTCGTTTTGTTTTAACTATTATCACTTTCTGAACATGGACAACTCACCAAATCCAAATTGTTATCTATTAAATAGATCAATCATCTATACTCTTGTCTTATTCATTCATAGCTGCTTACTCCTTTTGTTCCTCAATAAGTTACTGATTTCTAGACTATAAACAACCCATTAAATAATAAAATATATATATAATTAAAACATTCATTTATATTTCAAAAATATAGCCTCTGATCTACCCTCGATATTATCTACATAAGTACATTTGGCCTTCACTGGGTAGTTTTTCTATTTATAAATTATACACTATTACTGAATTATATGCTGTCCCAAAAAATTCATCCATGAAAGTATCACCAAAATTTACTACATAATAAAGATGATGTTTGTAATGATCGGAATGGTCGTATTCACTATATGATTTATTATTATTTCATACCCTCCATCGTGTCCCATCATCTCATTTACTGTGATATACTCAAAGAAAAACAAAGTCATCAAAGGGTGTATGGGTATTATCAGTTCTGCCAAATGCAACACAGTGTTCACTTCGCTGATTCCTTCAAGTGGATGTGTTGCACAAAATCCAAAAGCAGTGGGTTCTCTGAATGAATGGTGTATGTAATGAACATATTTATAGAGAAATCTGAAGTGGAAAATTCTATGAACCCAATATCCCAAAACTATTCAAATCATATAAACTCATACATGTGGTCCAAATATACATAAAGATCATTCCGTATGCAAAGTTCAATAATCCATATTGATTGATCGTATAATAACGATACCAACTGCAATAGGGATAGACATAATGATAGAAAATCTACGCAAATCACATTAGAATTGTACCATTGAGTAGGCAACTTGTAAAAATATCTATGTTGTTCCATATTTGATTTCCCTTTTTATATTTTACATTCTTTTCTAGTTTTTAGGCATTGGATTTTTCCACTCAAATATAGCACTAACCAGCAAATACTGTAATATCCCTACAAAGGAGTAAGCAGCGATCTGAATTCAAAGTAAATATTACATTATAAACTAATTGGGTTGGATTGGCATTCTCTTAATCACTATATCCAAAGTCAAAGACAGAATAAGCATTGGTTGGTTAAACACACAAGATCAAAAGGAGAGTGAAAAGAACGATGTTCCTCATTTTACAATTGTTGCAATGAATATAATTTTGAATTGCAATAAAGATTGTATAAATTAAGATAAATATTTGACGTGACGAGTTGCGCATTCAGAATTTAGATTCAAAAAATTTATAATAAATAAACAAAATAATTATTAAGTAAATAGTCGATAAATTATGTTATTCTTCCATTTTTAAAAATCTATTACTATAAATTTTAAAAATATCTAAATTAATATCCTAGAATTAACTCTAGAATATTGATCAAAATGTTGGATAGTATCGTTGCAAAGGTATCCCCAGAAAATATAGGACTCAAGCATTCTCAAGGATTGGGTAATCATTTTCATTTAAATTAAGGAATTCTAATCTCATTTATGATGATTTTATTTTAAATGAGATTAACATTGAAAGTAAAATAGAGAAGTTTTGTTAATTATTTGAATCATCTTTTATATTTTACAAGACATAATTTAATTGAATTGATGAAGCCCCAATTCTTATTTTGTATTAAGTTTGATCATAAATAATTTCTATTTATTTTATATTATGGTTGTCTTGCACAGTTAGATAATATTAAAATGTGAAACACATAATTTTAAATCTAATTTAAAAAATCCAAGATTTTTATGAAGGTAACTAAATATGCTTTGCTTAGTTCAACATTTCCTACCCTTTGACAGGCGCTTAAAAAACAGTCGAAATTGATGATGACAAGAAATGGTAAGAAATTATTGGTGATTATATAGCTCAATATTCTTCGATAAGAGAATGGGACAAGTTGTAGAGGCAGACAACTTAGGTGAAGAATACAAAGGATATGTACTCAAGATCACTGGTGGTAACGATAAACAAGGTTTCCCAATGAGACAAGGAGTCCTATTCAAGGGCAGAGTGAGAATCCTCATGAGAAAGGGACACAAGGGCTACAGACCAAGAAAGGATGGAGAGATGAAACGCAAATCAATTAGAGGATGCATTGTAGGTCAAGACATCAGAGTACTTGCCTTGTAAGTCGTAAAGAAGGGTGCCAATGAAATTGCTGGACTCACAGATCAAAACGTCCCAAGAAGATTGGGTCCAAAGAGATTAACCAAATTGAGAAGATTATTCGGATTCAAGAAGGCTGATGGTGTTGCTATAGTTTAAAAGAATCTCATTAGAAGAACATGGACCACCAAGGATGGAAAGAAGAGATAAAAGGCTCCAAAGATCCAAAGACTCGTCACCGAATCCAGATTGAGAAGAAAGACCATCTAAAAGAAGACAGAATAAGCCAGAAAGAACCAAAGCCCAAATAAGCTTTGGAAGCATATAAAAAATTGGCTCATGATGTCCATGAAGCTCACAAGAAGCACAGAAAAGCCTCATCAGAAATCAAGGAGAAAGTCAAGGAACAACCAAAAGTAACAAAAATTAAGCTAACCATTAGGCCAAAGACACTAAATAAGTTAAATCAACCTAAGCAGCTAAACCAACAACATAAGCTAAGGGTCCTGCTCCAGCCAAAGCAGCTGCTCCAGTTAAAGCAGCAGCCCCAGTTAAGACCACTGCACCAGCCAAGACTGTACCATAACCAACTCAAAAAGCTCCAACCAAAGCCAAAAAATGAAAATGATATTATAAAATAAAGTACATTACATAAAATATGATAAATTAATAAATATCAATTTGAAAATGAAAACTAGGGAGATTCTTTTTCTTGTTTCTTACCTACAAATTCAAATTTTATCACTTATCTTTATTTAGAAGTTTATGGTTAAAATTTAACATGTTCTTCACTCATCTTAGATAAATGTTTTAAAGAGTGAATTTTAGGTTTATTGTTTTGTAAGTCTTTTAGGTAATGTTACTCAATTATTAATGAAAAAGGAGGCATTATTTGAGAAAAGTGCGAAAAGTGTCGATTAAATCTATAAAATCCAAGCATCTTCTATTAGAGTACCTAGCACTATCATGTTAAATATAAGTGTTTACTTCTTTATATAACTCAAGTATATGTAATTTGTTCTATTTATTATCATTTTAATTTTCGATAAGCGACTTTACATCTTTTATTATAAAAATAGCTATGTCTTGCAAATCGTAATATATTTATTTTACTATATCACCAATCAATTAATTGGTTTGAAATGATTCTACGACTTCAATTAAGGATTAAATGCTAATTCCTAAATTGCATTAATTTGATAATGCAAAATAAATTAATATATCACCATTGATTACGTCTTCATTAATAAATGTAGTTTAGGAGGCTAGCTTATATAGATAAAAATAGTATTGTTGGCAGGCTTTTCCTAAAGGAGTGTTGTCGATTTGAATATTAATTTGTTTTGATATTAAAATTTTAGATAATTCAACTCGAGCTACTGATGAACCTAAAATAGTATGAAGGAAAAGGAGGAGTTTTAACTTTTTTAATAAATTTCCCTCTTCCTAAGTCTCTATTTCAAAAATTTTAAATAAGGACTTCAAGAATTATGTCTAGGATAATGGATGCATGATAGTACTTTAATTTGCGCATTCTCGAAAAAGGAGTGCAGACGAATAGAAATTTACTAGGAGGATTAGAATTCATTGTTGTTATCGAATATGTTGAGATCTCTGAGGGCCTCCATGGTAGTTTGGGAGTTGCTTGGTAATTCCTTGAAATTAGTAATCATAATAATAGATATTTTCAGTTTATTAATTTTGAGAAATCGATTAATGTTTTTTATGTTTCATAAAGAAATGGTAAGGTTAACAATTTAAGCGAAGAGAAAATGAATTGGAAATAAATGCTTGTAAATATGAAGAAGATTGTAATTAAGTTATATAGTATAATAATAATTATTCAAATATTTATAAACAATATTAGGAGAGATGAAGGCTGCTTGTCTATTTTACAATTAAAAAAGTAATAGTTACCTATTTATTTTAGCGTATCTTGGACCAACAATATTTGTGGTGCTGCAAATTGGTTTGCATGTATGGGCTTACAAGGAATTCCTATTGTATTATTACATTTTTGGGTTGTTATATTAATGAACTATCAACTAGACCTTTCATGTTTGCTACATGCGGATTGTATTTCATAGTTCGAATCAAAGATCCTGGAACTATTCCAATAGTTAAAGTAGAAATTCCACTTGAGAACAATCAAATTGAAGTATAGATTGAAAATAACGTAAAAAGAGAAGTACTTAATGCTCAAGCAAATGATGAATCTAATGGTTAGATTTCACTAGATCAATTCAAAGATGGTCCAGACAATGACAACACAATTTAAAAGTAATATATAATTTCATATAATTTTCAGATATTACCCAGAATAACAGCAATAACAACAAGCTGACAATCAGCACATCTTATCGGGTAGAGGAATGCTTTCATCTCCCTCATCTGAATAAGCAAAGATAAATACTCCAAACAAACAAACTTGTATAAGCACCTCAAATGCAGTAAGTCCTCCAACTTTAGCAGCAGAAAAGAGATTTTGTATGCAATGCTTAAATGAACAACCAATGAGAGCCAAACACTGCCAATATTGTAAGAAATGTATTCCAATGTTTGATCACCATTGTCCTTGGATCGGCATTTGCATAGGGGAGAAGAATAAACTGATATTTCTGATCTACTTATTTGTCCAAATTGCCCAGCTGATTGTGGGGATAAGGATCTCAGTTCAAAATATTGGATTACTGGTGGTTATGGGGATTATTGTAATCTTACTGATGACTCTATTGGGATTTCATACATTTTATGTTGCTAAGAATATTACGACATGTAAAGTGATCAATAATATTAGGGGAATACTTGAGTTGGAAAAGGATTTCGTATATCGACCAGAATTCAAGATACCCATTTGATAAAGGTGTGCTCAATAACATTAGGTTGCTTCTCTAAATCTCATGTCAAACACAGATTTACGAATGGTAATTATAATCTTAATGAATACTTTTATTTTGAAATAAATTCAAATTTATTTATATTAAGATTTTTATCATATATTTTCAAAACATCTTTTGAAAATGTAATCTCTCTTTGTCAAGTGTTAAAAATGTTAACAAAGACCTGCTACCATTAAGTGTAATCAGTGTAGATATGGTCAAACCTACAGGTTATGCTATTCATGCGATTCTCAAATTCATAATCGAACTGGCCCTGTAGATCAGCAACACAAAACTGAAATCATACCATATCAAGGTATTTAATAACATAAACTCGATCATTAGAAATGTACTAGAAAAATTAGGGTAATGCACCTGTTCCCTAAAAAAATGATTAAAGAAATTCATTCAAAAAAAATGATTACAAACCTCAACCTCAAGTTCCAACCAAGGACTTCCTAAACAATGAACCTAAGAAGCCTGATTATTCCAAAACCATCGATATTAATAGGGTCAGCAATAAACATGATTATTTGGATAAAAAAATCGATAGTCATGACAGAAGAGCTGATCAATAATATCTTTCTAATGATAAAAGACCCTACTCTTCCAACTAAAAGATTACTTCTGATAATGACAGAAGTAGTCAACAATTAATCAGCTAATTAAAAGAAGAATAATAGTAAACAGAAAGATTAAGAGCAGAATTATCATAGGCTAATCAAAAAGAAAGGGAAGCCTAAAGAAGATTGTACATAAATATTTATATTTTAGACAAAAATTAGAGTAAGAATTTGACCAAAAAATCAGAGAGGATAAATAAAAAATTTAATAATTAACTGAAGAAAATAGAAATTTGAATAATAAATTAAATTAAACAAACAAACATATCTAAGAAGAAGTCAATAAAGTTAGAAATCAATATGAAGATCAAATCAATGAGTTAGAATAGATTCTAAACGAAAAAAATTAGTAATTAGAAAGTATTGCTCAAGAATACAACTTAGTAATTATTAAAGTAAATTTATTAGGAAGAATTACAGTAAACTCTTAATGAATTACAGTAAGAATCTTCTATGAAAGATCAAATTATTGAATAATTATAATAAAATCTACATGATAATCAAGAAGAATTCCAATAAATGAGGGAAGAATTGATGAATAATTCCAAAAAGAATTTATAATCATCAAATAAAAAATCAGTGAAAAGTAATGATAATCAAAAAGATGAGTTGATCCAAGAATTAAGCTAATAATTAGAAGCTAAAGATGAGGAAATTCATAAATTAGAGGGTAAACTTAATATTTATTCATATTAAGATTTAATTGAGAATTTCAAGTAATTATATTAACACATGAGCGATGAGAAATAACAGTTATAGGAAGAAGTAGAGAAGTTGGCAAATGAAAATAATTAATTTAGAGATATATTCAGTGTATGAAACAATTATTATTGATTATAGCAAAACTTACATCTTTTTGGAATAGATCCTGAGTAATTAAATGAGGAAGGAGAGGAAGGCGAGAACGAATATCCGGAGGAGATTGCTGAAGAAAATGATGATCAAAATGATTGATTTTTAAATCAATAATAAGAAATTAATTCTTAATTTAATATTTGAGTTGTTTTTTACTTCCCAATAATTGATTATGTTGTCATTTATAAAATGAATAAATACACTTTAAGATTTAATAATCCAAATCTTGAGCAATAGTATTTTGCAGATCAATTTAATGAACTCTTTAAGTTTTACACCTGGGCTTGCATATTAGGAACTATAAGTGCCATATGTGTATTTTGCATGGAGTTTTTTCAGCCTTTTGGATTTGGGCCATTAAAGTACGGATTGGGGTTGATTCCAATTAGCTTTTATATAAGCCATAAAATTGTAAGAAAGTACCCTGACCTATTTAATATAATTCTGGCCTTTACAAATTTTTTGCTCGGGGTGATGATCTACTTTTTATTGTTTGTATTCGCCAATTCTAATGTTCTATTTTTGGCTGGGTAAACGGTAGCTATGGTTTAATATAGTTTAATGTTAGGATCCAACATAATTGCCAAATTTGCAATTTTATTGCTTAATTAAATTGGATTAATGATCATGTGCACATACGTTTAGGAGTTTTTTAATTCATTACAACTAATGTTTATTTTAGCTTTGTTCTTGGTTCTGAAATCACTTTGGATATAAGAGAAAATGAAACGGATGTTTTTTCTGCTCAAAACCGAAGATACTCAATTACAACAATCTCTAGATAATGTATTTCAATTCAAAATTATTTAATGCTCCTTCAACGAGGAAATAAATGCATTTTAGCTTTTACATGTAAATAAGTAGGCTACTTAATTAATTAAGGATTAAGAAGATTTTACAACATTAATAAGAAATTATAAAGTAGTCACTTTTCAACATTCAAATCCTCTAAAACATGATTCTGAATAAACAATTAGTGCTCTAGCTTAATTGAAGTAAACCTTAGAATAAGTGTTGCTTAAAACAATCAAGGAAAACATAAGTGAAACATCAGCTGAGATCTCGTCTCAAAAATTCAAACAAATTTACAAAGTATCTTTGTAAAATTGTTTAAATAATGGCCATCCAAGAATAATCATTTTACTTCAGGAAGATACTCAATGCAAAAAAATGATATAACTGAAGAAGAAAAACTATAGATACAAATTTTTGAATCACCATTTATCTAATTGTTTTGATAATTCTCGTTTGTCCTTAGGCTACTTGAAATGCTTGTTGAATCAGTAATAGTTAATAAATAAAAATCAATAACTAATTTTAAAAAGGTCTATATAATTTCTATACAAGACTATATTTGGATACTATAATATGAAATTATTTATTGGTACTACTAAATTTGGAGACTTGAAGGATTTTCACTTTTCATAACTTTTTAGTGACATTTAATAGATGTGGGGCATATACGATCCAAAATAGGAGATGGAAATATATTTCAAGCAAGGTTAAACTCAATGCTATTCTAATTATGCAATGATTCTTCAGTTAATTTTAAATGTGATTGTTATCAACATTAGTTAATTAGATTGTTAGAAAATCTTTGTTACTGTAATTATTGCATGTATATAATATAGGTTATTAAAAATTAAATTGAAGGAGTTGAAGTGGTTTGTTGTTTGATTACATTTAAGACAGAATATAATTAATTCAGACAATACTAGACAAGAGAATAAAGATATTTGAATATAATTTTGGAGAAGGTGAATAAGAAAATCTTACAGGAAATATGTTTAACATAAGCAATGTGTATTATAAACAATAAAAGCGACAGGAGGATTGAATTTAATGTAATATAAAATCTGAACGAATTTAAATTGAACCTTGAACACACTGATTAATTAAATACTATTGTGAATATTTGAGAATTATAAATTAAATTATTAATAAATGAAATAATTATATATCAATAAAGAGTAATCCGTTTGAATATTACTTGCATAGCATGAGAAAGTTCAAAATTGTTTAATATAAATAGGTATATATAATGGCAATTGCATTTTTAATGATTTGGTAATGATATTAAATTTTTACCATATATATGACGTAAAGTTGATGTATTTTAACACTCTTACATGTGATAATAATCGATTAGCTTTGAGTTGGAGGAATGGAACAACTTATAAATGGATTTCAATATTCCTCAGATGATCAAGTAGTAAAACATAATTATTGAGGAATTGGAAGTAGTTGATAAGGAATGTGAGATAGGAGGTATTTGTGATTAAATTGTGCTTAAAAAATTTCAGTGATATAAATTTATATTTTATAAATAAATTTTAATGGATAATGGTCCATGGTATTCTAAAAAGGAGGGTAGTCCTCTCAAATTATCTAGAAATGCTTCAATAACATCTCCTAGAAGAATGGATAATTCTGAGTTGAAATTAATAAGGGAATACAATAGTCAGGTTTCAATTCCTGATCATTAAATACTGTCTTTTGATCATTTGTTGGATGAAATCAATTTTGGAAAATTCTAATACTGGATATATGGTATTATGGCCTTGATGAGTATTAGTGAAGGAGCTTAAATTACTATATTTACATTAATGGTCCCCATATTAAAAAATGAATGGCACATTTCCGATTCATTAAATTCGTTATAAGCCAGTTTTGTTTTTGTAATAGTGTCATCTTAATTCAGGTAGGATATTTAGTAGGTTCAATGCTGTCAGGACAATTGGCTGATAGAGTTGGCAGAAAGAAACCATTTCTAATTAGTTCATTTTTTACATGTCTATTGTCCTTAGGAACCATCGCATGCTAAGAAATTTATTCACTTTTGATAGTCAGAGCATTACTAGGAATTCTGGGTATTATACAATCAATTAATATATAGTTGGTCTCTTTGCCCCTTGTGGAGTCACAATGATCTCAGAGATTACCCCTGGTCATTTAAGAGGGAGATATATGGGCTTAATAACTTTGACATTTGCTATAGGTCAACTGTTTGGGTTGTTTGTAGCTGAATTTACATTGACATCATTGGATGAAGGTAATTGGAGATTACTGACCTTTTGGTGTTGCCTACCAGGATTCTTGGCTTGGTTTATTAGTATATTTCGGTTGAGGGAGAGTCCTAGGTTTGCTTTGTTAAGTGGATAGAAGGATCTAGCTTACAATATTATCTAAGAAATGATTAATTCAAATCAAGCTTCAATTCAATTTAATGATGAAATGAAGATTAAATTATCCAATTGGACTCATGCAATGAATAGAATTGCCAAAAATCAAAATAATGTATTTAGTTTTTCTATCTTGAGGCTTCAATAACATCACTATTTGAGAATAATAGATTCTTTCTGACAATTTTAATTTGGTTTAATTGGCTTATACTTTCATTTGTTTATTATGGAATCGTACTTTTATTACCAGACATATTGTCACATATTGAACAAGGTCAGACTGGAAGAGATAAGATAATTTAATTAGTAGTATCCTGCATTAGTGATATTTTGGGTGCTGTAGCAGCTGCTTTCTTTATTGAATTAAAAGGGTTTGGAAGAAAGAACTCTTTAATAATATTCTTTACTATACAAGCCATAACAGCACTAATGGGATTTTATGATATTGAACATCGTTTTATATATTGGGCAACCGCATCTAAGTTTTTTCTATCTATGACTTTCATCTTTTCGTATCAAAACTCGATTTAATTTTAGATTTTAATATACAGCTGAAGTATACCCAACTAAAATAAGGACAACAGGAATAGGTATGGCCAATGGAATAGGAAGATTAGGAGGAGTGATCATGCCGTGGATATGCATGTATATGAATAGCCAGAAATTGCGAAGTCCTTTTGTGTTGTTTTCCGTTCTCTCTGTTATTACGTCATTATCAAATTGTTTTTTGCCATTTGAAACCTTAGGAAAAGAATTGGAATGACTAATTAAGATATAAATTATTATTAAATATGGAAATCACAGAAGAATAACTCATTCAAGAAGCAGTGAAAGCCAAAGAAAGAGCATATTGTCCATATTCAAACTTTAGAGTAGGATGCTCCTTGTTGACCAAAAACAATAAATTATATACAGGATGTAATGTTGAAAATGCAAGTTATGGTCTCTGTGTTTGTGCTGAGCGTGTAGCCATATGCAAAGCAGTAAGTGAAGGAGACCGTCAAATTTCAACTATTGTAGTTTCAAGGTACATCTACATACTAAAATTTAAGTGACACTGATGAGCCCACATTCCCTTGTGGTATGTGTAGATAAACAATCATTGAAGTAATAAGCATCAATTATAAGACTAGTTTTGTTACCCTGGTAACGATATTAAGATTATCGCAATTGGAAAGGATCATACTAAACCAAAATATTCAAAGGGCACCGAAGTTATACCGTTTGCATTTGTTCCTAAAGATCTCAATGTAGATCCTTAATTGGAATAAAAATGACAAAATATTTAATAAGAAACAAAAAAATCCACATTCCCATCATGTTTTAAGTAATGCTATTTACTATTATGTTTGCTTCCTCATCCAGTTAAACACAAAATATTATTCTAATATTCTTTATGATCCTAACGTAAAAATCAATAGTCATAATTTCATTTCACAACTTTTTTAATGGATATCAAGTATTTATGATTAATAATGGTGTTTTTATTATTTACCTATTGTATTTAATCCCATATTCTTCAACAGAGACTTTCTGAATCACAAATTCAATTTTGAAACTATACATTATTTATTCAATTATTTGTAGTTTGTATTACCTCCAAAAAACAATATTTAATTAATAAAAAAGTTCATGGCTTTTGTTAGCATTACTAATATTGTGGTGGAAGACAAACCCCAACCATTTACAAGTCCAATAACAATGGATATTTACTTTGATGTTATAGCTGACATAGAAGACGAAATAGAATGGACGTACAGATTTCATTATTATTATTAGACTTCTTTATATAGGTTCTCCAAAAGATGAAGCCCATGATTAAATATTGGACTAATTTTCTATGGGACCATTGACTAAAGGAACAAAGCAATTTACTCTTGAATCAAACCCTCCTGATTGGAAAAAAATTCCACAAGATGAAGTATTGGGTATCACTGCTTTCATCTTGACTTGTTCATACAGATAGAGAGAATTTTTTAGAGTCGGATATTATGTCTATAACACCTACACTTCTCCTGAAAACATTGAAAACGATCCTTAAGAAGTGATTATCGAAGATATTGCCAGATAAATCTTCAATAATAAACCCCGCATAACGAGATTTGAAATCGATTGGAATAACCCTGCAAATTCTGAAGTTCAACAACAGCCAATTGAAACTAAAGCATACATGTTTTCAGAATAATAAGAAAAATAGTCAGCAGATGCAACTGAAATTTATGGTGCTTTGCATTAGATTCAAAATGTATTTGACTCTTGATCATATATATAATTAAAACTTATCATTAATTTATTATTATAATAAATATCATTATTAATTTTCACCCTTGAAACATTTCAGCATCAAACATCAATCAATTCTCATCAAATAGACTTGGAAAATAGAACTTATCTCATTACTATTCTAGCAAATAGTAAGCAGTTAATTATTCTAAAAAAAGAATAATTGTAATAGGTATCGGAATCTTTGATTTTCAATTAAATAATTCTTCACCTATTAAAACTTAAAAATTAAGTGACTCTAACATAGTATAATTTATCTTCATATACTATAAATCAGATTTCCTTTTTGAGGTGAAAATTTCATAGATTTTATAATAAATAATTAAGAGATAGAATCAATTGGGAGACAAGATTAATAATTAAATTATATAGATGATCAATTAATAATGGTTAACTTTGATATATATTAAATTATTTATCAGCATTTACATTTTCCTTCATTTAAATTTGCAGATTATTTCATTAGTTTTAGTTGTGATTGCTCTCCTCCTCGAAATCCAGTTTTCTATTTACAAAGATCTAACTAATAATTATCATAGCTCACCTATAAATAAGCATTCAAAACATTGATTCACATTTTCTGGCACTTGTGCAGATATTTCAAATACTTTCCATTTATTTTACTTTACAAATTATTTAATATCATCCTCTGATACTTATCTACAACTTGGATTTTTTTAGACCAAATCTAACTTGTTTCCCACAATTATTATTTGAATATCACCATCTCCGTGATGTTTTAATTCTTAAATCCAAAGTTGCAGTTTTTCAAGACTCGTTTTATTGGTTAAATCAAAAATTGCTAATGCTCCAACTACCTTTCTAAAATGACTTGATGTGTCAATAATAAATAATCTACCTATTAGTAAGTGAACGATATCTCTCTTAACCAGCTTCCTATAATCATTCAGTACCTGTGTCCCAAATCTGGGCTTTGATTCTTGATCCATCAGATAAGGTGACGAATTTGGTTTCAAATTCTACGCCTATAGTTGGTACAGTTTTCTTTGGAATCATTCCCTTCAAATAATTTTGCCAAATACACGTCTTCCCAACATCACACTCTCCAACCAAAGCAACTTCGTATTAAATGTTAATTGTACTTTTGAAGGAATAGTCACACTCTTCTTCCTTAATTTCCTTTTGCATAAATTAATAATTTATATTACTTTTTAAGAATTTATTACAAATTACGAATTCTGTATAGAAAATGAGTAGTTTTATTCATTCATTTTACTTCCCCTTATATTTAATTTATTTACAATATGTCAGAAGAAAATCCCCCTGAAAAAGAGCCAGTCCTCCAAGAAAGCAAATAGGAACAAGTGCAACAACCTTCAATAGAAGGATAAATTCAATAGGAACAATAAGTGAAAGAGGATACCCAAAAATAAGTCGAGAATTAAGAAAACTAAGAAAAGAAGGAAATAGCTACAGAATAGATTAAATAAGACCAAGAGGTCAAGGAAATCATACAAGAAAAATAAGAAGCATCTGAGACCTCAGAATAAATCGTTTAGAAAGAAGCCGAATCAGATATTACTAAAAATGAAAAAACCAATGAAGAAACTTAAGTTAAAGAGTAAGAAGAAAAATAAGAAATCGCTGAAAAGGGGGCAGAAACTACCACTCAAAATTTGGATAATTTATTCTTAAAAGCCGATTATAGTTTTCCTGTATTTTTCACATTCTATATATTAGATCGAAATAAAAGTCTGTGATCCTGTTTAAAAAAGTGGAGGTATTTCAAACTATGTAGTTTACACCATCAAAGGAAAAGATTGCTTTGGAGATTTTGAAACACAGAGAAGATTTAATGAATTCTTCACAATTAGAGAATTACTCTTAGCCAAATGGCCAGGATAATATGTACCCCCTATTCCTGAGAAATCTGTCAGTACGGGATCAGAGATCATAATGGAAAGGACAAGATTGCTTAATATTTTTTGTATGAAGATGATGTAGATTAAGCATCTCTATTATTCAGAAGAATTTTATGATATCTTTTTAAGGTCAACAAATCCTGATATAAACAAGGTATTTTGATATATACTATCCATATAGCAAATTTCTTAGATACCCAAGTAAAATGTATTTGCTTACACAGATCGATACAAGCAAGCATTTTAAATCAATGAGATTAAGGAAATCTCACCCGAAATGATTAAGAAAATGAGTGGGGTTTAATCCTTTTTAAAATTATCCTAAGCCACTTTAGTCAAATAATTGGAATAAACCAGAACTTTAAGTTCTAGTCGAAAATAATTGAAGGAAACATTTTTCACAATCTTTGGACTCAATATATCTGAATATGAAAAGTAGATTCTTCAAGAATGGGTACCATAAAATAAATTGATATTTGCTAACCCTGCTAATACAGATATTTTAGAATTAGCCAAAAAGATTGTATTTTAAATATCTAAATATAGAGAGATCCAAATAACAATTCTCTTGACAAAATTTAAGACTTAATCCTAATAGAGTAAAGAGATATTGAAGCATTTTTATAAGCTTTTTAAACTAGAGATTCTTTGATGCAATCCAAATAAAAGGCTGAGTAAAAGCTGAGTGAAGAATAAACAGATTTATACAAAATTATGAAAGGTAACTCAACAATGAAGGGTTCTTTTAGTAAATTAAGTCTTGAGGAGTAAAAGTAAAAATTGGAAATCTAATTAAATGAGGTAATTTCAATTATTGATCTTTAGACTCAAAAAGAGGTTGACTAATATAAACTATTATTTTAATTGGTTACAGACGTGTTGACATCCTATACAATTGACAAATTTAAAAAAGACAAACATTAGACTTACAAATCTATTCTGGCAGATTTAGCTTAATGCGAATAGCAATATTTGGATATCCAATAATAATTTTGGTCCAAAGTAGAATAAGTGATAACATAATGTTAAGAACCTTGAAAATTTATTCATAAATAGAAAAGTTTTAATTTAAATAATCATTAAGAATTCTATATTAAAGTTAATTCCTTATCTCAAAGATTGTGGTATTTCTGGTATAGAAAATATTATGAAATAATGCACACCTCCTAGTTCTATAAAGAAATATGGTTGGTTTTCCATTTCTTAAGCCTCAGAGCATCAATACAATATAAAATACATCTTAACAAAAAATCATTGTGAATTATTAAAAAATCTAAGGATTTATTTTAGTAAAACAAAAAGTTATTCGAAAAACAACTCCAATCATTATATTAAAAATATTTAAAGGTTTAGCATCAATATTATAACTTCTAAATTAATAAATAAATTTTATTTTTAGATTGAATTTGAAACTACAATTTATTGTTTGCAAAAAATACTGGAATTAATTATAATATAGAAGGTAGAACAATTTTAGTATTTAATTGTAAGATCAACAAAGTATTTAAGTATTATTTAATAATATAAATCGCAATTAAGTAAATTGAATATTATTAAAGAACTCGAATTTTTTCTGATCACAATTTAATTAAAATATTACTGAGCTCCAAGTTCTGATTATAAAATCTCGTATCTATTATATCTAGATAGACCTAGATAATTTTTTAGTAATAAGAACAAATGTTGATCCTAGCATTCTAGAAAAAGTTGGTTCTATCATTTAACCAAGCTTAGAAATTGGAAATATACAATTACTACAACTTTAATTTCCTGATCATAGAAGAATGGATTAGGTTTGTGAGTTTTTTAAGATTTTTAAAAAGGGAAATAATATAATCATTTGTTTTTTCCACCCATTAGATTGACAAGATTTCTTTGGCTAAACACTGTTCTATAAGCAGTGTTATAATCGTGTTCAAATGGGATGACTTTTTCTTTTTTTAGTGGAGGTAGAGTCTTGATTCTACTTTTACAACCAATGGGACTAGGTGTACCAATTCTCAAATTAGCATAGTTTTTTGTGTTCTGTTCTGTAATTATGACTCTTTGGGAAGGGTAGCTTCCGATTTCCTGGATTTTGAATTCATAATAAGCAACCAGAGAAGGTTGAGATTTTTTTCTATGTTATTATAAAAACATTAAAAAATTGAATTAAAATTTGTAGGGATTTTCAATTCTTTAAGTAATGATTTTCTGAAATGATATAAATTCAGTGATATTTTCAATTCAATTGTCCTCACTTTGTTTTCCTAATATTTCATTTATTCGATTCTGGAGAATCCTTTTCTCTTGGTTCGATTCTGCTAATTCACCATTAACTTTTTCATATTCTTATTGAATCATTTGATATTGCTATTTCGATATGAGACAATACATACCTTCATGAGAATGGCATACTTCTTCTTTAATTCCTTGTACTTAGTTTCATTATATGAATCCATCGATTTAACAAATATTAATTTTATTAATTATTATGTTTACTAGTGAAAGTGTGCAAGAACATATACTTTATGATAAAATATATCAATATCTTTGGGTTAAGTCTGAGACCTCAAGTCCACCTTCTGTGCTAATACCAGATACTGTGATTTTGATAAGATCAATGCCGATATATTGGTATTTTACAGACAAGGAGACAGGGGAAGTTAAGAAAAAGCTGAGGAAAAACGTTACAAAAGAAAATATCAAAGAAACTTGGTTGAACTAGGTTGGGAGATCTGGAGTGGTGGGATATTTGTTGCATTTTATGTATAAATAGCATAAATTACAATTTCAAGAGAGAATTTAGATTTGAATTATCCTCCTGAGAAACTAAAAATAAGTGGTAAAATTTAGATAGTGTATTTTGATGAAAAAGGATTTGAAAATTTTATGAATTCTAATTTGGAACTTCCTTTTGGAATACTTTAACGATATGTCGAGGCGGCAGATGACAGAAATTGTATAATTTTAATTAAATTCAGCATAAATTTAGGCTTTTTGGAGTAAATCTGTCACACTCTTCACAAAGAGAATGACTAAGAAGAGTTATATGAATAAATCAATGAATATTTATGAGAGACTCTGCACTTTCGAAGGACCTGAGTATTTGAGTGAAGCAAGTAAGATTATATGATTCTATTTAAAACTTAGCTTAAGTGAAGGATTTCTAATCTTAAAGAATATCTGAATAGATTTATAAGATGATTAATCACTTAGATGCAATATCATTTGGAAAATTGAATATAAATCAAGGAACATTTTATTTTAAGGTTGACAAATAAGATAAATGTTGGTTTCTTTTTTGTGGCAGTCTAAAATTCGAAGATGATAAACATTATAAGAACTATCCTAAGGATTTATATACTCAATCCTAAATATCTATACCAAAATCAGTGGATGGAATTATGTCAGTTTATAGTCAAAGACCATTGTAATTGAACAAGGAATCTAAATGCATTAAGTGTGGTAACATTGACAAGGAGAACAATTTCATGGATATTCCATATCATTACATTTTGGATTCAGATATAGAAAGTTTACCAGCTGATCAATGGCCGACTGAAATTTAGAAAGAGGCTAAAAAAGTCAAAGTAGCAGGTGCTAATGCTGGTACTCAAGCATTATTAAACACAATAACATAGGTTCCCTTAGTATTTTAGAAGATTCATGAAAAGTTAAATTACACCAATTTTGATTAATTTAAACAATCTGATGGTTTCCTGCATAAAACATTATAAGTTTGTTTGGATTGCTATATAGTATTAGGTATTTAATGCTGTGATTATAAAATAAAGTTGCTCATTAAGAGAAAGTGTAAAAGAACTGCGTAATAAATAAAGTCAGATAAAATGTTCGAATTCGAAAGGCTTCAGAAGGATTTACAAATGCAAAACGGTTGAAGGAATATTTAAGATAAGGATAAAAAGAATAGGGGATAAAAGGAGGCTAGGTCAAAACTATAGAAAGTAATATAAGCAAATAAGCGTAAAAAGTCAGACCTATTCAACAATACATTAATATGAGATTGCAAAGTTTAAGTCCTTAATTGAAGTACTCAATCGAAATTCCGTCTACTGCTGATTATTTGTCATTTAAGACGAAATCATCGAATTATGACAGTAATATAAAATTGAGAAATTTATATAACTAGTCTCTTCAAGCAAAAATGAATTCTTGAGATTAATGTTTTTTTATGTATTTATTCGTTTTATCATAAGAAATTATTTTGATATAATTTAAAAAGGTTTAATGATTGTTAAGCTATTTAGTCATTTCTAATAATTATATGGAAGCTTTAATCCTTCATATTTCATAATTGCTGTGGTTGCATTTTCATAGGGAGTTCAGCATTTAGCTGATTTATCAATTAACTTTATGCTTAAGGATGATTTTGGATTATCACCAGCTATGATGGGATTGTATTTGAGTTACACAACTATTCCTTGGATTGTCAAGCCTTTTTGGGGACTCATAACTGATTCAAAGCCTTTATTTGGATATAGAAGAAAATCTTATATAATATTATTTAGTTCTATTGATGCTTTGGGTTGGGTTGCCCTGTATAAGTATGGGACAAACAGTTTGCATTCGGCTCTATTGATATTGTTTCTCATTCAATTATCAACTTGCTTTGTGAATGTGGTAGGAGAGGCTATTTTGGTGGAGGTAGCAGCAAAATAAGAACAAAAATAAGCCAATTTATAACATGGAGCATCAAAAAACGTATCCATCTTTTTTGGAGTCAGGGCTTTTGGAACTCTGATAAGTGCTTTCTTTTCTGGTGCTTTGCTACACATATTTACAAAACAAGAAATATTCCTGATGACTTCAGCATTTCCAGCAGCCTTAATGGTGATTTCATTCTTCTATACTGAAGAGAAAGTAAATTTAAGAGCTTTGAGTCAGGATGATAGAAGAAATAACACTATGCAATGTATTAAGGACTTTTGGATATTTTTCAAAAATCCGTTGATTTACAAGTATAATATAATTAAATAAAAGACCAGTGGCATTAATTTTTTGTTTTATGATGGCCCCCTCCAGTTCAACTATCATGTTCTTTTTCTATACATCAGTATTAGGATTTGAACCATCCTTCTTGGGTTAGTTGAAATTTGTATATGCCTTCTCGACAATCTTAGGAGTTCTATTATATAATAATTATTTGAAAGATGTTCCATTTAAGAGAATCTTCATTACCACAACAATTTTATATTACTTTTGCTATTAATCCATGATAATCTTGGTGACAAGAAAAAATGTAGAATGGAGGATAAATGATCGATTCTTTTGTTTGGGCGATTCCATAATGTTATAATTGGTAGGAGAATTAAACATAATGCCAATATTAGTCTTGGCATGTAGAATGTGTCCTAAGAACATAGAGGCGACCATGTATGCTATGTTGATGAGCACCATCAATTTCGGTATCTTATTATGTTATCGAATCAATAGGGTCAACATTGGGATCTTAGTTCGGAGCTATCTTTCTAATTGCACTTGGAGTTAATCAAAACGATTACTCTAGACTCTGGTTGTTCATTATGATTACTGGAGTTTTCATTCTTCTCCCATTACCATGGGTTGGTGTTGTTAAGGAGGACTAAATTTAAAAATCAATGGATAAACAAAAACTGGCTAAGAAGTAACAGCAAAATGATTTTGAATCCTTATCTGTATCATCAAGTAATCTACGATAAGAAGATGATCAGTAACAATTACTGTCTTAAAATCAATAAATGAATGATTGATTGCTACATTATTATATGAATGTTATTTATTAATTTGGGGTATGTCAATATATAAGAATTTATAATCTTCACAGTATGGCATTTTTAATCTTATATCAGTTTAGATTTGCTTACTTTTTATAAACAAAATTTATGATATAAATTATTAATAAATTAGACGATAAAAATTTAGAAATAATTCATCTGTAACTTAATTATTTATATTCGTATTTTTCAAGAGATTGATTAGACAAAAGTATTAGATTAGTGTTAAATTTCATTTTTATCTAATTTCCATCTCTTCCCCTTCTTCTCGATAAATCTTACATTTATATTATAAGACAGTCTTAAGAATTCTCAAAGAATAAATTGGATTAAAAATTTAGTAATTATTGCGTAATTATTAATGTAATATAACATATCTAATTTGAAGAAGCGCTATATATAGATTAATTAGTTGAATTCATAAACTCATAAAATTTATAAAAAAATGGGTTGTTCGCCTTCTGTCATACATCATGAAAAGGATGAATTCCTTAGAGATGATATACTATTCGATGATTTAGAATTGAGCGATGAAACTAGCGCAAATTTTGTCAATGACTCTATTCGAGTAAACGAAAGCATTCAGAACAGGAAAATTCTGTACAAGGAAGAAAACGTAGATTTCTCATTGGTTTAAGAGTAACTACTTGACCAAAAACCCTTCATAATAAAATCATGTTTTAAAAAAAACAATAAAACGAAATAATTTATGCAAAACGAAAAGAAGGTGAGATTTTGTAAGACTTACTTCATCATTATAAATGGTGTAAAATTCGTGGTCAAAAGGATTAAATAAAGAAATAGTAAAAAAAGAAATAAATTACCTGAAGTTAAATGAAAATATTTTAAATTTAACTATACTAAATTTACATTTACTTCTAACAAATACATTTGATTGACTCTTTATTCAATTGAACCATAATTGATTATAAATTTATAAGTTCATCTATCCTATGCTTTCAGATGAACTTATATATAAAAAACATTAAAAAAATGTTATTAATTTTTTAAAATAATTTATTAATCCAACACAGTTAATTAGATTACGACTAGTCAATGATGTATGTATAGTAATACTTGTAATGAGTTCAATGGTCAAAGTGATAAAATTAATAGGTCATTGAACTTTTCAAATTTTGATCTAGGATATGAGGATACGATATGAACAATTGTTATTCTTGCATTTGTGCTATAACTTTTCGGAAAAATAATAATTTTATAGTAATTTAAATATGAATCCAATTTCATAAAAATTAATTGTGATAAAGGACGAGGAGAACAGTTTAGAATCTAAGATTTAATTTAAGATAGATTTATACTCGTAATCCTTAGTTGCGAAGCTTGGTTAATTATAACAGAATGATATATAAACTTAATCTATGAAGTAAGAGCATTTATTGATGAAAGATGTTTTAAAGTTTGCTAGAATTCTAAATTGGGAGTTGAGACTTGCACAAGTAGAGTGTTTAAGTATATTTAGAAAACTGTTTCAATAAGCACACTAAATTGTTGGAATATCACAAAAGTTCAGAATTTATGGGCATATTTAAAAAGTCATCTAATTGAATTATTAAATATCAATATAATCATTATTCATCTTAAAGTAAACATACAATTTTCTTTTATTATTATTCTAATAAATCAATTTTAAAGATTTCATTCAAGATGTCCTTATAGCACTTTAGAATCACAATAAAGTCAGCATCGATAGCCTAAAGTGAAGAGGACAACGATTGAATTCTAACAAAGTTTTCATTATTTTATTGTAAGGCATGTTCAATTTTATTAAGAACTTCTATAATTTAAGCATCTTGTGATTGTTTCAATTAGTTTAAGCCGTTATTGAATTCACTAAATATTTGGATGCAGTTACGTGATTTCTTTAGATTGCTGGTGTAGATGTGAAATGAGGGCCTTCTAACTCTCAGTGATGTCGTTGAATTGTTATTGTAAATTCATAGTACTATAAGCTAAATATTTCTCATTTAGAGCCTTGATGGTTTTTTCAAACTTCTAGTTGTTAGCATTGGATTGTTCTTGAAATTCTCTGGACAGCTTAACATAATTGTCTTCACTAGACCTGAGTCTTTTTTCTAGAGCTGCAATTTTGTTATTTTCTTATATGACTTGTTGAGAAGAAGCACCAAGATTAACTAGGTTGAAAAACTAACATACTTGTAGGTTATTTAGACACTGAGCGTCTAGCCAAGGGACTTTTGATCTTCTCTTAGCCACTCAAGATACTAACATTCTCATTTTAAGGTAAAGACATTTGACTTTAATTGCGAAGTAATCCACTTGTATCATTACGTGAATCATCCTTTTTTTGATTGCCTTGATTACCATTGGGACTGTATGGACTTGATTATAGATTTTGTAATTAGTGAAGGTGTGAATTTAATTCTTAGAGATTATCCCTATTATCTAATCTTTCTTAGAATTCAGTCAATTTGGCTTCAATAGAAATAATAATTTGCTTAAAGATTAGCCCGTTTACTTTGTCATCGTCTTTTAAAGTGTTAGCTAGTTCTACTATTTCAAAAAGACAATTTTATTTTCTTTTTTATTCAACAGGATTCGGGGAGGATAATTACTATTTGTTTGCCTCAAAGCCATTAGATTCATTAGTGATTTCCTTTTTAGAATTGCCTGATTGATTAGTTTGATTGTCTTTTGATTTGGGAAGAGATTTTCCTGGTTTCTTGGTTAAAGGAATCTAAGATTTCATTTATTTATATATATTGTTTAATATATTATTTACTCACTCTTTTGTGGAAACTTTATTTTTTATACTTTTGTAAAATTAGACACTCTTATATTAAACTTATAATGCTGGAGATAGAATGTGCTTATGGTCATTTCCATATTAACTACCCTCAAAATTATCCTTGTTTTTATTAATGATCTAAAATTACTCTGCCCTAAATTGTTCCTTTTTAACAGTAATTCTGCCACAATTATTTATTTAATGAAACTCTAAGGTCTAATTTTTGATATTATGTAAGTATTCTAATATAATAATAATTATTTTAAATAATTTGGACATCCAAAAATGATCAATATAATCATAACATTTGCAATAATTTACATCTCATATAGATGGATGAAATTCATAAATCGTCCAAGTGTTCAATTGTTTTACAATAATGAGAGCCTTAAAAAAGTAGTACAATCTTGTCCATCATTATCTAATTATAAACCGACTCCTTATCTTAATGGATTATTGCACACTATATTAGGTACTGCTGGCTCTATTTTAATAGCTACATTCAAACACCCATCTGAAAAGCATACATCAAATCGAGAAGTAGTACATGAAGCAGGATTGTCCGTCGATTGGATTGATAAAGGGAGTGGCATCGATGTTCAACATCCTCTCTTATTTATAATGCCAGGTCTAACAGGAAGTGTGGATGATGGATATATCAACACAATAGTGTCACAGGCTCATCAGCACAATTTTCATAACATCTGCATATACAATTATAGAATGCTTGCAAAGAATGCTGACTTCTCGTTCAAACCCGAATCTTACAACTATGGGCTGAAGATGCAACCAAATCAATTTATGAGCAATTACGTGAGTGATGGATTTTATGGAATCGACAATGATTACTATTATTTTGAGGATGATGTAATAGAAGGCAAGAGAGTGCGAATAGATTTGGTTGCAGATCTTCATTACACTTTGCTATATTTGAAAAACAAATACAAATTCAATAAGATATTAGCCATAGGTTGTTCATACGGAGGTGTCTAATTGGGTATGTATTTGGGACGATTCGAAGGCAAGGCTCTCATTGATGCTGGAGTGACAGTTTGTTCTCCACACATCATGAACATCACTCAAGTCTTTTTGTCCACATTTATGAATCTAATGTTGTGCAAAATCCTTTAAAGAGGACTCAAGGCTATCAAGGATCAATTTGCAAATAGGAACAATTACCCTAGCAATTGGACCATTGATGTGTAAAAAGCATTGAATGCTACTTGGATTTAAGATTTTGACACTTATTACACTTCCAGAGTTTATGGGTATCGAACAGCTGATGCTTATTATCGACATTTCACTTTGATCAATCGATTCCCTTAGGTTTAGGTTCCGATGTTATGCATTTCAGCTGAAGATGATGGGGTTTGTCATCTTAAGGGATTGGGAAAAGAGGAAATGATTCAGAATGGACGTACAATATTGTGTTTGGCCAAGGCTGGAGGACATATTGGATTCTTGGAGGGATGGAATGCTTCATCCTTTTGGTTCCCGAAGCCAGCGATCGAATTTCTTACTTTTCACAGTTGATTTTAATTATGAATATAAAGCAAAAGGCATATAAATTGATCAAAAGCTGCGACTTCTATGGAGTGGATATCGGACTCAATTACAGACAACATAAATCGTACAAGACTTTCTATGGTGGGTTGTGGTCGTCAATTATTGCCTCTTTGATTGCAGCTCTCTGTATCAGCCAATTCTTAGATTGCATTTTCTACTTGTCTCCTGAGATCCATCATTACACCAAAGATAATGGATTCAATTATAAACTCTTGGAATCAAGCACCTTTCGTTCCATCTTATTGGACTTGGAAAACGAAGGGATCTTGAATACTCAGCATCTTAACAATGATGAAACCCTCATAGATATTCATTCCTTTAAGTCAATAGCGATCTCCATTCCAACTATTCATGAGGACATCAATGATGTTGACAACCCGATTAAATTTGGCAAATTGCAAAAGATCGTTAGGGAAGTAGTTCAAAATCATCAATTAACTATTCATATACAATTGAAAATACTAGAATATTAAACAGATTCTGGTCTCTTATGGGAAATCCTGAACACCCATGATCAATTGTACTTAGAGGATGTTGATACCTACTACTTACAGAGCGATAAGACAAGCTTGAGATTAATATTTACAATCAAGTACACACAAACAGTACCTTAGGTAGTCCTATAATAAAACATGTGGATCGGAGTTACAAAAGAATCTACAGAATTCTATCTATTACTGGAGGTCTAGTCAAGGTTCTAATGTTCGTTGGCAAGTTCTTCAGCAAACCAATCACCACGTTGAAATTTTAGGTATCTTTCCTTAATCAATTTTTTAATTTCGGATCCACAAAAGACTCCAAATCCTTTTACCCACTCAACTCTCTTGCTTACAGTCAGAAATTATTGCGTATGTAGACAGTCCGATTAGACTCCATTAAAGTTAATCCCAACACTAAAGAGTTAACTAAACAACCAACCAAAATGATTAAGAGTATTCTCAAGAAATATTCCCAACAGCAAAAACAAAATGCTGATTCAGAATAACAAGGAGACGAAGCAATAATTGAGGAGTAGAATCAAGATGTCGATGAACTCATAGCCAAATATTTTCAACCGCAAGATATTCGATTGAAATTACAACACATCCAATATGTCAAATATTTTTTTGGATTTACAGGACAACTGAAAAAGAGAATTAAGCAATTACGCCAAAATCTACAAATTGTCAATCAAAAGACAGACATCATTTATGTGTTTAACAAACTACAAGAATTAGAAAAACTAAAGTAATTGCTCTTAGATGAGGATTAATTGAATCTATTTGAATATATCCCTAAACCTAACATTGATGTTTCTCATAATAGATAAGAACCTAAAAATAATACTATTGTCAAAGCCACCTAAGCCTTTAATTCATTCCAAGCCATAAATGAAAAGGAGAAAAAGTCAAGAATCGATAACGCTCTTATAAAGATGATAGATGCAAATATCAAAAAATATTTTGTTGTAAGCTCAGGTTGCATTTCTTTTGCAAGAAACACCACTCCCAAAGTCTCGTATGCTAGTCCCAATTCAAGTCCAAGAAAACGAAACTCAGATCTGTCTGAAAATTTAAAACATGAAGAAGTAAATGAATATTGATCAAGATTAATCCTCAGTAATTTCATCCACCTCCTTTATTCCTAATTCATTAAATATTCTATTAACTTATGATCCCCTCTTCTTAGAACCTTGTTATTGTTACATCATGTTCTATTTCTAGTTCGTCAAATCACATTCACAAGACAAAGTCTCCATCACTTCCAAACTATAATCTAAAGTTATTCCTAATTGGCAGAGTAACCTATTGTTAGAATGCTACTGTTCCTCCTTCATCTCTAAACTACTCTCCACATTGCCTACATCTCCAAACGGTTAACTGATTGTTTTGTCTATACACTATATTTATAATATGTATACTTGATTATACACAACCTTGTTGACCACAACTTTTATCAAGTATTTCTTATCTCGATCCCAATTTACTCATTAAAGCATTGCTACTTCCCACTGAATTCATTAGTTGGATCAAACCGCACTTTTCAGTATGTCTGTGTATTATGTGTATGTTCCCAAAGTCTCTTACTAAATCATTAATGTTAATATTTTCATCTTCATTAGCACTGCTTTATAATTTTTTAATGACATTTCCCCATCGTTCATTCATTCTCAGACTATTTTGCAATGACTTACATCTCCTACAATTCTCAAGCCCAATTTCATCTTTACTCAATAATGCCATAACATCACGAATAGTTCCGATCTCAAAAAATGGATGCCGAATAGCCTCTTCAACAGTTATTCTACTTTCTTTTCTTGGATTCAACATCTACAAAATTAGATTTGATAATGGAATCTCAATCTGATTTAAATCCCCTTTGAATGTCCATTCTTCTGGGTTACCCAACAAATCAACAAAATCTGAAATTTAATTGGAGTGCAAAGGTAACTTTTAAAAAATACATTAATAACAAATAATTCCTATTGCCCAAATGTCAACTTATTTTGAATAACTAGCCTTGTGAAATATTTCAGGAGCACAATAAAATATATTGCCTGTTTTAGTAAGCATTTCAATTTCTTATCCTTTGGATATATATCTGCGGGAGACTCCAAAATCTATAAGTTTCACATGCGGTGGATTGCTATTCTCCTCTAAATTCACAAGTATGTTATCAGGCTTAAGATCTCGATGGCATATGCCCTTTGAGTGAGAATGTTAGATGGCTGACAACAATTATTTTATAATCACTTTCAACTCTTCAGTAGTCAATGCTCGCTTCTAGATGACACTCTCCAAACTAGGGAAGTTGCAGTACTCCATTATCAAATAAGAGGTTTCCCTCTTCTCACTTATGAATAACTCAATATCCTATGCTATATTAGAATGTCTAAGACATCTATTATTGTTGAATGTCCTCCTAACATTATTTTAGATTTCCTAATCTCCTGAACGCACCATCTTCACTGCATAGATCTCCTCAGTCCCTTTCTTCTTTGCTGTCTTTACCACTGCATGAGCACCTTGTCCTACACACATTATGACTTTATCATCGTACCTATGGTCTGGAGACATTCATAATGATCTTCAAATCTTTTGGTTTCAGTTGGTTCAAGTGAATTCAAAGGAAATTGATCATCACTAAATTGGATTTACGTTTTAAGTCGATTCGCCATTAAAATAATTAACTGAATGCTTCGATTAGTATGTGGCAGTGCCATAACCGTAGATCCCATGAAAAAAAGCAAGTCCACTTGTTCCACACCCAATAAAGAATTCCTAATTGATCAAATCATACACAAATATGTCGGCATGGATAGAACTACTGACACATTTACATCCTCCATCACTACGATGTTCCACAACACATTCCCTGAAGAAAAACAGCTCTTTGTCTCTCCTCACAAAAAGTTAACTGAACGAGATTGCGAAAAATATTTGACCACCTTCCAAAGAATATCGGATCGAAAATCTGAGTTTTAGGAAAGTCCTCACCAAGACGAAGAATTTCATCATCTCAAGACTTCAAGTGATTATGGCTCCGAACACAACTCTTTCCAAGAGCTAGCATAAAATCTAGAATAAGTTTTTGATTCACCTACTAATAACGTACACACAGATAAAAGTCCTGAATTTTACAACCCAGAAACCAAACTCAAGTCTCTCCCCAAAGAACTTCCTATCATTGAAGAAAACGAAGAAATCGCCAACACACATCTGAGACTGAATGGGCTCATCACCTAAATAGATTAGAAAATTGGTTTCCATCAAGTAAATTAACAAGTTATTGAAAAAATAAAAGATAAATACCTACCCAAAACAGACGAACAATTTGAATTCCAAGATTTTCCTGAATTCAACCCTTCAGATTAGCCCAAAGAAGAGGACTTATACAATCTCAAATTCGAATAGACCAAACTCTAATCACCAAAACAAATTATTGTTAAAGATCTAAGAGCTTAAGCTAGCAGAAACATAACCTTCAATTCCAATGAATTCAATGATTTCATTTCAGAATAGTTTCAAACGGAAGAGTAACTGAAAAAAAATAGTACCCTTGAATAGCCAACACAATAGGAGGATTAAAATGTAGCCCTACAAGGGAAAATTCAAATTAAGGAGACTCAAACCTCCAAATTCAAATTCCCTGGACTCAATGTTCCTCAAATTAGACGCACTATTCAGGCAATAATAATTATATTGATATTGACACTGTTATCACAATTATTTACTTTAATATTATGACAATGCATAAATAAACTTTATCTATATAGCTTAAGAAATATACATTAATTCCAATCCTATAATTTTGAATTCACGCATAGTGAATAATAGTTAATGAGCATTCTTATTTTATAAATTGTTTACCAAAATATTATGGATATGAAGAATCAAAATAAGACTTGAGTTAAATAATTAAGCGTATTATTCCAATAATTTATTTATATGTATATCAAATAATCAATAATTTAATCTAAATAAATGTCTGAGAGTAAAAATTTAGTTTTTTTTAATGGTTTTCTTAAATTACCAAATTTAAAGTTTAATAATATTAATTAAAACAGTAAGGAATTGATGCTATACTATTATTAATTATTCATCACATATACATCTACCTTTACTCAATTGATTCCCAATTTAGGTATGCTTACTCATTAATAGACCAAAAAATTTGGATACTTTTATTAATATTGTATTCTATAAATTAAATAGAGAAGGAGCCATTAATTAGATACTTGAATATTTGATACAAATTAGTCAATGAAAATTTAAGGTGGGATAAAGCTAAAAATTGTTTAATCTAAGTGATAATTTTATTAATTCTATTCATAAGTTATAAATAATAAAATCTACTTCCTAGGGATCATTTAAAGTTCTTTTCATTTTTTATCAACAATTACATGTGATAGTTTTTCTAAATAATTTTATTTAGGAAAAAGTAGTTTTCAATAGAGTGATTTTGAGAGTTTTTAATGTGTAGAATTTTAGATATTAAGTAATAAAAAGATTTTGAAATTCCTTTTATTTTTAATATTTACAACAATGTTTGAAGAATTTAACCTTTCTGATGCAGATTCTTATGTCCAAAAGCCAGCTAGAGGACGGACATGTCATGATCGTTAATGTATGTATACAAATTACGGTTAGCAACAAGTTAAGAAAGATTGGAAACACAACAATAATATTAATAATTTTAAAAGTTTTATGAAACATGCTCAAATATACCCATTGACTTCACTTATCTTAGGGAATACTTCAACATTCCTTTCAATGATTGTTTAAATGATTAGGAGATTTTAAAGATCCAAAAAAAAATACACAGTAGAAGATTCTCGATGAATCAGAAAAAAAGTTGGAGCGTAGATGAAAAAAAGGTATTGGTTTGGGTTGTTGGGAAATATTGTTAACTTAATTAGAAGAATTGTAGATATTTGGATAACAACGATTTCAATGAGATTAGCTAATACCTTCTTAGAAGAAATATTGACAATATTAGACAAAAGTGGTGGTCAATGCTAAAAACATCTTTGGTATCTCAACCATTTACACAAGAAGAGGATCAATAGATCATAATTCTCTATGAGAAATATAAAGATAAAGATAATAAATGGAAATTGATAGCAAACGAAATGAATAACAATAATATGATATATCGAACTTGTAAACAACTTAGAGAGAGGTGGATTAACTATCTGGATCCTAACTTATTGAAAATTAAGGATCCTTGGACTGATAGAGAGGATCTAGAATTAATTTATCAAATATAATAAAAAGGCAAAAAGTGGACTGAAATTGCTAAAATTTTAAAAAGGAATGAGAATTAAGTTAAGAATCGTTTTAATTGTCTACTCAAACGGGAAGAGGTTTAAGATGATTTAAACAAATTGATTGATAAGGTCTTATGGAAAATCAGCAAGTAGCCAGTAGTGATGCAACCAGAGAATTAAGATAGACCTGCATTACCATCAAATTCCCAAAATTAGAGCTTACTCTTAACTATAGCAAAAATAGAATCACTAAAAAAAGATGAAATTAATTAACTTACGCCTTGTATGGTCAATTTAAAAACGAACTAAATTTATTTTACTCCATCTCATATATTGCAAGGATTACTAAAAATTGAACAATCAGATTTGCAAGATGAATTCGAATTAGCCAAAAAGGATATTGAAAAATTTGAATCAATGCCTCATCAATTTTTCCATTCGCTATCTGTCATAAGCGAAGAGTATTCCATACCATAAAACTATCAATCATAAATTCAACCAAACATCAAATCTTTGTCAGAATTATCTAATTATGAATCTCCCTAAATGTCTAAATCCAATGAGAATAATGCAATCTTTCATCCAATAAGAACCTTGACTTCTCTAAAAAAGCAATACTTTAAGCATCGAACTGATTTTAGTATTCCTTAAGTTTAATCTTCAAGTCCGTGGAGATCATTGCCAATATTAATTATGTGCTGATAACTAATAAATATATCTAATTTTATATATTCTTCATTATGCCTTTATTTTTTCTATTGCTCTTTTCCATTCTATCCAAACAATAATAAAAATTGTGCATTAAGCTGAATATTTTTGATTTAGCTAAAGTGACAAGAATGCTCCTGCATTTAGATAGAAATTACTTTCATTTCTACATTCATCCTCTTTATCCTCAATATATTCAAATTTAGTTTTATCAAAGTGTAAATTAAGGTGTTTAAGGTGCTGTTAGATTGAATCTAATTGATGTATCCAAAAAATGCAAATTCCAAAACTAATAATGCCAAAAACAACTTTCACCTTAGAATGGTTATTACTTTTCACAATCTCTACTATCACACAATTTCATTACTTTTTAGACTGAATTTAACAACTTTTTTGGAATTCAAATTCTGTCAACCCATACATTGTAGTGACTTTGATTAAATGTACATAAGTGAATTTATTTATAAAGATTATTTTATGAAATCAATATAACGATTAAATGAAATCACTTGAGAATTAAAAGCATATCTTAATACTATATACCTAATATAAGCATACTGCTATATTTTCAATTAGAATCAGAGATTTACAGGTACTATAAAGATATATACAATATAAATAAATTTTATTTGAGAATCTAGGAACCTCGAAACATTAACTTAATAATCAAAGTTGCCATCATCCCAATTACACAATTATTTAATATAGGTTTCATGACGATCCTAATCTCTGAAATGAAATACAGAAATTCATGATGGCCTTAAACCATAAATAATTAAATTAATATTAAATAATGACATTTACAAAAAAGAGTTTATTTTCTTCATAATTGTACAGATGCATTATAAAGTATATATATAAAACTAGCTTTTAAATAGATTGGAGTTCATAATATAGGCATACTATCATTCCAATCTAATTCTAATTCTCCGTATTTAGTTTTCAGTAAGCATTCTATCAAGGGTGTAATTTTGTCACTCGAATCAAATTGAACTCCCTCTATTTCAACCTTCTTTTTCAATTTTCCTAGTTACGCACCCAATCTTCTTATTGTGATTATTATTAAATCATCAGAATTATTCAATCCGTCATAAAACACTAGATCAAATTCCTTTAAATTATTTTCTACTTTATATTTCAATCATACTTAAATAAGGCTTATCCTAAATTACATCATTATTGCAACCAAAAATGACTGAATAATGATATTCTTTGCAAATCACCCATATGGGTAGGAGGGGTTCCTTCAAATTCTTACCAACTTCAAGATATTAAAAGTGCTCAAATATAGTCAAGAATCCTATCTCACTTCTCTCTTCAATTCCTTTTATCTTCATATCATCTATTTGTTTGCATCTACAAATTATAAGCTAAGTATTACCCGTCAAAACAATTGCTAATAGCCTTTCCAGTCAACATGAGATTTACAGCTTCTTGAGTGCAATGTCCATGATTACCAATTAAAGGATTTGTGGCTGAATCCATTTCCAACATGATTTATTCAACACCTTTTGTTAAAATCAGAGAATAGAAGAACAAAGTTACTCCATTTTATCCGAAAAACATAGATGTATGTTCCAATAGTATTTCATACAAATAACTAAGAGATTTGATTTGGTATTCCAAATAATCGCAGCTTTCAATTCCTATTGCTTAATTCATCGATGAATCCCTTGCTGGAATTACTAAAATGAGCCTTTCTTTATTAGATTTAAATAGAATATCTGCTAAAGAGGCAAGTAAACAGTTTTATTTAATTGAAGACTTAGAGTAGATAGATTAAGAAAACAGAAAGTGTTTAAGATAGTAGGCTTAAACTGAGGCCAACACACCACATGGACCTCCTTCTAACTAATGTAATCCGTAAAAAGTAGGTTCATCTTTAAAAATAAAAGGTTATGACCAACTCTTTGGTAATCCAGTAATAGTACCTTAAAATAATAGTTTCTTGATAGGCTAAGTTATGGTTTTTTATTAAGGTTTTCGTTTTCCTTAATTAAAGCCTATACTTTTATCATAATTAATATTAGTAGTTGGAAATTAAACATTATGTTATTTGATATTGCATTTTTGATACTCCACCTTGATATTCGGAACTTATTTATTAGTATTATGTTCATCTTTGAGTTACAATATTGATTAAGCCTCCTTGTTTTCAAATTGTTTTTTCATATTGATTAATCTAGGTGGTTAAGAAAGTGGTAACAGTGGTTCATCTTTTTTATGTTATTTAGATTGATCTTCTACTATTTGATCTTAAAAATTAAATAATTTGGCTTATTTAAGTGAAGTTTTTCTTGGTACTTCAAATGCTCCTTTATTGGGTGAATATTTTTCATCTTTCTTTTCCTCTTTATTTTCTTCTTTCTTTTCATCTTTTATTTTGTCTTTTTATTCATCTTTTTATTCAATCAATAGATCTTCTTATGTTATATTCAAATTCTTAGGTTTGTACTCTGATTATGGTCGTTTCTTCATCCTATTTGAACGAGATGCTCCACCACTGGACTCAATTGGAATATCTTAAGGGATGTCTTCAATTCTTTCTGCTTTAGAAGGTGTTGTTAATTCTTCCAATAATGCTTTTTTTTTGAGAAGGTGGGATATCAGGATTTCCAATAAACTTTTTAAAGGTTGCTTTTATTCATTGTTTCTTCTCACAATTTTTGAAAGTCCTAGTTACAATATTACATCCATCTTGGTTATGGCTGTCTTATAATTTAACTCTGTGTCAAAGGATTTTAAGGTATCATTGAGTTCCGACTTCATAAAGAATTCACGAATAAGTGCTTTAACTACAATTTAATGCATTAATATTAATGTCATTCATAAGTGATTATTGTAAATAGATCATCAGACCCCCAAGAAGAACTTACTCAACACAACAATTAGGTATTAGTACTATACAAATAGGTCCAAAATTACGGTTTATTCAAAGTGTTCCAATAATAAGAGAGGATTTTGAATTTACATCAAGATAGCTAAAACTTCAAGCTAGTTATTTCATTTCAGAATCTGTTCACCATCGTTGTTTAATTTATCTTCATTGCAATGCCAGTTGTAGATTAGAAGGATTGTAGTATGTAGATAGGTTATTGGCTACTGGAGTCAATTTATGTATTTTCGATTTTGCTGGCTGTGGTTTGTCAGAAGGCAAATACATAACCATGGGAACTTATGAAAGTGAAGATGTTAAAGAACTGATGAATTATATTGAATGTCGATTTGGTAAAGTAGATGAGTTTATTTTATGGGGAAGAAGCATGGGAGCAGTCACAGCACTTATGCTATCCCAAGATCCTCGAATTACTACCTATATAGCTGATAGTGCTTTTACCTAATTACGGACTGTAGTTGAAGAATTAGGCTAATAAAAATTTGGATGCTTTTCATTTATGATCAACGGTTTTATGCCATTTCTCAGAAGCAAGATAATAAATGAGGCATAATTTGACATTGACCAGGTCTCCCCTCTCAATTATGTTGGTATACAAAGTAATTCTAAGCGATTTTATTTTCTGGCTGGAAAAACTGACCAACTGATTCATCCCAGACATTCTCAAATGCTCTATGAAAGATGTAAATCGTATAAGAGACTTGAATTATGCGACGGAAACCACAATACAACGAGATAAGTAGAGACATTGGATAAAATATCAAAATTTATTAATCTATTGCAATTAGACCTACCATTCAATGCTGACTATTCTAATAAATGCTCAAAATATTTTTAAGAAGCCTAACAATGTCTCAACAGCTACAGGATGCAATAATAAGAATAAGAGGAACAGCTTAAAGAATACGTTAAATAACTCGAAAGAAAAAGCATCTTGAAGTCATATTAATAACAATAGAGAGACCTTTCAGATCTAGAACAATATTTAGAATGAAACCATAACCTTAATTTCTATTAAATTTTGAAAATGTATTCTAAATTAGATCTAGCAATTCCTACATTATTTTATAATTTGCAAAGTGTTTAATTTTAGCAATACAAATTATTTTTATGCAATATAATTTAATCAAATTCAATATACTCTCACATTTCTCGTCTATGTAAATACATCTGTACTCCAATTTGTAGACATTTATACAATTAATTTCGATTATAAATATGTATTTAAGTATTCAGATAATAATCAAATTTCGAAAGAATTTTCAAAAATCATCAGAAATTAATTCACTAACCAATATAAATCAAATCTAAATGACTTATATATTTCTTAAAGATAATATAGATATTTTGGTGTTTATTAATTTAATATTAAATAAATGGGGAATGGATAGTGTTGTAAAAGAGTTGAGAGAGTAGAAACATTAGAAGTCGATAATACTCCTCCTTAAAATGCTAAAATATGCTCTATTTTTGATGCACCACAGCAAATGATTTCTTTATCTGATTCTGATGAAGACTATTAACCATAAAAATAGCCTCAGTTTGGAGTGTTCAAAGATCACTAAAAATGTTCTCAGTTATCGACTGGATAATAATACTCATTTTAAAGTCTCCCTTCTGAATAATAATTCTCTAATTTTGTAACTTTTTAGGCGATTCCGTCTCAGTAAGGAATAAAAAACAATGTATTTTCTAAATTCCAGAAGGAAATGATTGACGTCTCTAAAAATGTACAACAGCATTAGAAGAACCAGAAACAAAAATGATATGGGCTGATAAATGATTTTTTTATACTTAAATGACATTTTATTAACTCAATAATATCAAGTTCATATTTACAAATGAATTAAATATTATACCGAATAGAACATGATGGCTTTCATTATGAAATGTCAATTTGAATTTTATCTACATCTATTTATCCATTCCTTATGTTATGCCAACATAAATAAATCCCATTTTTAACTATCTGTTTTATAATAGATAATATTGAAACATAAATCACTTTTGCAGTTATCTTGAAATTATGCTCAATTTATAAATTTGTTCAAAATAACATGAACAAATTTGATGATTTAAAATAAATGATTGTATATATAACATCTATTAACTTGCTTAGTATTTTTATCTAATATTTATAAATAAGGAATTATCATAGTAAATCCCAAAAAAACTTATTATATCTTTTACCTTTTGGAAATGAATACTATTTTCCTGATTAAACCTTTATTTCATAATTTCCTGGTCCAGGCACTTTCTATCTCATTACATCTTAGAAAGGTTTCTTTACTCTAATTTATTTATCAAAGAACACTTTTTCAGTGAAATCTAGAATTTTGAGATTGATGAATTCTTCTGAAGCACTAGACTCATTATCACCTGGTGATACTTAATCCTTATTTTTAATTAATTTCTATATATAGTATTCTTGATGAATATCAACTTTATTAATTTTGGCAATTTTAAATCTTTAGTCTTTTTTAAATGTTCTACCTTTTATTTTATCTTTCGGATAATCAATCAAGCTTGGACCTATTTTATCTTTACTAATATATGAGTAGTCTCTAAATTTTGGAATTGGTTTAGCTCTCGAATAATAAGAAACAATATATTTTTGGTGTGGTTTATCTTGAGACCAATAATTCTAAGGCTTTTACATTTTCTATTCTATACTTATGGACGTGTCAATTTTAGAACAACTATTTTTTGAAATTCTTTCCTTTTATAAATCAAAAATATCTTTTCTTGGCGAATACTTTCCTATGTTGAGTGAACGATCACTTTTTAAATCCTTAACATCATAATATTATGGGCCTTTTGAGATTGAAGGTAATATAAAGCATTTTGATCTCTCAGACGTAGTAAACGAATGCTAATTTTATTGTTTATGTAATTCAGTCAATTTTCTTTGTTCATTTAATTGATATTCTTCATAACAATCATTATGATTTTTAAGTCTATGAATAAATGAATCATCATTTTGTAATTTTTTATTGCTAATTGAACGATGGATAAATTTGTCTTTATTCTGAATTGCTTTCCCCGATAAATCCTTTCTAAGCTCGTAATCACTAGGTTAATAATCAAAATTACCCAGGCCCAGGTATAATTGGTTTAGCATCATATAAATTTTTATACCCAAAACTAAACATAATTATTTATTAGATTAAGTATTTATTTTAATAAAATTGAAATTATTTCATTATTGTTAAAGGAATTAATTATAAATACCCAATCTTTTAATTTAAACTACCCTTTCAAGATATTTTTATTGTTTTAAACGCTAAATAATAAAACAATTTCGACAAACTAACTTTCATAGTAAATTACTTGGAATTCATTAAAAGCTATGAATTGAACCGAATCAATTAACAAACAAATATTAAAGAATATTCACACTATGAATAAGTTATGAAATAATATTCCACATGAATAAGATGTAATATATCAAATTTAATATATATATTAAGAAAAATTACATTTAAAATCGAAATTTATAATAAAATACAAAACATACTTTGATTTAGAAGGAATGAGAAGTATTAGAATTATTGTTATTTTAAATGATTTTAATCATCATATATATTTTATTCATCTTATTTGCAATCTTTCTCTTAAATATTCTTTAAGTGTTACAATTTTATCCTAAATATGATCAACAATTCTTGAAATTAAATCAAGTGATTGAACTCTTTATTATGATTCCATCGAATAAATTTCTTATTATTATCTACACCATTAATCTTGACCATCTAAGTTATTCTAATATATTTATTTTTTAGTTACTTAATTTCTTTCCACTTCTGCTGAGTGATACTCAACTTTCCCTTCAGATTCTTCTATAATGCTTTAATAATTTAAGATAGCTTATTCTAAGTTTTACCTTTAATCTTACAATGTATTTCTTTCATTAATTAAATCTGATAAAAATTTTTGCCAATTCTGAACTTATTGCTTTTCAATATCTTCATCTTATGATTTACTCTCCACAATTTGAACTCTCAAATTAGCCAATAGTTAAAGAACCTTTTTTGCTTACTCATTATCTGCCTTAGAACTCATTTATGTCATCATTGAGATAATTGGCTAAAATAAGAGTCCTGCTGATGTTGACTGACTATCTTTATATATAAACATGATTTACTTTTATAATCTAGAAAGAACCTTCGTAAATCTGCCTTTTACTTGGATGAATGAGGATCCACTTGAGAGATGTTCGACCAACGAATAGGCTTCATCTATAGCTGTTATTGATTCCAAGTGATCCTTTTATTTAGATTAAAATTCAGAGTATTGCAAATCTCTCTCACTTTGTCCTTCGTTTGTTTTTCTCTAATTCTCTTCAATCTCAACCGATACTTCTGCAATTTTGTTCAAGGATTTCTCTAAATTTCTTGTGTTTTCCTAGCGTATATCAACAAATCTACTTCAATTATTTTGGAATGTGCCTTAAACTATTATTGATGATATGCTAGATTTGTTGCAAAATCGTGAAGCAACCTATTACAAGAGGCTTCAGTATTTTGTATAAATAAGTCAGCATCCTTCTACTCTTATTCAATCATGAATCTGTAAGCATTAATAACCATTTGAATACCTGATATTGTTAATATAACTCTAAATTTCATGCACAGGTGATCCAGTTGCTAAACCAACTTAAATGGCATTCAAGAAAATTCTTCCTGTTCTTTAAGAATCAATTTCTGTTAATATCATTTTCGGATCTTTCATAGTTGCAGTCGTAAATACAAAAGAGAGGCATAGAATTAAAATATTTTTCATTGAACTTAATAAAATAAATAAAAACGAATTTTTGAATGAAAAAGTTGCTACATTATCTTCAGTATTCTTTCTATTAGGACCAAATTAGAAACACTGAGCCAAACCTTAATCCCATGTTCAATAAAGGAATACTTAACCCATTTAGAATCAAAATTATCAAATAGCCCCTTTATAAGTACTCAATTTATCTAGAAAAATATATACTTCTTTACTAAATCAAGTATTAAATAAAATTATGATTGAAGCTAATTTAATATTATTATAGCATTAAGAAAAATAATAAAAAAATAAAAGGTAAACATGGCTATAGTAAGAAATAATCTGTTTTTATATTAATTTTATTTATTGCAGTGTGAACTCTTAAACGATCTATATTTATTAAATTATCTTATTATCTTATTTATTCTTGAAAATAATATACGCTCTCATCTCAAATCTACTTCTTAAAATTTTACATCTGTATTTCATTAAGCATCTCTTATAAATCAATTTAATAATGCTTAACTTAAATATACCAAAAAATAATTAAATTTTAAATGCATAATCTATTTTTAGAGAATTTCAAAAGTAAAAGATAGTGCTTTGATAATATTTAAAAAATTAGACATCGGCCAGATTCGAACTGACGCGGGAAATCCCAACAGATTTCAAATCTGCCGCTATAGACCACTCAGCCACGATGTCTTTCTTGAGAATCTATGCTGAGTATTAAAGAAATTCCAAGATTTATAAAACATTAGATTTAATGCATTTTAAATGATTATAGTATTGTAAAATTACATTTCTTTTAATTTTTTCAACCAATGCAAATCAACTGACAAATTTATTAACTTCTAATCAAAGATTGTCCAAGAATTCCTTGTTTTTATTATTAAACAATTACCTTTTGTAGAGATAATAAACTCATAATTCTTATTTGAACTTGTGTTCCGAAATTTCAATTTTATGTTATATGTAATAAGGGATGGGATAATTCATTTTTCTAATGTAGTTAAGATGAATAAAAAAATATATGATTCCTAAAAAAGATAATAACAAGAGATGAAGAATGGAAACAATGAAGCTATGAATAGACAGACAGCAAGGGATTTATTCAAACTAGCATTATTATAATTTTCAATGAATTTAGGATATAGTGAGATAGAGATGAAAATATAAAAAATCAAATTTCCTTTGATTATAGTATTTTTTTCAATATTATCAGTTATAAAAATGAAAATCTGTTTATTCCCATATTCGAAATGTAATTTTGCTATTATATTAATAAAGATTTCATTTCATTAAGAAATACAAACTTAATGCATAAAATATATTAGAAAATCATAAAAAATTCATTTAAATATCTTTAAAAAATATCCTAAAATGATATAGTCTAGAAATATATAATAAATTAAACTTTATCACATAATTGAGCATGCTTAAACATTATTGCTAGATGGTCTCTAAGAATCATTTAATTTTTCATCCATAGATTCATAAAGTCTTTCAGATTAAGCTGGGGCTCCCAATTAAGGGATCGGCATAGTATTTGGTCTCATAGTTTGTTAAACTCCACTTATAGGTTTCTGATAGGAACCCATCAATTGTTAAGCTGTTTATTGGTCCCTAATCTTTTATGAAGATGTCACAGAATTAGCCTTACTATTTGGTCTGAATTATTACTCTGGAAGAGTTGAGCCCTAAAACCCTGGGTTCATGAATTATTATTAAGGAGATTATTAAATTTAATTGGTTTATTGATAGAATTCTCCTGAGAAATTAGTTTAACTAAGATCTTATTGTTCTTAGCCATAATTTTACATTTTAAAGGCATTGCCCATTGTTTAATGAAAATCGATAACTTGCAATTTCCCAGAGGCAACACTTGATTTAGGTTCACTTTTGAGGGTGGCCTCTTATGACCTATCCTCTGCATCTCTTTGTTGTAATCTTTCTAACAATTCCTTAGGATCATTATAAAGAGAATATTGAATAGTTCCTTGATTATACATGGGTTTTTGAACTTTGAAGGAAATGCTGCTGGGTTATTAAATGAGTTATGTTGGCAACCAATATTACTGTAGATTGGGCATACCTCCACCAAATCTACGTTCCAACATATCAGGATGAAAGCCATGAGCAAGTGGAGCAAAGGATTTAGATTCCCAAATTTCAATCTTTTTGAATGTTCTACTATCTAACATTTAATGATAATTATCCCAATTCATAAGCAATTCTTTAGATGGATTAAATAGATAGAGACGGTCTAAGATTTGTGGAAAGTTTTAACTCATCATCCAAATAATGACTTGAAATGTTTTTTAAGGGAAATTGTAAAGACTCATTTAATCCGTTTCAACAATAACAACAATGTTTTCAACTTTACCTGGATAGAACATATAATCCTCACAGATTACAAATAGGATGGAAAGAGCATGGATAAAGGCATCTGAATCGAACAGATATAGGTCCATCATGTGTAAATTGATAACTATAATTGGACGATATTGATAGTCTTTGCCACCTATATAAACTAATCCTTCTCTCAAACATAGGAGTACTTTTTCGGGTATATTAGATAGACGACTTGTATTCAGCCAATGTATATGTCGTTTATATAACTAATTGAGATGGAATTTAAATTACTTCTAGACAATTAGTCATATTGAAATATCCTGCATAAAGGAATCTTAATAGGACATCGTCAGAACTCACACTTATGTTTGCACCTCTGATGATATCTTTGAATTGTTGAATTTATTTCTTCTCAAAATGATCATATTCGACTGATTGAAAGATTCTTCTTGTTGCTGTCCTTTCAATACCTTCTTTCATATAGCCATCTTCATGGTGTATCTCTTCAACTGTTCTTGGTTTGAGTTTCAAGTAATCAAATTGACTCCCAAACATTTTAATAAATAAAATGAATTTGATCAAGAAAAAATTGCAAACCCTCCCAAAAGACTACAGAGCCAAAATCATGCTAAGACTATATGCTGGCGTTGCCAAACCAAGTCCTAAGATGGGTCAATCATTGGGTCCTTTGGGAATCAATATGATGCAATTTTTGCAAGGAATTCAATGCCGCAAGTTAAGCCTTTAGACCAGATGTTCCTCTTAGAGTTTAGGTTATAGCCTTTCCAGATAGAACATTCAAATTCCTGATCAAGCCACCTGAAACTACTTGGTTTCTTAGAAAGGCAACAGGTATGATTCCATCCATTAATCTTACTAATAGGCACTGATAAATTCACTAATTTCCCTGGTTATATATGGTATGATACCATCTCTTTGCAGCAAGTGTACGAAATAGGTAATAGACATATCATAATGAATTCATTAGCCAAAGTGAAATAAGAAATGGATCCCCACTTAAAACATGTCTCGCTTCCAGCCATTTGTAGAATGATTATTGGATAATTAGCATCTTTAGGGTGCAATTTATCCACATAATATTTTAAACCAGAAACAGTTGTTAGACCAGAAATAAAGAGTTGATATAATATTAAAATATGAATTACGAAACACCTCATACTCAAAAAAGTTTGCCCTCTTGTAACCCACTGCATAGGTAGATCTCTCTCACTACCTTTTTTTACTAGATACAAAGTCCTTATTAGCAGCTGTTTCTATTGGAAAACAGAGTCCCTGTTGATAGTTAACCATAATAGGCAATCTAAAAGAAAATAAAGAAAAATCTTTGCATTCCGTAACCTCCTACTCTAGTCAAAAATAAATTACCTTAAAAAGTGGATTAGTAGATCTCAAAAAATGTGATAGGTTAAAATTAATATCCCATGTAAAACTATCACCCAATTATTGATCTTATAAGGCAAAATTAGGATTTGAAAAATGAGTTAATTGAAATTGAAAAAGACATCCTAAACTATAAAGTAATTATTGGTATATGTTTAGAGTCTGGTAGAAGTCAGAAAAAAGAAATGATTTTTATGTAATATATATATATCAGTAATAAATAAAAGCAACAACTATTCTAAACTTTTTGAAAATAACTATGCTTTAACTCAGAAACACTTAATATCAATAATGTAAGTAGAATCACAAGGCTTATTTAATTAAATTCAATTGATGTTTAATAATAAATTTCAATCGAGATCACCTGATATTATTGGTTATTATAATAATATATCTTAAGGTATTCTTTCTGAACTTCAGAATGAAATCCAAAAATGAGTAATTTCAATGTACATTACTTAATAAAGATTTAGTAGATTTAAATGAGACAGAAAAGATGAATTTTAAAATGGCTTTCAAATTAAATTTTCATCAGCTGAAGTGCATCTAATTAATTAAAAGTAAAGACCAATTCTAAATTCAATGAATTTTGGTCAACATCATCTCACTTTTCTTAATTACTAATTTATTGTCCATTATTAATAAGAATTTTTTCTTTCCATTACTAATTTTATCAATTTATAGCTTTCTGTTAAATACCATCAATTTTTTATTCTATGTGTTCCAGTATAAAAAATTTAATTATTCTATCTGGTCTAGTATAAAAAAAATATTATTTACTCAATATAATAAATAAATACAGTTTATGGATTAGAATAATCAAACCAATGACATAGAATAAGGTAAAATATTAAAATAGAGTAGACGCTAAAAGGGGAAGGCCGTCTAAAAAATTGGACGGATAGAAGCCTTCAATTAACTCAAATTAACCATAGTTTTGGATTTAGTCTCAAGAAGCTACTCAAATATTTATTATATTAGCAACCAATGCGCAAATTGTTTTCAAATGTTTGAGTGGAAAATAGAAAAATTAGGAAATAAAAATTACCAAATAATCTGATACTAAAAGATCAAGTTCTTTAACTAAATATAGAAAAAGTCGACAAGAATTTGTAAGAAATGCCGAGGTATAGTATTTGATTAGAATAAAATATAGAAGCTTTAAAACAAATTATTAAAAAATCTTGAAAACCATTTATAAATCGAACTAATTGGGCAATAGGAGCAGATGAACTATTTTTTTTTTTAAGACAATAAGAAAACTAATTTTGATCAAGAACCTTATAATATGATGATGGAGCTATTACGACCTTACATTCATAAGGATTTCTATAAAACTTTGATAAAACTGTTAGAATTATAAAGTACATTTAAAATCAACTAATCTGATCTGGATGACTTATATAATATTTAGAAACATAAACATTTTGTAAGTTGGGCATTAGTGATTGCTTGGGGAAAGAAAATAAGAGCTCACTTAGAGTTATTATAAAAGATTAGGAACGAAAGTGAATTAACACAGGCTGGCTTATACGCTAAATAATTGATGGATAAATCTGTTGAAATTCGGAAAAAAAAAGAAGATGATGTTAAAAAAGATATCAGTTAATTAGTTAAAGATAAAGAGAAGAAAATCAAAAAAGAAATAAATGAGATAATAAAGTAATTTAGATATAGAAATTAATAAAATAATTCTGAAATTAAATAAAATTCATATTTAGAAGTTGATTGATATAATTTTTATAAACAATTTTTTAAATTTCTAATACGTATATTTGAACAGAAAATATAATATTCATAACACAGTCTGAAACAAGCTAATATTTTATCAAAAATTTCAAGTTGATTTTAAATTTCATATACTCTATGTCATTTTTATTATAATTCAATATTGTTATTGTTGCTGAAGTTTAGATATTATGTTAATTCCTAATTTGTTTGTTCTTGAGGCTGTCCATCAATTAGTGCTCCAGTGGATGCTGATACAAATAGTAATGAGTGAAGAAATGATATAAGGGAGCTAATTAATAATTTTTTGTTACCCAATTCCAATATAGGTGAATATAGAATCTCCACAAAACATATACAAAATAATAATGTTTACTAAATAATGTTACGCTGATTACATAAAAACAATAAAAACTTCTTTTTGTCTGTTGATAGGATACCAAAGTTAGGAATCTGATCTATTAGGTCATCATTTTTCAAAGCAAAGTGCCAGCTAAGTATAATATAAAAAGTTGATACAAGGCGATGCTTAATCCAACACTTATTAAGAATACTAAATTCGTTAATCCTCCCAAGTCAACAAAAGCAATTGTAATTTAGGAATAAATAGCACCAAATTTAGAAAAATTCTCTGACAATCTGGTCATAATTTAATCACTTTTTGGGAGTGCATAACTTGAAAAGTCAAAGACCTTTTTATCACTACTTATAGATTTAGTAAGTACACTTAAGATTTTTGCAGGACTTATTTTACTTTATTTACTTAATTCATTATTAATATTTATAATTCATTAATTATTTTTAGGGACATAATGATCAAATTAGATTTTCTGATTAAGAACAATTCTTTTCTTTATGCTATCGAATTGAGTTAAGTCAAACTTTTAGTTCTTCTTTTATTCTGTATGCTTGTAAATGAAATCATCCACTTCATCTAAAGTTATGGATATCTAAAGATGTAATTCATTATATTACTTCATCATCATTATCTTCGTTCATGATGTTGTTGAATTCAGTAACTATGATACATTATTTGATCTATTGTTCTTTATGTTGCATTTTTTCTGATGAGATTTATGTTTTCATTTAATCATCGGATATTTTTCCAAATAATTCATCCTATTTGATTTTCTTTAGACAAGATTTTAAAGGGAGAGTTTGCAATTTTGATAAATCATCTTAATGTTTAGAACTTTGGGTTATCAAATTATTTCCTGCCATTTTTAAGACTTTTTCCTCTTATAACTTTTTCCATTGGATGATACTATAATATTGCTAGTTCTATTCCAATTCAGAGAAATCTTGAGTATCATTGTCTGATGATATCAATATTTCTTGTTCTTATTCATGTTCTCTATTTTTTTGTGATACTTTTCTACTTTGACTTTGTTTCTTTTTCTACATGTATTCAAAGGGTGATTTATTAATAGTGTGAATCACATTTTTATCAATGCAAAATGAAACACTTTTGAGCTTCTGATCATCTAGGCTTGGTTTTCTCAAATTGACTTGTATTGTTAGTCTTACTCAAAATATGTTAGTGCTCATGATCATTTTCAAATTAAAAATATTTAGGAATATTTATATGATATATATGAAAAACTCAGTTTTGAAAGTGTTTATGTAATTGCTCCTAATAAATCAATTATTCTATTTAAAATCCAGCTCCTGAATACTTTTTGCCTAATATCTACTTTAATTCCTTGTACATCTACCGAATACATTTAATAAGAATTTACCTCCTAAGAGCTTTGTTTATTTTGTATTGCACTCAGAATTCTATTGTAAGCAATATTAAACAAATCCTAAGGAATCTATTGCAAGATACTGGTTTTTAGGTTTTCTATCATTGAAATTTTAGGTTTGAATTTCTCATCAGTCTTGTAAAAGCTGGAAGAATAAGAAGATTCAGGTTCTTCTTAGATTTCTAAATAATATTCAAATTAATGGTTTACCTGCCAAAGTTTCATTGGCACTTTTAGCTTTGGCTAATTCATTTTTATAAACTTCGACCACATTTTATAAATCTTAATCAGATTACCTTTGAGTTAGTCTGGTTCCATCCATCTCATCACCAAGAATTTCTTCATTGATGACTGTTTCATTTTAGAATTCATTGTCAGAATCATAATCTTCAAAATCATCATAATACTCAAAGTCTTCAGGATATTCATCATTTTGATGATCGAATGTTTATTATTTTGAAGATTATTCCTTCTTTTAAGCCTATTTTTATTTTAAACTCAATAAGCTTTTCTTCATAACTTCTTCATCAATAGGTTTGAATTTAGAAGAAGATTATAAGCTTTATTCAAAATTAGTATTTTCAAACTACTATTATTTAAATTATTATTATTATTATTATTAAACTCCACTTTTCTTTTAGGGTGATTCTACTTATTGTTATTTTTAATAAAATTATTATTGTGTTGTAGTCTATTATATTTCCAATTGTTTCTATTAGTAGAATTGTGATTGAGTACCATAGAGATTTTAAATTTTTCTTAATTCAGCCTATTTCTAGTTTTGTTGACTGATGTTTTAAGCTGCTTTGGATAACATATCTATTTTTTATTAGGTTTCTTATTCTTTCTTTAATTTTAAAATAGATTTTGGAGATATTTGTTTTGGTTCTGATTCTAAAAATTAGGATGCTTAACTCATAATAGTTTCACCAATAGTATATCTACTTGCGTTATCAATCTGCTCTATTTATTTTTAAAAGTCTTACGTTTGTTTAATGATTAAGATAATACAGTCTAATTAATAATTTCATTATCTTTTTCTTTATTGATTTCATCTTTTATTGAGTGTTCATAAGATTCTTGATCTTATTTCAGTTGGCTTACTGGATTTTATTATATTTAATGTAAATTATTAGCTTAAATTTCATGTTATTTAATTTTTTTGACTCCAACAACTGAACAGAAATTCTATTTGCCTCCACTTCTAATAAAATCTTGCATAACAGATTAAATGAAGGGCATATTGATAATTTCAGCAACAAGAGGACGTGATTGCACCTACTTTGTAAGAAGTCTATGAATTAATTATTGCAAATCCTTTGAATAATGAGTTGGTAGAGTTTCAGTTTGTCCATTCAGAATCTTAGTTACCAAACTCAGAATATTCTTAGCATCAAATGCATGTTTGAAAGTGCATAATTCATGTAGAACACATCCAAGAGCCCAAACGTCAGATTTAAAAGTATAAGGTTTATTTTCACAAACTTCTGGACTATTATCAGAAAGACTTCAATACCTCATATAATAGGGAGTACCAGCAACAGTTGATGCTTAGTCGAAAGTGCTTTCTAAAACTTTAGAAACTCCAAAATCTCCGAGTTTTACTAAGAATAAGGATGACATTCCATACCTGTTCCATTTGAGGTTAGAAAGATGTTACTAGTTTTAATGTCTCTATGCAATATCTTTTTGGAGTGGATGAATTATAGAGCAAATAATTATTGAATAAACCAATTCAAAATCATTTTTTCAGGAAAGTATTGGATTTATTTACCTTACTTTCTTTTTTTAATGTGATACTGTAAATCTCCTTCTAAGCAGAGTATAAGATTATATACTTTACCTTCGCAATACTCCATCAATATTATCAATTAACTACTATCTGCAAAGCTTCCCATGTATTACACTATATTTGGATGATCAAGACTTTTTAACAATTCCGCTTCTCTCAAAGCACTTATTTTCTCTTTCTCTGACAACTTCCCCAAATGAACTTTTTTAGCCACTGATAATTGGCCAGTCTTTTTATTCTTAACCAAATAAGCAGATCCTATTCAGAATGGAATATCAAGATACCATAACTTCCACTTCCTATTGTCTCTAATTCTTCGTAGAGATCTGAGTATTTAAGTGACATAAAATTAAATATTAATGATTAATGTCAATAGAAAAATCAGAAATTTTTTATTGACGATTAATTATTTATTTTTTTTAGTTGCCCATTTTAGAACTCCATCTTTGTAAAACATCATCGATAACTTTTGATTTAAATTTGGTTCTTGTGATAATTGATTGATATGTAATAATCTTCATCATCATTGCAATTGTAATACTTGAATATCCCTTTATTATGAATTTATTTACATTCGATTAAATATTTAATTCCCCTATATGTATGTTAAGACTGAGTATCCAATTGTATTTTCTCAAATGAATATAGAATTCATTATCCTTTTTGAAATTTATCATTTTAAAACAAAACTCTTTTCTTTTATTCCATATCTGAAATACAGTACTAATTAATTAAACTTATATAATCTCTATTCCAATTCTTTTTACTTAAAGATTGAATCTCCATTTTACCTAATTCTATAACTTAGTTCAATTAAATAGTTGAACTACTTTTTTGAATTCTCTTACTTAACACTTGCTACTAATCTTACTCTTTAGAGTTTCAGTTGCTACATCAACTACTCTTTTCTATGAATAAATTCATTCTACAACTTTTGATGAACTCAAATAAACTTTATTTATTTCAACTTAACAGATAGATTTTTTTGGATATATTAAATTTCATCATACAATATTCCAATTGTTATATCTTAAGTAGAATTTACAATTTTATTCTTAGTTAGCCATTTACCTTATTTAATGAGTTTTATACAAACCTTTAATTTGAAGAGAGTTTGACTATCCAAATTTATGAAGTATAAGAATTAATATACCTCCAAAAATTATAATTAAATTATGCAAAAATAAACTTAGTTGACCAAGTTTTTCTCAAAGAAAGCCTAGGAATAGTAGCAATCTCCTGTTAGAACCAAATTCAATTAAGATGTAAGGTTATAAGTGAATATATTGATAGTTATTCTTTTGTACACCTCCAACATAAGAAATTCAATTCAAGACAGAAAACGCCAATACGAAGAAGAAGGGCTCTAATAATTTGGACAATTGGATTAGGAAGTCTTCCTTATAACAAAAGAAGTGGTATTCTTACATCCCTTATGAAAAAGGCCATTTTTACCAAAAAATTTGATCTATTTGATTTACAAATTTTTGCAGTTAAGAGAATGCGCTACCTGTTCCTAAGTTTGCAAATTCTGGATGATTTGCTATAATGATATCTACTTCTCTTATAGTTTCTTCAGGGAGTTCGAAACTTCAAGGTAATACATTCAATTTAATAATTTGAGATTTAATGAAAAGGAACTTGCTACTGTGTTGAAACGATCGAGTAAACAGTTGAAGCACATTAAGAAAGTACGAGACATAATAAAGGGATAAAAAATTAGTTCATTTTTGGAGAAAACAGAACTCAGTACAATGTTATCAGATAACTCATAACAACAAGGATCTCTGTTAGAATTATTTAAATTAGAACCGAAAAAACAATATACATCTGTGTTTTTGACAGACAAAGATTTAAATAGCATTTGCACAGAGAGTTAGTAATATTTGTTATCTAATCATTTTAGTAAATCACTTCAATATATACAATTGATTAGTTGTTAATTTATGACTGGCAAAGGATTTGAAATTATAGGAAAATGTGCTCAATTAAGCCTAATAAATATCTAAAACAATAGCAATTTGAAGGATGACAATATCAAAATTATCTTAGAGTAACTCCAAGGACTCAAGACCTTAATGCTATTAAAATGTGATGGCTTAACTAATGACATCTTTGAAATAATCGGAAATTCGTGTAAAAGACTTGAAAGGTTAGATATTGGATGTAATCCTTAGTTGGATGTAAAATAAGTAAGTCAAATGTCTATCTAAACTTTTAGTGCAGTTCTTTGAAGAAGATTGATACTTTGCAATCATTTTCAATCAAGGACAACATTGTGACAAATGAGGCATTAGAAATAATTACCACCAATTTGTACAAATTGCATAGTCTCAATCTAGAGGGGTGCCAGGAAATCAATAGTTATTCTCTTAAGCAAATCTAGAAATTGAGTTTGTAGAGAATAAATTTGAAAAAAATATCATTCAAGGAGGAGGGTACTATTTAATTGTTACATCATAGACATTTACAATTTTATTGTTAATGCACTGAGTATAAAATTGATGCTTGTGAATAATAATTTATTGAGTACTCGTGTAGAGAAGATTATCCTTTCTAGATAATGATTGCCTGATATTACTCTTTTAGTTGTTTATTATTTCAATATTTTATTTAATTGCAAAATGATTGAACCACCTTAAGGTCCTATTCCAAGAGAAGTAGCCAAATGGTTAGATTCATTAGATTTGGCCTATTAGGTTCGTAATTTCAGGAGAGATCTAGCTAATGGGTACGATTATATCCTACAGTAGTTTCATCGTTGCTGAAATATTATCCAGGTACTACCCTAAAGAAGTTAATATCTACACTGTATATAACGAATAGAATCTGGATAAAAAGCGTGATAATTGGGAATAGATTTCAAAGTTATTGAAGAAAAAGGATCTTCAAGTTCCTAAAGATGAATATGAACCAATTTATTATTAAGCTCATAACGAGATGCAGCATAAGGTTGCGTAGTTTCGTCTTTAAAATTTATGAATTCCTAACTAAAAAGAAAATAGGCACCATATTTCCAGAAAAAGACAACAGAGATATGAAGAAGCAAGTTAAATAACAAGCGACTCTGTAAAGACCTAAACCCATGACTGTCTAACCTACATATGCAAGGCCAACAGCAAATACAATTATCAAAGACAGAGAAATAACTAGAGTTGTTGATGAAAACGAGAGGAAAATGTTAACTAAAGAAGCAATTCAAGAACATGTTGAAAAAGTCAGAAATGATAAGAAAGATGATAACATCATTGAATATCTTATACTGAAACGAAAAAAATAAATAGAAGAGGAGATTAAAAAGCAAGAGGAAGAATTACTCAAAAAACAAATGAAATTTAATAAGAAACTTGTTAATCTAGATTAATCAGTCTCTTAAACAGGACAAGATGTTAAAGAAATTCAAATTAATTGTTATCATAGCAGTACTAGTAAAAAAGCAAAAGAACAACAAGGTTAATTGCTTGAGACTAAAGGTGTAATTGATTTCTTACATGAGGCATGTGCTTCATTATTCAAGAAAGATCCAATAAAGAAGGATATCTAAGATTTGAAGCTTGAACCAAAAGAATCTTAATAAAATAATGGCTTTTAAGTTAGCAATCAAAATGTTCAATATACAGCTGTCATCTAATAACTCTTTTAAAGATGCGACGAAGTTTAAAAAAAGTCATTGAAACTTCTACTAACTTAATTTATAGATGTTCAGTCGCAATTAATCCTAGAATAAGTTCAGAGCAATTTTATAGGTATTCTGCTTATGTGATAATTTAGATTTTAAACGATTCTTCCAAATATTCCTAAGACCCATTCAAGTCTTAAAGCCGACTTCAAAAACATATCAATATATTTTAGAATTGATAAGGTTTATTGGATCAAAATTAGTGGAGATAGATCCTAATGATACATAAATGATGTTTGAAAGCATCTTATTAGATTAGCTACTTCAAATTGCATTACGAAACCCAAAGAAGAGGGAAGACATCGTTTAACTCTTCTTTGTTTTCACACCCATTAATTGTGTTAATAGAACTTAACTATTGAAAAGCATTAAGAGTAAATTATCTACTGATCTTAATGCATTCACTCTCATTTTAAGCATCTTAATACAATCTGATTATCCCAGTCAAGATGAAGAATTGTATAGGTTTTTTCTCAATTATGCATTTAATTCATTAGATTCACCGTCTCCTCTTACAAGAGCTAATGGTCTAAGAATTATCAATTAAATTTCTAGTTGGGATTACCTTCCAGTCTTATAAAAGATCAACCGAATTCAAAAATTAATGAATGATTCCTGGTGGGAAGTTAGAGCTTAAGGCATGAGTATATGTGCCGATCTATTATTGCAAATTGCTTAAAATTAAAATTAAAGCATGGATGAATAAGAGTTTACTATCGACTTTGAGTAATCAAAGCAATTATTATTGGATTTAATTTATCAAGTGTTTGTTGTTTCGACAACTCCAAATGTAATTAGAATTGGATTGATATACCTTGCTCCTGTTTTGTAAATGTATTCAGAACTGTGTCCTAGATATTTAGAGATCCTATTATCAGTTGATTCGGAAATCAGAATTTCAGTTTTAAATACTCAAGAAACACTAATTCAGTAAGTAGTAAATGGGTGCAATTCATTTCGATACAAAATCACTGGAGCTCCGATAGTCTGGAATAGTGTTGGCATTGCCTAAGCTATGGATGTATACGTAAAGGAAAAGGAATTACAAGTGTTTAAGCATGAACATTTAGAAATCATTTATGGATGTTTACACAAGTAATTATTGGAATCTGATGGTGAAATTTGGCTTAAAATATTTGAGAATACCAAAAAACTTTTGTTTCTGGCTTTGTCAAATGAAGATTTATGTTAAATAGCCTAAGTTATCTTGCAGAAATTCTTTATGTTTTAGACTATTCAATAATAAGTATTGGACAACTCAAATGAAATATTTTAAAGGATGCTTTAATTGATTTATCATCCAGATGTGCATTTAAAATGTAAAGAAAACTTATTGGAGTTCTTCACATTTTTACAATAGCAAGGGGTAATAATTAATAATTATTATATTAGTTCTAAAATTATTGTTATAATATAATTAAACAATTTTCTGAGAAGAATAAGAATATGTTCTTAAGTAGTAATTTGGTCGAATTCATGAATGGATTAGCTAAAGAAAAAAGAAGGGAAATTATGGGTGATGAAAATTATTGAATTATTATTCTATTTAATTTAATATATGAAGAGATTTATAAAGTAATCATTAATAAAATTATATATTTTATTTTTATATCATCAATTGTCCGTTTTATAGATTTATCTTAAATAATATCTTAATAAATCTGTGTAAATATCCAACTCTTTAAGTATGGCCTCCTTCTCCTTCATATAGAGTATCTATTCTCGATCATAATCTTATTGCAACAATAACGCTATTATTTCCATCTTTCTTCTACTATTGTCGCATTCTTAATTTTCTCCATTGAGAATGGTTAGTTGATCATCCAAATCAATCTAGATGTAACAATTAATTTACCTTTCTTTCCCCTTCTATATCAATTAATTTCTTTAATATTTCATTTTCCTTTTGCAATTGAGTACATAATTAATCAATTTTATTAACAGAATTGATAGAATTTAAAGTTATACTCTATTAGTCTTTGTCTATTTTTTCCGAAATTTCTTGTGATGTCGTAATAATCAAATATCGATTTTTTTCCATAGATTTTTAAGATGAATAAGGCAATTACTATTAATGTGATTAAATCTAACTGAATTCAGTTGACTCTACAGCAGTTGCATCTTTTTCATCTTAGTATGCCTCCTCTATTGGGTTATTAATAAAAGTTACAGATTAATTTTATAACTGATGCTTCTTGTTCAGTTACTTCTAGATTCAATTATTCATACAAACTATTACTTTGCAGCATTTCCAGAAGACTTCCACCACTACTTTACTATTTAATAATAATAGAATACTGCAAATGACTTTTGTAATTGGATGGATAGTGTTTTAGCTTCCTTTTAATCCTTAAGTAACTTAATATTATTAACATTTGATTTGCATCTATGATGAATATAAAAAGTTACTTCAAATCTTCGAGACTTTTACGCCTTTGAACATTTTTATCGATCTTCTATTTATTGGTCTCAATGGTTGAGGTTGATTAATTGATGGATTCAGAAATAAATTCATTTTAGCTGTTTCTGGATTGACATTAGGCTTCTTGTTCAGCAACCATTTCAGTGAAACCACAAATTTAATCATTTTTTTTAGTTGAGTACTTTTTCCATGCCATCTCTAATAGGTCTAACCTTTTGGTGGTTGCATCTTTGAGATCCTTAACAATCTGAATGGCTTCTTCTTGTTAAAGTTAATCTTAAGCATTGGCAATGAATAGCAGAAATATAAGAATGATAGCTCTCATTAAATTAATATACTATAAATAATATAAAACGAATTATTATAATAGTCATAATTATTATTATTGGGCTGTGAGTTCTTTGAGCATTGGATAAACATTCTTCCCATTACTTTACCATTCTTCCACTGCTCTTTATGCCCATGATGTGAATGTTCTGCTGCAGCATTCTTTTTTTCTGAGTATTTCTTCAGCTTCATCTAATTCCTAGAGTATTTATTATTCTCTCAATTTCTATTGTAAATTCATAAACAAAAAGAAATACTTGTTTCTCTTCAATTTAAGTAAGCTGAAAGTTCTTAAGCTAAACTCTCCTTTATCTAATTTATTCATTTTCATCATCTTCCATCTTCTTTAATTCTTCAGCTCTTTACTTCCAATACTCTTAGAACTCTTTATCATTTTTTACTCTCTATTCTTAATCCCTGCTTCTGAATTCTGAAGTAATCTTCCTGCTCTCATCTATATTCTTCTTCAATTAGATTTGTTTTTCTCTCTTAATTCTTTCAACCTCCTCTGCTTTTATTTCTGCTTCTTATATCTATTTATTTAGTATTCTCTAGTGTTCATTCTCAATAGATTCTAACTTAGCAATTTATGCATCAATCAATCTTTGTCTTTATTCTTGTTTTTCCTTAAATTTGAGTTCTTCTCTTTTTTTTCTCATTTCCATGATCTTTTCCTTATTCTCCGCATACGCTCTTACTTTTTCATCATCCTCCAATTCCTTCAACCTCTAGAGTTGTTTCTGTTCCTTGATTTCCTCATTGCCTCTCTTAACCTCCTCAATGTTAGCTAATCTCTTCCTTTTCCTTTCGTTTTCAGCCTCCTCTTCATCTTTAATCAATTACTCTGCCTTAGCCTTATTCAATTAACCTTCAATTCTATCATTTTATATTTATTTGATATGATTATTGACCATCTCATCATGTTACTATTTCAATATTTTTCGTTACTCCATTTTCTTTCTCTTCATTTCTTCCAATTTAATTTCCTCTATCTATTATAATCGTGCTACATTCTCTAACACCTCCTCGTGATGAGCTTCCTCCTTCATGCTAAGTATAGATTGATTTAACTAATTTACTCCAAGATAGTTTTCTTATATTTATTCAATTCCACTTGTGCATCTCGTTCTTGGATAACATCAGTGATCAATAATTTGCTTTGAAATTGCCTGACCCTAGGATTTGCTTCGTATATTTGGCGATTGGCTTTCTCCAAAATCTCTTATTTAACTTATGCTTAATATAATGCTTCTTCTTCCTCTTGTCTCCTTCTCTCCTCTTCATCAGCTTTGAATCTTTCGAATCTAGTTTGGTCCTTCTTCTTCCTTAAGGCATTGATGGTATTAGGCCATCGCTTCACTCTTTCCTGGGATTTCGCATGTCTTCACTCATTTAATCGTATAATTACAGTTCCATCTTTTGGATGAATCCAAAATTCTCCTGTGTTCCAAAACAGTGTTATTGGATTCTTCTCAATTATGACAATGGCACAATCGAACTAACTTTATTATCGAACGTTCCAACTGTTTGCGCTCTGGGTTCTTGGGACATTCCAATTATTTAATATATTTAATTATAAACAATATATTACTCACATGTTTCTTTTGATTCTTTCAATGTCCAAGTTGACAGCATATTCAAAATTGTTGTAATTGGACTCTTCCTACTTGATTACACTCAATATTTTCATCTGCAAGATCCAATTATTCAAGTTATTGACATCAATTTTCAAATCATTCAGTTATCTTAATTCAATATACCTTGAATTTATTTTTTTTTTCAATTCCTCATCAATATTCAATAGTTATTATTGTTAATGAACCTAACTAACAAACTCTTCTAATCCTTGATAATTGATGGGTGTATTTTGAGTGGGAACCTGTGGATTAATTTTGATTGAATCGGCAGTTTATATAAAACTCTTCCCAGTTGAAAGTATGAGTACATTCGTTTGGACTGGTACTTCCACCATAGAGTATTGGAAGTCGATTCCAATTTTGGAATGTTAAATAAATTTTTGGATGTTTTAGAGATTTTATACTGTCTTTCCTGAAATTTAGCCCTCCTTCATCAATGTTTCATCTACTACGATTTGAGAGTTGATATTAGTGGGAATGCAAAGGAGTCCTTGTGAAATGGTGTTTTCATCGAAATTCTTTTTGGATAGAGTTTCAATATTGGCCAAATACTCGTATTCAAGGGGAATATAGAGTGTAGGGGAATAGATGGATTGTAGGACAGATTTGAGGTTTTCAGCATCGTTTTTAGACAGCCCATAAATGTTGAATATTTACCTGGCACCTTCAGCATAGGTTTCATATTTGGAGGAGGAGAGTAGGTGCAAGGCCAATAGTTCTGAGGCCAAAGGATCTTTGAGTGTGAGATTGAAGTTATTGATTAGTTGTTAGTAGAGTTGCAATTTGTTGATTTGATTATTGAATGTGGGTTGGATGTATTTGATGACATTGAAGTAGATTTCATCTTCGTATTGGTGTTTGAGGGCAAGGATATTGAATTTGTTGAATATTTTTGGTTTGATGGGATCGTTGAAGTTGGAGTAGAGAGTGACAATTGATTTGGTAGGTTTGTACAGATGATTGGGATCTAGGATGCATGCTGTGTAGGCTTATTTGTCAAAATAGAGAGGTTATCCATCAACTGGGGATTCACAACCTAATGGGTAGATGACGACTTGATTGTTTTAGGAAACAGCTCCTATGAAGACGTCCTAATCCAACACATCAATTATTTGGATGGTCAGGTAGACTAGTTGATCGGAGAGGTCTTGGGGTTGAAGTGATTCCAGAGTGGATATTGATTGATTTGACAGTTGCAATGCAGTGAAGTAATTTCGAATTTCGTTCTAGGAATATGATATGAGGGGGTACTTGATCTTTGATTTCAAGGACTCGTTCTTGAGTCATTTGTTGGACATCCAATAAAATTTAATCCATAAATAATAAATAAGAACATAAAATGAAACCATAATAAAAGAAATAATAATAACAATTGCGGGAGAAGGGTTTCGATACATTTATCTCTGGAGCCAACAAGGATAGGGTTAATTAGAAGAGTAAAAATCAATTGAAGGTGAAGAGCAGGAATGTGAAGAAGTGGAATGATGAACACAGTCAATCCCAGAAGATAGGCACACTTGATCATGATGATTTGGAGGTCTTGAGGAAGTCGTTAGTGTAAGGTATTGGGCATCATTAATTCAGGTAATGTGCTCAGCAAATCTTAATAGGATTTGCTTGAAAAATTGCAGAAAGACACGCCCATCGATCATAGATATGACCCTCACTTTTCACAAATATTGGATAGTGACAATGATGAATACGACGAGCAATACATTCAAGAAGAAGAAGAAGTAATTAAAAATTTGAATAGCTAAGTTGTGTTAATCCGAAGGCGAAGACAACGGTGAAGAAGTCTATAAGGATGACTTTGAAAACACTAAACCTCAAATTCAACCTGTTGTTCAATAACCATAGCCCCAATAAATAATACAAGTAGTCAATTTACCTGCTACCAAACCCAGACCCAATAGTGCCATATCAGAATAACCACAATCTCAATAGCAACTACCCAAATAACTTAGATAACCTTCACAGGAAATTAAACCTCTTCCCTTGAACAAACCAGAAATAAAGCAATATGCATCTAAACCTCAATTAAGGGCTAATTCGGTCACTAAGTAAGAGGATGTCAAAAATGATAATCACTCCTTCAACCCTCCTCAGACCTCTTAAAGTTAGAAGCCATAAGAAAAGTAAAAGGATAATCTTGAAGAGTTATTTGAAAAAATTGAAAAGTTATCAAGTAATGAAAAACAAAAACTCATGTTCTTCTTAAACAAGAACACTATCAATGTAGAAGAGAAGACTGACCGTTCAGAAATTAAAAATGAATAGAACTTATAAAAATAGTCATTGGAAACAGTAAGCAAATAATAAAAACAATAAAAAGAGTTATAAATTATTGAAAATAAACCAAAAGAATAAGTATAATTGGGTCACCCTTAATAATAATCAAATCACCAACCATCTTTGTAAATACCATAAATTGAAAACAAAAAAAGGAATGCAAGTATCAACAATGTCATTCAATTACAATAAGAATTTGTCAATTAAGAAAAGGTATAAATTAGTATGGAAAAAAATTCCGAAATGCTGATTGATAAGAATTGTTAGTTAAAAATAAGAATACTTTCTACTTGGGGTAATCCAAGTTTAGTAGGTCTCACTGAAATAGAACTTTATGCAATTGATGGTAATAAAGTCTAACTTAAACCATATAATATTAAAATGGCAAATGCATAGTCACTCAAAATGCCAGAAATCCTTATTAATGGCAAATACTTAACCAAAGATGCAGTCAACATGTGGTTGGGAAGCATGCCTGATCCTCCAAAAACTATAGATATCGAAATCTCTTATGATGATGATATTGTCTTGGGAGGACTCAAGATCTTCAATTACAATAAGAGTTTGATTGATAGTGTTAAGGGAGTTAGAGACATGGAAATATTGTGTCGATAGAATGGCAACGTCATCTCTAAAATTGTGGAAATTAAAAAAGGCACAGGCTTTGAAATTGATGATTATGGAACTGAAATTCAGATTATGGATAATTTTAAATTCCCAACCTTCTAAAACACTCATTCTAAATTCGCCTAAAAACTCAGGGGCTAAATTGATTAATCAGATGTTATTGAAAAAAAACAAGAGAAATTAGACGATTCAAAGCCTCCTCCCTCAAGAAAAGGGAAAGGACCTATAGTAGTCGATGTATTCAAAGGAGAAAGATTAGATACGGGTAAAACAGATAAAAAGGTTGAATAGATACAGCCATCTAATAATAATTCATAACATTAATAACTTATTAATGAGCCTAGAAGAAGAAGAGACATGCCTCAACCTACTTAAGATTATCTTGAAGAGACACTCCAATATTTTAATATTACATAACAAGGTCGATTGAAACCTGTTTAGAGACAAGACATAATTGAAGATCCAGTAACAGTTCCAAAATATGAAGAAATTGATGCTTTGGATTTTTTTTTCAAAGGTTAATAAAGACCCAATAATGTTTAGCCAAAACAGTAATTATCAAAGTGGGAAACACCTTCTTAACAATAGCTTCCTTCATAAATTACCCAATAACCAAACAGAAATAATTATAGATAGCAAACATAAGAAAATGCTTAACTCATTAAGGACCTGCTTAATCAACCACTAATTAACTAAGCTCCAATTAAAAAAGCCAAGAAGTAAGTTTCCTTACCAAGCCTTCCTCAGGTTAGGGTAATCACGATCCACATACATTCGACTTGGGGAGATAAATATTATGTGGGATTGAATGGAATTGAGATATTCAATGAAGTAGGAAAATAAATTGAGATTTAAGATCCATACAGTCAAGTCAAGGCTGATCCTAGTGATATTAATGTGTTACCAGAATATTTCAATGATCCAAGAACACCTGATAAGTTGGTTGATGGAGTATATTACACTCAGTCTGATATGCATGTATGGTTGAGTCCATTTTAGAGAGGGAAGATTAATAAGATTACTATTGATCTGAATGAAAAGAAGAAAATTAGTATGATTCGAATATGGAATTATAATAAGAGCAGAATCCATAGTTTTAGAGGAGCCAAAGATATTAGTTTATTTTTTGATAATCAAATTGTATTTAGAGGAGATATCAAGAAGGGATTTGGAAACATGAATTTATAAAGAGTTATTAATTAAAATGAACAACCCTTTGAACTGTTTCTATTCACTAGTGATGAAAATATCATCTAGCAAATAGCAAAAAATGATTGGATAAACTCTTAGGAATTCTAAACAATATAGCATGATCATCAAAATGAAAGACCAAATACAGGAAATGCAGATTCAGAAGTGAGACCAACGACATCAGCTAAAGTGACTAATCTTTAGAATGAAAGTACTATAAAACCATAATGATTAGTCAAATAGGCCAGATAACAAGAGCAAAATCAACAGAGACAAGAGAAATAATAAATTTAAAGAGCATTAGTTAATCAGAATTCAAATGGTATAATTTGTAGATATTTATAAATCAAACTATTAAGACCTTGGGCAGATTAACCATATATTGGATTGACTGGAGTTGATATTTATGGTATTGATTTATTTATCTATTTAGGTAAGGAGGGAAAAATATAAGTAAAAAACATTAAATCCGATTATCAAAGTGATGGAGACAAAGGAAACATAATCAGTCTCATAAATGGGATTAATGTGACTACTAATGATATGAATATGTACATCCTACCCTTTCAGCCTGGAAAGTATATCACTTTAACATTAGCATTTGACATCCCTCAATTAATAACCTCCATCAGAATTTGGAATTACAATAAATCCTATGAGGACTCTTTTCGAGGGGCCAAGTTCATTAGTTTATTGAGTGATTAGGGAATTATCTCTAATTGTGTTGGATTAAAAAGAGCTCCTGGTTGTGAAATTTATGATTATGCCTAAACAATAACAATACCATGCAAAGAATATAATTTTGAAGAAACCACTTAAGTCTAAAAATAATTAAGATGCGAATATGAAATCAATAATTTAATGGTCGGATATGAACTCAAGATCTAATTGATAACTACATTTGGAGATATTCATTATATTGGATTGAATGGTTTAGAAATTCTAGATTCTAAAGGAAGACAAATACAAGGCAATATTGGAGCGGAACCTTCATCCATCAGAATTCTTTAATCTATGAGGGGAGACAAAAGAGTAGTAGAAAATCTCTTGGATGGAATTAACGAAACCCAAAATGACACTCATATGTGGTTAGCTCCATTCACTAATAGATGTTTTGACCACTCTCAAGATCCTCAAATCAATACTATCTATTTCGGCTCTGAACAACCTTTTGCTCTAGGCTGTATCATCTTTTGGAATTACACAAAAACTCCTTTAAGAGGTGTACATGAAATTGCCATTAGTCTTGACGATAATATTATCTACAGAGTATAATTATCATCTAAACATAGGGGTATCTAAGATAGGCAGGTAATGATGGAAATCAGACAGTTGTTCTATTTTACAGAGATATGCAGTTGATGGAAAGATTCAGTGGGAAATATTATACCGAATTTGGGCAAAAACAATCTGCTGGCTATAAAAATGAAGAGAAAGTAACATTATCTTTATTCTATGATCTAGGGTACGAGATAAGTTTAAACTTATGCTCTTTTAGAAAGACCAATAACTAGAGTCAAAGGTAGTAATTGATTATAATATATTTTATACAAAATTTATTATATTTGTACATGAATTAGAGACATTGTCCATTTTGCTAAAAAATTAAAGACACTTCCAATGTTAAGCATTTCTACCCAGAATTAATCAATAGTGTATCAATAATTAAACAATGAACAGGCATTGTACACTAAATATTCATCAAGAAAATCCAAAAACTTTGAAGACTTCTTTGCTCGAAAACCAGTAAAGTGGGTTATTGATTTTAAAGATCAATTACACCAATTAGATGATGAAGAATACTTGAAAAGGTTGCTTGCATTCATCATATAATAAGATTCTATCCAAGTAACTAACAGCCCCATAAAATTAAATCTTTATTGGAATACTATAGATTTCATAAGAATCTACCTCGACTCTTTTTTGGAGTCTTGGCAGAAAAAGCAATAGCATATTTTGAGAAAAAAAAGTATAAGAAATTATTATCAACTATTAAATAGAAAGTAAGAATATAGAAGAATTAAATAAATGCTCGGAATTCCTTATGATTAATCTAATTTAAGTACATGTACAAAAATTTTCGCATAACAAAATTAGAATATGAAAAATTGAATGAGGACATATAAGTTTTAAATAGTTTAAGTAAATTTACTGAAAAATCCACTTAATCTATATTAAATGAGTTTTTTAAAACGTAACCTAATTAGCCTAGTGATTACAAGTTAGTAAGTATTCTGTTATATATTTTATATAGAATATTGATGAAACATGGTTGACTATGTAATATTAGGAATTGAATATTCCATAATTAAACAATAAGTAGGCACTCTAGAATCACAAATCACTTACAAAAATTGTGAAAAAGCTTTCTAATGATAGGATTAAGCTGCCATTTCATTTATTAAAAGGCAAAACCTTATCGAATATAAGGAATTCACAAAATTAATCTCCAGAAAGACTCAATCCTACTTAAAAATCATCCTCCTAATAACATATCAATAGCAGCAAAGAAGAATGCGAATTTTAATCATACATGAAGTCAAAAATATTGACGTTATCCTAACAAAACAAAAAAAAAATCAATAAAATCTTTCAATATAGAAATCAGTTTGATTAAAATTATTATATTAATACATAAGGGAGACGAAACAGCACTCATTTTATTACTAGTGCAAGTAGTGTCTCCCCAGAATAAATAAAGATAGATTAGCCACGCTTGAGCTAAATATAATTGAATATATAAGATAGATAAGGCTAATCAAATTTCTGTAGTTACGGTTTACACTCCACAATGCAAACATCAAGTTAATTCACTTATAAAAATGAGATATCTCCTTAAAAAAAAAATTAGCAGATAATTCAAATTTATTCAAATAACTTGAGTAGCAAAATAAAAACATAACAAAGAAAATCCCCTGAAAAGTTAAGAATATTTTAACATCCTAATTCATAAACAACAAAATTAAATATTTCCAAGGCTGTATTATAAAACAAAGATAAGATACCTCCATTTTTATAACTTAAATTTCGATTGGATGATCTTCAACACTCAAATAATAAAAGAAAGTAATGTAATCCAAATCCAGATGTACAGTAAATATAAATGGATGATAAATAATAAACAAGAGGATAATCCTACACTATGGTTAAAAATTAAGTTATAACAAAAAAACCAATAAAAAATAAATGATAGCTATTATATAATTAAAACTTTTGGAGAATTTTTAATTTAAAAAGTCAATAATTTTTTATATTATTTAGAAAGTATCTATAAACAGTCCCAACTCTTTTTTTCTTAAATCTCGATTAGAATCTCCCTTATGATTTGTCATCTCATATATTGATATAATTTATATAATTTGATTGAGATATTCAGATAAATTATTTAGTAAATCTTATTCACATTTATACTAAACGAAAGAAGTATAATTAATATAAGTGGAGGATATGTTATAATTTCTTTTTCCTATTGAATCTGATTAATTATATGACATTTTTCACTTTTAAGTGGAATTTTGTTCTACAAAATGATTTATATTTTGGTTATGAGCAACATTTCCTCTAAATTTTGAGATTGGAGTAGAGAAGAGTCTTCCACATCAGATAAATACGTAAGAACTTTGATTGCAGTTGAATTGGCTAGCAGAGAAATAATTAATATTTTAATAACAAATTTCAATCATATTTCTGTTAAATGAATAATCGATGGTCTATTTCTAACTAAGTTCCCTTGTAGCAATCTCGTTACAAGTAGGAGATTGATAATTCGAATGTGCCTAACAATTAACCTGCTTATCAAGTTAAAAATGATGATTAAGTGAGATAACTAGGCCAAAAAGATAGCCCTATTACTTCGTATATATATTATCAATATCATTTTAAAAAGTGAAAATAGATAACGAATAAAGAGTTCCTATGATGTAGAAAAATCAAACCTATCCCACAAATACCAAAAAAGTATAGTTCCATATTATCGACAATAGCTGAGGCATCGTATTCCCCCATAATAAAGTCAACGTACAAAAGAGAGATTTCTCCTCAATTTTAAAAGACTGAGAATTACAAATTGATAGATTCATATGAAGTTCGGTTGATGAAGCTAAGTCAAGAGAATGGATAATTATAAAGTCAATTATTTTCAGATCAATAAAAATACAACTAAATAATCATAGATTTTGAGTTACAAACCAAGTGCCTAGAATAAAAGCTGCATACTGAAATTATGAATTTATAATAGCATAAATTGTTAATCCAGAACAAGAATGAAGAAATCAATGCATAAACCCAGGAATTATTGAAATTGGAACAAAAGTACTTCGATTTAGAAACCAAAGTATGAGTATATTAATATTTAAAGATGTTTCAACAACAAAAAGACATGGGAATATTAAAATAAGCAAATGATTCCAAAACTATTGAAATTGATGCCTTGAGACAATACATCAAAGAACTTTAAGCCAAGAATGCAAGGGATTAAGAGGAATTAAAACTTGCAACTGACAGTTCTATTCGTATCACCTATGAACTATAGATAAAAGAAATTTAGATGCAACATAGTGGCAACATTGCTAGATTGAATGATTTATTACAATAGGAATAGTAGAAATACAATAGATTACTCAATTAATTTGAATAACAAATGAATGAGTTAAACTATTAGAATGTTAAATTGAATGATGTAAAGATTGAGAAAGATAAATTATTTGAGGAGAATGCTCGATTGTAAAGGTAATTGGATGAACTTAAAGTATAATAACAAGAACTCTTGAGAGAATCGGACTCTCAAAGGGATAGATAAATGTAACAAGATAAAAATCATTAAACTACACTAAATGAATTGAAGTCCCATTATGAGTATATGAAGAAATCTTAGGTTGAAAGGGAAGTGAAGGAGGTTACTATGAAGTTTTAGGCTGAAAGATTGAATTATGAATCTTAAATAAGGTCTTTAAATCAAAGATTGTTAGAGTGCGAGGGAAGGATAAATTAAAAGCAAGAAGAGAATCGATAGTTATAGCAAAAGCAATAAGCAATAGAATCTGAATTGAGAGTTTTTGTTTAAGACCATGAACATTATAAGAGGATTAAGGAAAATGAATTACAAGAATTGCAAAATGAATTGTCAAAGTAAAGATAATTGTAAAATGATACATAGTTCAAAAACTAAAATTCATAGAATGAGATCTAGAGATTGAATTAAATTATTAATGACTTTAAAACTGAAATTGATCTTGTTAAATCTTAATCTCAAGAAATTCAAAAGTAATTTTAGATAGAATATGAAAATGATCTCAAGAATTTAAAATCAAAATAACAATATGAAAATAGATAATTATAGGATCAAATCAATGATTTGAAAAATGAGCTTTAGTAATAAGAGTAGGCTCTCAAGTAAAAAGAGGAAGCCCTTCATCAATAAAAGTTAAATTTGTCTTAGAAGTAAGGAGAAATTGATGGATTAATCTAGAAATTAGAAAATTTAGAAAAACTAAAGGATCAAGAAATAAATCAATATCAAAGTGAAATTGATAACCTTTAAAGAGAATAAAATTTATCCTCAACCAAACTAGCTAATGAAAAGAGTCTCTTAGAACAACAAATTAAATAATTGAAATAAAGATTAAATGATTTGGAGACTTAATAAATCTAATAGGAGTTCAACAATGAACAAGGAAAGCAAGAATTAGAATAGAAATTATAATAAAAGGAATTTTAATTGCAGTAACTGTAAAATGAAAGAAATAACATAAATTCTTAGTTGACTGTTTATAAATAGAAGATTGAGTAATTGGATTAGATAATACAAGAATTAAGAGAGTAGAATTAGTAAATAAGTTAAGAGATTGAGGATTAGAAACAATAGAATGAAAGTGATAGAGCTTAATTTGTAAAGAAAGAACTTGGCTTGGAAAATAAGGTATAATAATTAAAATAACAAATGATGTAAAGAGAACAAGAATTGTAATAGTATATAAACGAGTTGGACTCTACAAATAATAAAGTTCGATAATAGGAGTTAATTACACAATAAAGTTAAGATGAATTTAGAAGAAGGGAAAATTAATATGTTCAGGAAATTACCAATTTAAAACAACTTATGGATACTACTCAACAAAGGTAAAGTGAATATTAAAGTATGAGAGAGACATTGTAAGAACAAGTGTAAAGTTTATAAGAGAAAAGCTAAAATAAAGAAAAGGAAGTGGAAGAGCAAGCATAAAAGTATGAAGAGCTAAGAGATTTATATAATCAATTTATTGAAGAAACCAACTTAAAATTAGAGTATTATCAAAGAATAGAATACGGAGAGGAAGGAATCTGATTTGAAATATCAAGCAGAATTGGTATTTAATTAAGTTATAATTTTAGAACGCTGCTTAAGACAGGATAAGGGTTTTAGAAATTGAATCAGAAACTCTTTAATTAAGATAAAATCAACTTCTTAAGGAAAGAAGGGAATTAGAAAATTTATTGGATGAAAAATCAAAAGAAATTGAATAACTTAAAAATTAACTTAATTAGGATTATATCTCTAATGAAGAATATACTTCTTTATAAAGAAAGTTCAATGAACAAACAGAAGAATTACATTTATTAGAATAAAAACAAATTAAATTTGGAACAGAAAAAAAACAATTAGAAAGATAAATAGACAAATTGAATCAAGATATAGAACTTAAAGATTAAGAACTTTAATAGACTGATAATTTAATGAAAAAAAGAAGAAGTGAATAGGATGAATTAAATAGGAAGATTGATTCATTAACTAGAGATAACGCTAAAGTATCTCACGATTTATCAGATACACAAGCTTCATTAGGTTCTAAATTTGACTAAATAAATGCTTTGAAGAGAGAGAACGAAGATTTATAGATTTAATTAGCATCAGCAAAGAAATAATATGAGAAGGCATCAGAATAATTGAATAAAAAGAACTAAGAATTACTAGAAAAGTTTAATGATGCTGAGATTAAAAAGTCATATTCTTCTGGTGAAAACACAGCTGCCAAGGTTGTGACAGCAACTACAATAATAAAGACATCCCAAGTATAACTTAATACTCCATTAATACCAGAAGAAGAGGACGAGAGTTAAAAAGGAACTGAAAGATCTGGTTAGCAATTTAAGGTAAATTATTTTTATAATTTAATTAGACTTCTCAAAGATCTGAAGAGAAGTGATATGATTTATTTTATATATGTAACATTTTATATCTTTTAAGCAATTTATATGATATTATTTAAAATATAAACATTCAAATGTTTGAAGTACTATGATTGTTTTTCTTTATTAAACTGGAGTTTTTTTTCTCACAAGGTTAAAATTTGATTTATGAAAGTAACATCTAGCTGCTTTAGATTAATAATATTTCTCTTGAATTGATATCTTGTAAAATTCGTTTTGGATCACTATCCGTATAATCTTCCTGTTGAGTTTCTAATAATAATTTTATAGAAATTACTTGATCTTAGATTTTTATGAACTATCTTATGCTTTCGATCTGAGGCTGATCGATCGCATTCTTAAACATTCTTGGAATTAATTTTTGGCAATGATTCATTAAGTTCATTCAAAGTCTCTAGTTTGAATTTAATATCTAATCTAAAAATGATTACTTAATATAATAACTTTTATTGTTTTTAGTCTAAACTATTTGCATTCATGGCAACCAACTTGGCAGATTTCATTTTTGATCCTTTTTATAATTGAAAATTCATAGCATAAACATCTTTTAAAATATTAGACGGTTATTTCTTTTGTTTTGCTTTATTCATTTTTTATTTTATTTTATCCTGTACTTCAGTAGGAAGAAACCCCATTCCATTAAACAAAAAGTTATTAGAAGAGTGTTCATTTTTGGATCTGAAAATATTATTTATTTTTTTATAGTTCTCGATCTCTAAAGAAAGATACTTGACAATTTCATTAGTTTTTAACAATTCTCTTCGATAATTATCCAAAAGAAACTCCTTTGATTTGGCTTATTCTAAGAGATCATTTGTTGATCTGATATAATGTTCATGTTCTACCTATTATTCTTGCAATCTTGTTTTCTCTTATATCAATTATTCTTAATCTAATTGATGCTAATTATTCAAATTTTCAATCTCTTGCTTATGTGTTTATTTTAATTTCTCATTCACATCTAATAGTCTTTTTTATTCGATCTAATGTTCAACCTCCATTTATTTGATATCATCTTAAAACTTAAGAATAAGATCATTCTGACCATAGCCTACTTATTTTAATTTATTATTTAATTAGTCAATCATTGCTTAATAGATATTCTCTGAATCAAGCTACATTTAAATTTTAGCATCTTTTTCAATCAATATCTATTCTAATTTCTTAATTGCATTATCTTTTTAAATTAGATCCTCTTACTATTACCTTTGGATATCTTTCAATTTTTTTTCTTAATTAGATTCAAATACAATCTTTTGTAATTTTACTTATTCTTAGATTCCAATTATTTCATCATCCTTGCACTTTAAATGAAATTCATATTCATCCTTTTATCTAAGGAAATCATCATTTAGCTTAGCAATTTATATTTCATAATTGGATATGACTGTAGAATCTATGATTTAATTTAAATCACATTGGATTCCAACTTCATTATATAGACACCAAGCTCCTTGTGTTACTGATAAGGACTGGTTGTTTCCAGTTAAGTGCTATTAAAATTAATCAGTATTATTGGTTCTTTGCATTTGATTATTTACTATTTTGATAAAAGGAATTGGAGAATTTTAAGTTTCATCAACAGAAGAAGATCTTGACTATTCCTTCGATTATTACATCGATTACATCATCTCTTATTTATTATTTTCAACATATTATTCAATGGTTGTGTCTTCAAATGTAAAATCTTATTTTGATTAATATTTCCTTTATGCAGAAGAATGAATCTATGAATCTGGATTGCTAGGTTGTTTGATTGGTTCTCTTTATTTAGTTCCTTGTCTTTGAATTTAGGATTGCTTAGTTTGTTAATGGATCTTATCTGGAGATTGAGTTTTATTCTAATGTAGGTTTTATCCCTACTTTTTTGATTATTCCCTTATTCCATATAGCCCCTTGTCTTATTTGAGTTTTTTAATCTAGTCACTAAATAACATTCATTTATACTTTAATTAATCAATTAGAATTTGTTTCTATTATAAAATGGCCTCCTTTGTTTTAAGGTTTTCATCACAAAGGAAGACTTTGTATTTCTGATCTTAGATTTCCTTCTCCAAAGCTTCAAATTAAGGTACTTATCTCTCGACTTAGTATTGTAATATTTTGTTTTTTTCAATGATGTTGAGAAATTTGGTTCTGTAGTCTGAACAATCATCTGTCAATTTTTGAATCTGATTTTCCAATTTCATCTTTTAAGATTAGATCTTATATTCATATTCGTTAATCAATATTGCTTTGTTCTCATTCAATTTGTTACTAAACATCTCCAATTATTATAAATAAGATCTTCTTTCATCTTCAAACTTCTCCAACTATTCTTATTTTTCCAAATTCAATTACATGAGCAATTAATTCTAAATGAGAGATCTCTCCTCTAATTAATATTTGTAATGCTTATGGATATTGCTGATTTTCTAATCTAATTGCAAATTCCTTGAGCATATATCCTCAATTTTCATTTTCTAACCATTAGTTATTATGTATTACCATTCTATTTACATTCTGTTCCCAGTGTATTGACTGTTATTTATGATATTCATTTAAACGCCGATTTTAATCTATTAATGATTGTTTCTCTTAAAAAAATCGATCTGTCTCACATTACAATTTCTCTTTCAACTATTTTATAACTATTTATAGTTTGGAATTATCATTAGTGTTCACAACAATGGTGTTATTCAGTCTAAGTATCTCCTCTACATAATTAGAATGTCATACCCTCTAAAAGATCACAAATTTATTTGAAATCAGCCACAGCCTTAACCAAAACCCTATCTTCCCCATTAGGTCCAGTATCGTTGATTAAATTGCTGAGTTACAATTTCCGCTCCTCAATAAAGAAGTTAAGGCCGATAACATGCTATTTTAATTTAGTGTTTTCGTTAAATAGAGGCTTAATAGTCTTCTAATCATACTTTAAATTATGCTTAAAATTAATTAGCATTGAGTTCCAGGGCTTTCATTTTATGATTTGCAATTTCATCATTTTCAGGAAATTTAATTGAAGAGTTCATAAATGATTTATATATATATTTTTCAAATTTATTCAGATAAATCATATTATACTTTAGGAAAGCATTCAGTTTTTAATTGTTTTTAATAAAATGTTTGTACTTCAACATTTCAAAAGCAATCAGAATAATCAAATATACTTAGATGGCTTGAAGAATATTAATTTGGTTATCAGCTAAGTCATAATATTTATGTCTGATTTATTGAAATTATATTCATTATTATTCCTTTGACTAGTTGCATATCAAGCAAACAATTTTCTCTATTTTCCTTTACTTGATAAATATGAGGAGTATATACATTTAAGTGATCTAATGTAAGCTTAAACCACATAATTTCTTCTGACAAATTACATTTTATCATCACATACACCATTCTGCGAAGATTATCTATTTTAATCAAATAGAATTCTTAAATATTCACTCCTAATTATTTCCGTATAGAGAGAAATAATGGACAGTTTGAGACCATGATGAATGATTAAGAGAAATCAATAAATTCTCAGTTAGTTAAGCAAATACATTCCCTTCTTACAAATGAACTTCTCAAAATACACTCTTTTTATTGAAAAATTCCCCTTTAACTGCTACATCTACATTGATACTCACCTCGAGAATTCTTTATTTTTGATTTTTAATTATTAATTTAATATAAATTGAGACATTTCTTATTATGATTCCATTTAAGAAATTAGCAGCACTTTTTATACGTACTTTCTCAAAGCCAGTTGCCAATATCATCAAAAGATATGCTTTGAACAATAACAATAACAGATCATTTGGAAGAAGGATTGTCAGAAATAGTTTTATTTTTTTAGGAAATAAATATCATGCATTTGATACTTATTTGGAAAGAGCCTCTATTGGTTAGACAAATCAATAATTTTTTATTAAACCATTAACGGATGAAGCCGCATTTATGAAAGGTATATAACTGATTAAATTAAAATAGGCACTGATCTATTTTCAGATTTATTTATATATGCATGTGTTTTGGGATTGCCTTTGTATGAGATCATGAGACAATCAAATGAGTCTGCAAAAAAGGAAGCCATTCAGGATGAAAAATTGCACAAACTATCAAAAGTACGGCAACAATTTTGAGTTTTAGGAAGTTGAAGAATTGGAGTTAATTGAATCTAAAATAAAAGAGAAATAAATTTAGATAGCATAATTAGACACAACACTAATTGAACAAATATCATAAACAAGCTATCAATTTGAATAGCAAATATAAAACATCTTTAATGATTTAAATAAGAATTAATGAATGCATTAAATAAATTATTTCTATGCTATCAATTTTTATTTTGATCCTTTCTCATAATAGCCTTGATGAAAGCTACAACGCCATCGAATTCCTATTCCAACATTCTATAGTCCAAGTCTAATTACTGGATCACGGAACTCCTTTCTCTTCCCTTCAAAGCATGAGTCAACTGATCTAAAGCCTACTTAAATTAGGGACTAAGCAGATTCTCTTTAAATTGTTCGAAGCTTTATTGATCAGGAGGTAAATATCTCACATAAACTAAATTCCTTACTCCTTCAGTGCCTAGAAGTATTCCTCATCCTTGGCAATTTAAGTCAAAAATTCCCCACTCAGAATATCAGTTAGAGAGAGTCCTGGGCCCATTCTTGATGTCAATTACTATTAGAGCAATTGTAAAAGTTATTGTTATTAAGTTCCCAATTATTATTAAGGAGGTTGTGTATGTGATTATGGTTGACCTTGGAATTGCACTTGAGGTTGCTATTGAATTTGGATGGGATCATCCAAGACCTGAGAATTGATCACGTCGTTAAATTACTTGCAGTAATTCTCATCTTAGGTTTGATCATCAGACTAAAATAAAAGTGTGAGAATTACTTGCATCCAAAAGAAATACTTTTGGTCATCATCATTAAATCTAAGGAGATAGACTCTATTTTGACCTTTAACTTTCTCAAAAAATGTAGAACCTTTAATTAAGACTCTTTCCTAATTTAAATAGTATAAATCATTACAATTTCTAATTTACTATCCAGATCAACATTATACCATTTCAACCACAATTCATTTTCGTCATTTAAATACAAATTGAGTAATCCTTTCGCTTTTACAATGACTACTTTTTTTGTTTCTAGATTGAAATCGTACCTTCCACAAGGAATAGTTACTTCCTGAAGCATTAATTAATTAAAATAATCAATTCAAAAATTACTTTAAATACTCTCAATAATATGGATTTGTCTTAAGCATAAGGCAACATTCTTTCTGAACTCTTAGAATTGATTGTAATCCAAGTACATTGTTTTCTTGACTCCTTTTTTTGTATGGAATATTAAAAGAATTAATGGTCGAATAACCTATTCATGACTCAAAATTAAAGAATACTTTTCTCATCTTGATACTAGACAACGTAATTTCCAATTTCCACTCCAACTTAGAGAAATCAGCCTCAAAAGATTCCAAATTCGTATTTTCCTTGTATTGTGTCTCAATTATGGTCTCTTGTGGATTGATCGAATTTTCTATAATAAATTCAAATACAATACCTGGATCTGTGTAGTACTTTATAAAAGTGTAATTGTTTAGCTTTCTGTCAAAGTGGATGATAGGTAATACTTAATCCTTTAGATAAAGCATAATCTGTTGGTCGATTTTACTTATTTTTTCCAATGCTTTCGCTTGATCTTACTATGATCGCATAGCCAACTCTTTCAAAGCTTTGGTGCATTTGGTTACCAAAATTTTATCATCTCTTCTCAATTAATCTCTATATTTGACTAATTGACTTTTGTAATTCTTCTCTTGAAGCATCACATCCAAGGACACTTAGAGTATCATCTAATGATTCTCATGTTTCTTCAATAATTCTACGAATTTCATATTGTAATCCATTTGATATTATTAAATATGCCAATAAATATAACAAGAATTATTTCATAATAAAATCGCCCATATTTCTCAATTCAGAGATTCAGAGTCATTTCTCAATTGAATTTACTAAAACTCTCTAAATATATATGATATTAATTATAAAATGTATAAATTTTGTAAATAGATAGTTAAAATAAATCAAGTACCAGCCATTCTCAATAAAAACATCAATAATGATTTAGCCTTTAAAAAAGACTTTGAACTTAACTCTGAAATTATAATCCTAAATTAAAGAATCTAAAACAGAGATAAACATACTGATCTCTACTCATCAATATTCGGAGGAATTATTATTACAATTGGAGTCTATGCTATCTATGAAGTTTATTTCAGCAAATCTGAATAGCAATTGAAGAAACTTAAGTTCAGTGCTAAATGCTACTGCTCATGTAAGTATCATCATTTCAAGCCATAGCCTTTTACTAAAGAGATTTGACATACATTCTGAATTACATAAATGAAATGAAAACAATAGAAATCAAAAATACAGGCTTCATGATTTACTTACTTAGTACATTGAAACATTAAATTAATAAAAGCAACTATGATAATCTCTGTGTAATTTATGAAGAAGTGGCTAAGTTATTATTCACTCATGAAATATACATAAAGATGTACGCATAAAAATACTCTCAACACTTTGCAAATTTATTAGATTATGCTATTGCAAACAATTTACAACTCAAGGAACAATTACTCCTTCCATCCCTAATTGCATATACAAACTCTTCAAACATATTAATTGAAATTTAATCATTGTATATCTTAACTCAGCACAAACTGTAGGATTCCAAACACAAGGACTTATTTTAAATTCACTATTAAAAAGACATTTCAACAGAGTATGTGAATACAACTGAATTATTTGATATGCTGAAATCAAATCGAAGTTTATAGGATTATGACACTTTTAAATCACTTTATGAAAATTCATTGTAAACTGAGAAACATAAACTACTGAAACAAGCAGCATAGAAATAAAATTTAAGATTGTGATTAATATTAAATAAAGAGTGTTTAACATATTAAATTATTAAGAGACAACAATATATCTATTTTAAATATCAATTTATATAATCAATGAGGTATGAAATATACATATAATTGCTATAATCTTCGATTATTATAAATTTGGTTATCATATCTGTTGTTCATTTTGATTTATTTTGTCAAATTCTCCTCTAAAAATCCTCTGAGTTATTCCATTCTTTACTAAATTCTCAGATCTGTAAATTATTTAAGTATGTAATATAGTTCTTTTATTAAAATGTAATAAAAAGATTGACAAATACTTTTTAATAGTTATTTATTGAAGGTCTATTCAATACCACTGATCAAAATATATATATAAGAAAAATTCAACAATATCCTTTTTAGACCTATTTTTTGGACCGTTTCTCATATGCATTATTTATGATTTATCAAATTATCGATTCGAAGAAAATTTAGATTTACATATAAATAACATTTATTTATTCTTAATAACTATCCCTTAAGTATTCAAACTACTATTATTATGTAATCAATTTCATTTCTCTTCTTTGGTAGCTTCTACATGGTCATATAATCCTTTTTCAATAATTTCATCTGATCCAAACTTAAAGTGGTTAATGAATTTTAATTTTCCATCTAATTTTGCGTTGATGATAATAATAATTATAAATTTGCAATTCTAAAATAAATATCACTTATTTGCTAGACTTAATTACATTTAACTATGAATATTCTATTCCCTTCTATATAGTACGTATAATGATTTCACAGTGCAATTTTATGATATATGAATAACCATTTGCGACATCTCTAAATGGAAGGAAAGTTAACGTAATAAATATAATATCATGTTTAATATATCATTTGTTAATTTTAATTAATAATGCTCAACACTTCTTCGATTCAATCAACAAGTGAAATCCCTAATTTTGTTGTAATTGACAATGAATACATTATAATGAAAAACCTTTATAAAGGAAACACCTACAATTTATATATAGGTAGAGATTGAAAGCCTAGCTAGCTGTAAAAAGAGATTGTTCTGACGATTAAAAGAAATTCGTATTGATCAAAATGCGCAGGTACCCAATGCCCTTTTATTAAGAACTAATGCCTCAGAACAGAATTTTGAGTAGTACTTCTTAAATAAACTAAAAGACAGTAAAGTAAATTAATATATAGGTAAATGTACTACAAGAATTCTGTCTATCGGAGAATAAACAATTAAGGAACAACTTTATCATTATTAAATCATGGAACGTCATGGTCCCTCTTTAAAACTAGTCTATAACTACTTATCCAAAAATATTCCTGTAACAATACTGTGTTTGATGGCAATTCAGACTGTAAATAATAGGAATTTAAGTAGCTTACTTGTCTGGAGTAGGTCCACAAGCATTTGATAATACATCGTAACTTAAGACCCAAGAAATTGGTAATATCTCAAAGCGGAACTGAAATATTATTAACTGATTTCAAGTATGCTTGTCGATATAGGAAACAATAAAATAATATCTTGGTCAATGATAATTTACGCACTACTTCGAATAAACGATTTCTAAACAAATTCTCAAGTTTGAATCAACATTTAGAATAAGGTATATCTAAAATAATAGAATCAAGTCTCTTCTCCAAAGGATGACCTAGAATCTCTCGCCTTGATCATTGTATATTATGGCGGATTTGCTCCTGTCCTTGATATCAAAGAGGAGAACAGAGGGCTAAAAATTAAAAAAATCGAACAAATTAAACTAACTCTATTGTCAGAGCTTTCATTCAAAGGGGCTCCGTTAGAGTTCATTTAATTTTATAATGGAGTTAAATAATCCAGTGTTAGTGATTATCCCTAAGATTACGAAAAATACAAATAATTGTTTAGAAAATTATTGAACAGTTGTGGTTTGAATGAGAAAGATGTAGTCTACCCTCATCTATAAATGATGAAACAGCATAATTATGATATGAAGGTAATAATGGAGGAACAAGAAACTTAAGCGTAAATGGATTCTATAGATGAAGATCATAGAGTGTTCAGAAAGATAAAGGAATTAGATGATTAGAAATATCACAGATTAATTTCTTTGGAAAATTAAAATCAGAGTTCTCAAAAACAATGATTTGAATAATTAATTTATTTATTAATTATACCATATTGATTTTGTAAAAAATCTACCATATATTGGATAATCAAAACGGCTGGGTAATTGAAAATTAAAAGCTTTTTTACTTAGAAATAAAGATAAACAATATAAGAAAAACCTTTTGATTGGTTAACCTTATTTTTATTGAAAATTAAGAAGATTAGAGATGTTCTTTGAAAATACTCTTGTTATTTACTTGGTTTATACAAAAGATGGAACACAATTAATGATTCTAAAATTCTCATATGTCATTTGAGATTCAGGAATCCCTTTCTATTAAATATTTAGCAAAGTCCTTTAATCTGGATTTAGCCTCAGGACACTAAAATTCTAAATTCTCTATTTCCTTCCATGCATCTTCAATTATCTCAAGAGATCTTTTATGGGCGTATTCTAGACTTCCTGTTTATTTAATTATTGAAATAGCCTACAACCTTATTAATTATTCTCACTTCATTGATTGTTTCTTAATCTTAAGTGCGAGATTTTAAGATTTCAAGTAATCTCCCTTTTTATTGTTTCAAACTATGTATTACAATAAGAGAGAATTTTCCTTCATGGATATCTTCACCTAGATAACCCTTTGTTTACTTATATTTATCACCTCCATTCAAATTGAGAATGTCCTAAAATAATACTAAAAAGTACATCCTAAATTTGAAAAGCAATCCCGATTTAAACAGCAAATTCAGCCAACGCTTTTCCAATTTTTTCATCTTTCTCCAACACAATACATGATAATTGAGCTGCCATGCGAGCAAGAGCACCAGTCTTGTATGATGCCATTTTCAAATACTACTCCTCTGTAGGTATGATATCACAAACCTACTTATGCCAAAATATATCCCAAGCCTGACCGAAATGCACAATTTTCATATTACTTAAACTAACTTCCAACATTTTCATTTTTTAATCATTAGAGTAGTTTGCAGAATTTAAGAAATAATGTAAGGGAGCAAAATAAAGATAATTAGCTGCATTTACTGCAACGTCTAAGCCATACTTAATATGAACACATTTATCATTTCTTCTTACAGAACTATCATCCTCAATATCATCAACCACTAAAGTAGCATTATGTATCAACTCAACCAATGCAGCTACTTCATATAATTCTTCATGGGCTCGTTTAAATAAGTCTGCAATCAAAAAGCAAAATGCTGGTCTCCATCTCTTTCCTCCTCGGTCAATTAAGTCATAAATTGGATCGCTAATGCTCTATGATAGCGTTTTGACATCATCAGATTAAGAAAATTATGGATCACTCAGTTCAAATTTTTTTGGTAATATTTTATCAAAACTCTTGCTGTTTTCAAATTTTTTCACATCTCTCTTCAACTAAGCCATGAATTCAAGTTTTGAGAAAAAAGACCTACGGAGATTCCTGATGAACATTTTTAATCAAAAATAAATTTATTCAAAGTATATTTATGTTTTAGAATTTAACAGTGCGTAAAATATTAAAATTCTATAAAAAACAAGTGTTTCAATCTATGCAAATTTTTTGAACTCAAACAATAATTTATAAGAATAATCATTTTGCAAACTATCTATTTCCAATATATATTAAATCAGGACCTGCTCAATTAAGTGTCATCATCCAAATCAAATATCATATCCTTACAATCATTGTATATTTATTCAAGATGTAATCAGATTGTGATAGATGAACAATGAAATTAAGTGTGATCATTAATATATTGATTACAGACATCATAAATGACTAGTTTATGATCTTAAGTTCGAAATTACAATTAAAATGATTCAGCATTAAAATTAATGAAATCGAGATAATTAACTCCCTAAAGAGTAGTGTCTACTAATAAATTGAGAAAGGCCCTTTATTTTTATAAGAAAGACAAAGAATTATTAGACCTAAAAATCAAATTAAATGAGATGTGTGAATCTACTTTTCTCACTAACTCAGAACTCCATCACATAGTCCGTTCTGTTTCTAGAGGGAACTCCCCAACATAATAGAAATTTCGAATTCGTACAGAAACTACTAACATCAGTAGTGGACCTAAAACACCCTAACATAAGTTCAAAAAATTCGATTTCACCACAACAACTCATCTCTATTTCGCTTGATTATTATTTTAATGAATAACTTCAAAATTAGTTTCAATGCTCCCCATATACATATCTTCACATTTATGCCTCCCTTTAGAATACAAAACATTAGTTACACTTAAAGAATGTATCTCGAAATTACCAAATTTTCTCCATAACCTAAAACTACTAATTACTAATTCAAGAAATAAAATTAGTTTTTTAATTTATAAGCCATGTTTGAATTACCAAATCTTGTTGTTTAACTTTATAGCATAATCACTATTCTCTTAAGTTTTCTATTAAAGATTTTGGTTATCTTGCTATAAAAACTTACAAGAATTCATTAGGATCTTAGTATAATTCCAGAAAATGATAATTGTATCCATTTGTGTATTAGTTCTGTAATAAATTGTGTAGATACTTCTTTTATGCAATAAGAATATTTCAAAAAAATAAACTTCTTCGAATAAAATATTTTAATATTATAAGATAAAAATGTCCAATCATTTTTTCATAATGGATTAATCAGATTCAGATGTTATAAGGAACAATTTCTGAACATTTCTCCATAATGAAAAATAAACCAAATATCCTTAAATAATTTAATCTGAGTTTACTCGATTATTAAATATGTTCCATTAATAAATACTATTCATTTTTATGTATAGCACTTCTACAGAACCACAAACATCTAATCATAATCCAAAAATCCTTTTCTTCCTATAATATCTTGAAAGATCAAAAATTCACATAATTGTAGATTAATTTTCAGAAATTTAATTTGTTGAATCTAGGGTGAAAACATTTTGATAATATGGAATTCTATGTATAGACAATTTTGTTTTATAATTTTCAAAAATGAACCTTATAATGAAAAATATAAAATTTGTAACAGCATAAATTTTATATACGATATTTGTTTTAATTGACATAACAATGTCTTTAAAATAGGGTATAGATTTTTGTAATAGTATTTTAAATTTAAATTCTTTCGAAAAACTTGATATTTTTCTACATTACTTTTATATTCCAATTGTGAATAGTATTATTGTTAGAGCAAATAACGAAATAATTTATAAATATAATTCCCACGTGTGTGAGAGCAATTAAAAGGGAAAAAATGAAGTATAAAATCAATAATAAAAATGCCAAACAAAACCAAGATTCTGAATTATATGAGACCAGCAATGGCCATCATTCCAGATGTAGCTGAGCCAGAACGAAGAGTATAATATTAAATACGAAATTTAGATTTTATTTAAATATAGAGCTCTTTGGACAGCCATAGCAACATTGCTGTATTTGATTTGTTCATAGATCCCACTTTATGGAATTTACAAATCATCTGCAGGTGATCCATTTTATTGGATGAGAGTCATCTTGGCATCAAACAGAGGTACTTTAATGGAATTGGGTATTTCCCCAATGGTCACAGCATCTATGATAATGTAACTATTGGCTGGTGCCAAATTGATTGACGTTGATTAGAATGTAAAGGAAGACAAATAACTGTATTCAGGAGCATAAAAATGTATAAATACTAATTGATTTTCTAGTGTTGGGAATTCTTATTGCTTTTGGAGAAGCCTTCGCTTATGTCTGGTCAGGAATGTATGGAGATTTGGATAAATTGGGTGCAGGAAATGCAATTCTTATTATAATATAGTTGGTATTTTCAGCAATTGTCATGATAATGATTGATGAATTACTATCAAAGGGATATGGAATTGGAAACTCAGGAACTTCTTTGTTTATAGCTATAAATATCTGTGAGAACATTATGTGGAAAGCATTTTCACCAATTACTCACAAAACTGAATTGGGATTAGAATATGAAGGAGCCATTATTGCATTATTACATGGATTGTTTGTATAGAGTGACAAAATCAGTGCTCTTCAATCAGCCATATTGAGAGATTCATTACCAAACCTAACTAACTTGTTGGCAACAGTATTGGTCTTTTTGATTGTCATCTACTTCTAAGGATTCAAAGTCGATATCCCAATCAAAAACAATAAAGTCAGAGGAGGATTAACATCATATCCTATCAAATTGTTTTATACCTCCAACATCCCAATCATCCTATAGACTGCATTAGTTTCAAACCTCTATTTCCTTTCATAAATTCTTTACAGAAACTTCAAGGGCAACTTCTTAATCAGATTATTGGGATATTATCAAGAATTAGAGAATGGATAGACTGTTCCTATTGGAGGATTAGTGTATTATGTGTCACCTCCAAGATCAATTTCAGAAGCTATCTTCGATCCAATCCACACCATCCTCTATACTGCATTCATTCTTGGAACCTGTGCTGTGTTCTCAAAAACTTGGATTGATGTTTCAGGATCATCACCAAAAGATGTATTGCTTTTTAAATATATTCATAGGTTGCCAAATAATTGAAGGAACAAGACATGTAAATTGTTGGATACAGAGATTCATCCATGAAGGACGTATTAAAGAGATACATCCCAATTGCTGCTTCCTTTGGAGGTATGTGCATTGGTGCTTTGACCATTCTTGCTGATTTCTTGGGTGCCATCGGTTCAGGTATGAATTTATGTTAATTTCCAAAGGAACTGGTATTTTGTTGAGTGTTACAATCATATATGGCTATTTTGAAACCTTAAAGAAGGAAAAAGAATAGGGTACATTAGAGTTGTTTTGATATAATTAAATATTTTTTTAAGTACATAACATCTATGACGCAGAATGTGTTAAAAGAAGAAATAACAAATTAAATATCATCATATATTTGAGTTGAGTATCGGATTTTAAACTATTACATTGTACAATTTACGAACAGACGTAATAGTATTCTCAACTACACTCTAGACAATGAAATGATGAGGAGGCACCCTCAACAAACTCACGCCAGCAGTTCGGATGTCAGGAATTGTAGATTCGGTCTCACTTTGGCTACTGAGAGCCTTACGACGATACTCATTATAAGCGATTTTAGCTTCATGGTAGGTGACCTTCAATTCTCGAGCCGCATCTTTTAATTAAACACCTTTATTAATTAGAATGATGAGGTCTTTTTTTTATTAAGAAGTAAGAGGTTGATGAATGCGAGTAGGCTATACTTTCTTTATTTTTTACATTTCCATTTCGACTTGTTTCTTGATTTCGTCTAAAATTTTCATTTTGTAATTTTTACAATTCCATCTCCGTATGTTGTTTCCTTATATTATCCATATAACGATAAATCATAGTGCGATCGGTTAATTTTATGATGTAAAGCATATTTCCTATAAGAATCATTAACTACGTCATATATATAACCATGACATTCAAATCTAATCAGTATTAAATGATTATTCAAATATGTTGCGTATTATCAAAATTTAAATTTCCAATGATCTCTTAATTATAAAGGAAATCTTTCTTTTATAATTTATTTCGTTTAAATTCTCTATTAATCCTCCCCATCACTTATACTTCTATTAGATTAGCCATGAGTAGCTTTCAGGCTAATTTACTAATAAGATCATAAAATTATAAAATACTGAAAAACATCGATACAAAAAAGATCATTTCTTTAGTTAATATTCGTCAATTGCCCTTGAAAAGTGAATATCCAATTCTAAACCTAGGAAATCACTTCACTCTTTCATGAATTTTAAGGATCAAATAAAAATGCATATTGAGTACAATTTAACATCAAACTATGTTTCATAGTACGTCTTAACATCAGAAAAAATAAAATAAGAGAAGGAGCAGCAGATTCGAAATTAACTGTTTCAAAAATAATAGAACTTCCAGAAGTATTATAAAATTTATTCTTGGAGAGAAGAATAATTTAGTTGTCCAAATATATATTTTTAATAAAGGTATTTTTAGAATAGCCCTCCTAATATTATTCTCTTACTAAAAATATGACTCACCTTCTAAAGTTTACATTTAAAATAATAAATCGCATGATAAGTTTCAGCATTAAGCATTATCAAAAATCATAAATATCAAAGGCTTTTAAGGTTCTTCTAAACTATTCTAAATATTATATTGTATGTTCTATATAGACAAAACGTGTATCTTTTCATTTTTTAGCTCTAAACATAAACGATTTCATTGTAATAATACGTATCCAAATTTAAATAAGATAAAATTGGAATTTAAACTGTGTTTTATCCTAACGATCTTTTATTCTTTAATAAGTGTCAATCAAATTCTCAAAGCTTAAAGTTATACATGGTAATTTTGTTTAAGAACTTTCGAATATAAGTTGAATTAGTAAACATGTATTCCGACCAATGAATTTCCAATTTTAAGCTTATTAAATTGTTATTGTTTTTAATTAAATATTTTCAACCCAAATGAATATATAAAAATACAAAATCAAAGTCCAGCTTCATCATCATCATCGTTTCCACTAAATAATTTAAGCTATTCATAATTTCCTTTTTCCATATAAGATGAGAACTTCTTTGGTGGTTTACTACTAAACAGTCTATAATTAATTATAAAAATAACTACTTCAAAATCTTATCCTTTAAGAAATGACTGACTAAAAGGACACCTAAAAAGGCTAAAAGATACCATAAATACGAATTTTGTTTTGTAGTATTTGGTTATTAAGTTTGAGGGTCTTTAATTGATATTTTACTAATTTTGGGTTATTTGATATCAATATCTTGGATTTCAGTATTATTGAATTAAGTAGTATTTGCTTAGGTATTGGGACAAGGAGTTTCGACTGGTGAAAGATCAATTCCACCTTAGCAATAATCTCCAGAAACCTTTCTGTAGCCTTGTGTTTTCATGTAAGTCTATTTGCAATTAGCAGGGGGTTTTAATAAATCTGGAGTGTCATCCTCTTCAAATTTATCTGCGATTGGCACACAAGGTCCTCCTTCGATTTTTCTATAGAATCCAAAATCACATTCCCAATCATCCTCAATGCAAGGACAAGTTTCGATAAAGAACTTTTTATCAATTTCCTCTTGATTGAAACACTTGACTTCTCTCTTTCTTCTGATATATTTGATTTTTCTACCAAATAAACATTTACCAGATTCAAAGTTTTTAGGAATCCAAAATTCATAATCTGATTCAGGCATTGTTGGATCCCAAGCACCAGAACAAACTCTTTAATGAAGTGTTTAGAAATTCAAAGCTACGACATATCCTTTCAATTGATTCTCTTATGATCTGCTCTATCCATATACAATGAACTTCTATTCCATGTTTGAAGGTTCTGTGACTATGTTTTGAATTTCTAATTCCCTTTCTCCAATTTTCACCTCTTCCCATGAAAACCCTTGATCCCAAGAATAAATAATTTTATTAATGGGCTTATCGTCTTGTCCCATAACAATGAGACCCCCTCTATCTCCAATTTCATACATATGTGAACCCTTTCTGATTTCAAACCATTCATGACCTCCATCTCTGGTCAGATAGGTATTGACTTCGTGATCTTTCTAGGTCAAATATAAACCGGTATTTCCAACACCAATACTAAGTCCAGGGGCATTTTAACTAGAATAAAGAGGATTTTAATTGGCCTCTGTTCTTCCTTTCAGATGCAAAGAGCAGTCTCCAGAACATTAAATTTCATCTCCTTTTGAATCGATTTCTGGAGCTTTTAATGGATGCCATTAACCTCCTCTATCATAAGAGATGAACTAAAAAATATGAATTTAGTAATCGTACAGTTTTTTTGTATAATTCTAAGGTGGCAGGAGTGATAGAACTTCTAGATTTTGATTTCTCTACTTCTTGATGATCAAACACGTTGGCAACATAAACTCCTTCCATGCCTAGCATTCTCTCGAAGTCACAATTTCCAGTATCAAGCGATCTCACATTATGTAACAAAGATAGAGTGAATTTAAATCCTCTAAAATCACTTACGTATACATTAGTTAATCTTTGATTTTCTTCTTTATGAGAAACAGACAAAAATATCTATCCTTCTGAAGTGTCAAGGATTGTAAACGTATGTTAATTCAAAGGGATTGGTAATTATACAGGTTAGGGTTAGAATTTGTCTAAATAAGCCGGAGCAATTAGCAATTCATATCCAGTTTCTCCATCTTCGCCTGTAGTAAGAACAAAAATATAATGAGATGTTTGGAAGAACCCCAAAGCATTTTCTTGCATAGTTTAGACAGTAGCAAAATAGTCATCAGAGTAGGAAATAACAGATTTGCCTTCCTTCATATGACACACTATTATCCTTTAATCAGGAATTAGTTGATATTGTAAGAGCTTATCCCAAGCTGCATCTCTAACATAATTTAATGCTGACTTCCAAGTTTCACCTCCATCCTCAGTCACATAAATTGACTTCTTGTAAAAGTCCTTACAATTAATATCGTTTTTGCCACAGGGTTTATCTTTAAAAGACATAATCCATTATGGATCCATCTTATTCAATTTGAAATCATAAAGATCTTCTGAATGTGTGAACCTTGTATAAGTTCTTCCGCAATTCTTAGATTTATAACTAATACCATTTGAACCAAAAAAGAATATAACCCTTGAATCAGCTGGTGAAATATGAATACTTTCGAATTGTAATTATTTATTTTCTGGTTCCATCTTTTCCCAACTCTTTGTTTCATCCAACCAAGTTGTACCGTAATCTGCTGATCTCCATATTCTCCCCTTATCTGTAAGAATGAACAACACTTTTCTGCTCTCCTAATGAGTTTATTCAATTGTTTCATCATCCTTTGTAAATACAACAGATGATCCACACCAATATATATTAGATATTGGAGATTCAAGCTCATTAAATGAAACCTTCACTTCATTCTACCCTTACACACATAAAATCAACAGACCTAGAATTATTATCATTTCTTAAATAATAACACGTAAATTAATTAATATATGTATCAAAGCACTACTCATTCATATATATTTTCTGTTAATGAATAAAAATTATTCCTTAAGCTATACTATTTTAAGAAAAAAATCAGCCTTACAAACCCCAGAGCCTACAAAAATTGCATAACAATAAAGTTTAAATAAGTCGAGAGCCAAATCAATCACTTCCACTGCAATCAAGTTATTTCTATATTCTAACTTATTTTAGTAAACCAATAACAATAATAAGGCCTCCTTCAATAAATTTAAATAAGATTGATACCAGTCCTTTTACTTTTGCCAATAGACTCTCTAATGACGGTTCTACTGATTAAACCAACTCTGCCAGTCTTAATAGCGATCAAGAACATTAAGGAACTACCATACTATAAAAGAATAATTAAGACCAGCTTTAAATTCTGAAACGCTAAAAGCAAATTCTTGAGTATAGACTTAGATAGGAGACAGAATCATGTTAGCAATATTAATAAAACTATCATAACTTATAGGAACTTTTACAAAAATTAGAACATGCTAAAACAAATTATATTAATGAAATGAACTCCTTTACTTAATGCTTAAGGTTGGTTTTGAATAATACTGATTGATTTTAGTTTAATTATAATTTATAAAAATGAATATATATCAATATATTGCCTAGGTGAGTTCACATAATTGATCATAAATATCCTATAACTAATTATGTGTAGTTTTGAATGAAAAGTTTTCTAATTAATTATGTTCAACTAAGATTTCGCTCTCATTGTAAGATATATTACATTCATTAATGTTATATATCATTTGAGCCTTAAGACAATTTTAATTTTTAAAAATTTAAATCTATCTATTGTTATACTGCAAATATCTAAGATATTAAAATGTTTTACTTCTCTTGGATTGCTTCATCTTCAAATTTGACTAAGCAATTTCCAATATTTTTGATATAAAGGTCAGTCGAATCACTATTAAATTCATTACTACTTTTCTTTGAAGAAGACAATGAATTTATCGAATCCAACACTGCAATTTCATTAACATTAGGTCTCTATTTCGGATCATTTTTCATACATTCTAAAATAATTTCTGATATTTTAGAATGTTTATCTTTTAAAATCTGTGGAAGTATGCCCTTTTTGGCTTCATTCATCACTTTAATTGCCTCCATCGAAGTAGATGTAGGATGAAATAATAGTAAAATTATCAAACCTAACGCATAGATATCACTTTTTTAATCAGAAAAGCTTTTGTTTATTTTTTAATTAATCTATTCAGGGGCTGCATACATTCTTGTACAGATATCGTCATCATCATCTTGATCCTCAAAGTCATAAAATTATTTAAGTTTTGCAACTAAACCAAAATCTCCTATTTTCACATCATCTGGATTATTCATGAAAATGTTTCCAGGTTTCAAATCTCTGTGTACCAGCTTACATTCATTATGCAAATAATCCAATCCTTTAATAATTTGATCCAATATCATTTTGGCTTCTGTTACGTACTTCTACTGAATATTTTGATAGTCATCATCCTTACTTTTCCTGAGTTTCAACAACTGTGCATTTCTTTATTATAAATAATTCTCTAGTGTTTGTTGACAAAACTCAGTCTAAATGTAAAAGATGATTCTATCAAATTCAATCTTTTTTTCATCTTAGCTAATTGACTTTTTATTTTGATTAATAGGAATATGCTTTTTTCTGGTTCCTCGGCATTTTTGTTGAATTTCATCTTCTTATTCAGAATAACTAATCTGGTCATTTTAAGAATCTTTAAAAAAAATTATATTCTCCAGATCATTCCTTGAATTTTATTATGAGTCACTAAAATTAATATTATTCCTATCGAATTAAAAGTCGTTCGTCTCTGGCTCTTGTTTCCACGTCTTGATAGAATCCACCTTATTTGGCATCACTTCAACCCAAGAATTGAAGTATCTTATAATTTTGGGATGTGATAGTCGGGCTAAGTATTTAACTTCTGAAAAGGAACTTATTCATTAAAACTTTATACCTCTTTAAGCTCTTTCGATATTCTTCTCTTGACTCTCCTTCAAGTCTTTTCCTTTGAGTTCAATCTGTAAAATATATATTTTTCTATACTTCTTTCAAAGCATAAGTATTTTTATCAAGAAGGTTGCTTACTTTGTACACCTTAGAGAATCCGCCCTTTCCTATCCTCCCTAGCACCTTGAAATCCGATTCTAATCTCTAAAATAAAATATATAATATTTAAGTGTTTTTTATATAGTAGGAGCTGTTTTAATGAAAACAATGATTGAGTGATATACCTTAGATTGCAAGGCGGCTAGTTTGGCAAGATCGATTGGAAGCATTACGAATCAATTTATTAGAAAAATATTATAATATTTTAGAAATATTAATCTTTAGCTAAGTATCACATATTTTGTTCTATTTTCAAATCCATTATTCAACAATAATAATTCATAAATTTCAAAGTCAGTTATTAGTTCTCCTCAGAAATATGAATAATTAATATAAGAAAATAAGTGTGTTTTATTAAAATTAAAAATTTATTCTAACAAAATAAATCTTTTATAAAATATCAAAAAGAATTAATAATTTCTATGAATTTATAGTTCTCTTGATATTTTCTCATAGACTAAGAAATTTAAATAAATATGGTGATAGAGTAATTACTATTCTTAAATAATATTTTTTAAAATTATTTTATTTTAGAAAATAATACTATTTCAATTAAATTCTTCCATATATGATCCTTTATCTAAGATATATCGACGAATAAAAGTAATTTTCTTAGTCTTATATCACTTAATGCAAATAATAATGATCTTTTCTATTTAGTATTGTGTACCTAAAGGATATAAATAAAGACTCTACTTTGAAACATTTTCCAAATTTATAGGGTTTGTTAAAAATCATTAAATGGACAATTCATTCTGCATCTAATCACTTCTATACACAAAGATTAATATCTTAAATTCATAAAATCATTATCTTAAATTTGGTTATTTCATTTAAAAAAGAACTCAATAAAATAGTAGGTATTTCATATTTTTTGAATATATCTTTCTAATGATAATGATGTTTAACTATTTTTGATAATTACGAAAAGGGTAGTTTCAAAATCTAACAAAATTTTTACTATTTTGATATTCCCATAGTTCTTCAGCTTTATATCAATGCTTAGTAAATTATGTAGCAAAACTACTCAATCTATCTAATTCTTCTTCACTTGAATTTAAGGATAACATTAATTATTTTAGTAATTAATAATGTCCTAAAGGAAGAAAAAAATTGAATCAACACCAACAAGAGTTGCTTTGGTTTGCTTGAAGACTACACAGAATAATATCTAAATCAATAATCAGTCTTTATTAAAAGTATTCTCCAAACATGGCTCTATATCAAAAGTATTACAAACTTGTGATATATAATATAATAGATTTTAATATTTGAAAGAGGATAGCTTTAAACGAAAGTATTCATAGAATATGATGAAGTTGATTCCGCTATAGATGCAATCAAGTATGGATTCAATCCTTTATAGTAGATCTCTGAACAACACTAAAATCTTAAATTAAATTTCATGCAATGTTTATCACTCTAGGTTGAAATAACTTAAACTTGATACTGTTCCTTATACGAAAGGTCTGGACTTTACTAACCCTCCTTCTAATACTGGCGAGTAAATGGAGTGGAATGAGGAATAACAAGAAATAGCCAGAATCAATTAATGGGAGGACTTCTAATTTGATAATGATTCAACTGATGAGGTGTCTGATGAAGAGGAACCCTAGTTTTCAGAAGAGAAAATGATTGATATAATTACTAAACTCAATTAAATAGACGATGAAATTAATAAAACAATTGAAACTAAAATTGTGACAGCTTTGGATAAATTACACTAAAATACTATGTGCATTCAGGTATTAATCACATATGATATATTGAATGATATGAATTTCGTAATGAAAATATTTTGTCTCTTTGGATAAATTGTAAAATTTCATTTGCTATTTAGAAATATCTAAAATAAAGCTAAGTTTATATTTATATCAAATACGGATCCAATCAGTAATGCTAAAAAGCATTTACATTTTTAAAAGATTATTTAGAAATAAAACTTTAATATAATTTTGAAAATGCCAATGGTAAATTAATTCAACCCAATAATATTATTGATTAAAATTTATAGGAGACATTAGATGATTAATTGGCTATCTAAGAACTTTTCTAGTCATATAAAATTATTAAATAGCAGAACAATAGCTTAATCTAGATAAAACAATGAAGCAAATGAGATATTCAAAAATTAGTATTTCTCTCTTTTATTATCATCATTAATACAAATTGATATATTATATTGCTAATTATACAGAAATTGATCTGAATAGATTTTATTTATTGGTTCTAATGAAATCAATGAATCTATTTTATAATGAAAATAAATTAATTCAAAAAATTTAATTTTTTGAATTTAATATCTCTTTGGATTTTCATATATATATTAACATTTCATAGAATTCTAAATTTGATTATTTTAATATTTTAAAATAAAAAAAAGTATTAGAATACAGGTTTAGTCTTAGAAAGTATATTTTTTTATACTTTCTTATTAATAGAATATATATTTGGTTTTAAAATATAAAAAGAAAGTTCGAAAGCATCATCCTATGATTCATGATCAAAAAATTTTCAAACTTTACTTTAAAAAAAATAATATTCTATGTGAATTTCATAATTAAAACTTCTTGATCTCTTGAATTTATATCAGTAAGTACCATGCATTATTTATTAAATAAGTTTTAAATAATTGTATTACTTAAATTCATAATATTCTCTATCTACTAAATGAAGAATTCCTTCTAATCATTTTACAAACATTATTATCAAAAATAATTATTTACTTGTTTAATTATTTCTGGAACTGTAAATTACTTGAAAAATTTTTAACCGTGAGAACACAGAAATAAAGACTGAGAATTAAAGAAGAATTTATCAAATTAGTAAACTTTTTATTTTAATATAAAATTATATGCAAATAGCTATAATCAATTTAAATACTGTAGTAACTTCTCTTCATCAAGTGTAGTCTAACTAAAGTTATCTTATTTTTTTTGATTTTTAGTATTTGATAATTAAACAAAATGCTTCTATCGAATAGTTTAGTGCATCTATTCGATCAAAGCAATTTACATCTTTGTAGCTGTTATAGTGGGGTAGTTAACGTTGGGTGATTTAACTTTCATTGGGGAATTAGGTTATGAATGTGTTTGAATTGGTTGAATTTTGGGTAACAATTTGGTTGAGGGGTTGATAGATGAAAATCTTTAAGAGGAGAGTGTTTAATTGATATCAGTGTCTATTTTGTACTTACGAAATAAGAAAGTGACTTACTTGAATTATTAATTATTATTGTTTTTCATTAATAATATAAATATGATTCATTGGATGTATTTACTTCCCAACCAGAAATAGATGCTTTTTACCTAGAAATTGGAGGGATCATTTATTTCTTGGGTAATTCTAATATTCTTGGTGAACGAATAGAAAGAGATCGCTCACTTACGATTAAATCGTTTTTGAGGAAACAGATATGGGCAGTTTATTTTTTTTAGGTTGTGGTACTGGCCTTTTGAATTTGACCTTTTTCATTATCTCATAAAAGAATTGTATTTGCTATTGTATTCTGATTTTTTTGTATAAATTGGAGATTTCATTAATTGGTGGTGATAAGGGATACTAGTCAATAAATCTTCTGCTCATTTTTTTAATATATTTTATAACAAAATAAAAATATCAAAATGATCAAATTCCAAATTATGACATAAATATATTAAAGATTTTTAAATTATTCTTCATTTTATTTTATGATTCTTACTTCTAAACCTTATCTTAAACCCTAGAGTTATCAATGCTCTTTTCATTAATCAAATTTCAGCAAAGCTCAGTCTAAAATTACTTTAAACCTTATCAAGAAGTGTATATAATAGCAAAATCTTATCTGGTTCTTCTTAGATTAGTTTGTTTAGAGACCTTAAACATTTATCAAACTAATAATAATTCATTCAAAATAATTTGACTATATAATTCTTTAATGCCTATCTAACTTGAATAAAATTCCTTTAATACAAATTCTAGGAATGATATATTATTCTCACTGCTTTATAAAAACTATGCTATTTTTAAATAAGTTTTATTCTACATCTTAATTTTATTTTTATGTAATTGTAAGTATTTAATTTCAGATTTCAATATATTTTCGAATTCTAAAGTGAGTCAGTCTATTTTATAATATAGATCTTGTAACTCCCCAAATATCTCCCTAATTTATTTCAAATGGCATCTATTAAATGTTGAATACACAAAATATATTAATGTTTCTTATAACTTCAATAAATTGATATATTATCTATTTAGCCAATTACTAGATTCTATGAATCAAAAGTTTAAACAACTTAGTCTTTAATAAAGTTTTCTTTATAAATAATTGAATTAACAGTGTTACCTATAAAGGGATTTAGTTTTTGATATTTTATATAAATTTTATAATTAATCATTCCCATAGAAAATGTCAAACCATTTCCCATAAGACAATTTTGAAATTTTTGATGTACAAACAGCCTTTGAATACTTACCAGATGAAACAATGGTAAAGGGAGCGATCATGTTATTTCTAACATATTTTGAAGATGGAGAGGGATTTGATGAATTAGTAAATTTATATGAAAAAGGAGGTTGGTAACAAGTTGGAACACCAGCTTATTTGAAATTTGAATAATTGGCTCATTCAATGAAAGGAAGTTGTAGATATTTGGCACTTCATAGACTTGGGAAAAAATTAGAATTACTACAATTTTTTATTAGAGATGGTAAAGAGATATAAGTGGCATCAATTCTGAATGAAGTTCTCGAGTAATGTCCTTACGCATAAAGAGCAGTTTTAAAGTATATGGAAATGCCAGAGGACAAAGTAAGACACTATAAATTCGTATAACCATTTTATGATTACTATGGAAATGTTCAAATATGTCATAAACTCAATTACACTTTTCACAAATAGAAAAACAAGATGTCAGCTGTGCACAATAAACAGCCTTATTAACAATAAATGGTAAATTACACTGATTAAGATTAATGCAAAATATTTTGATTTGCATAAATTTTAATATTTATAGTATATAAATATATTTGAATCAATTTGATATAAAACATATGTTTTTTCCTATTATCATATATCTTAAAGAAAATTTTTGGTTTTTTGATAAAAATCTCCCTTAGATTATTTAAAATATGGCTAGATTATTATAATTTGAATGAAAATCACTCTTATTAATTTCATATAACTTTAGAGTTTAGTTGTTCTAAATAGAAATATATATTTAAAGGCAGATTATTATTAATTGGAATTAATTATAAAACAAAATTAAGTTATTTGTTAAACATAAATATTTCATATATACTCTAAGATTTTATCGCAACTAACTATTAAATACTCATCTTTGTAAGAATTTGTATTCTCATTTTTCATATTATCAATTAGATTTTCTAAAATAATTGAAATAATTACTATAATCTATATTTTCGCAAACGAAATATGGTTTATCATTTCGAATGACTAACGGAGTCATTAAATTCACTTTTAAATTTTATTTCTTTATGAATGGTTCCAATACTTAATCATTTTTCATTTTTTCGAATTGATCATTTAATTTAGAGAAACACTCCTTAGATTTTGTTTTTTCACATTTGGGCAAAGGCCTTTATGGTTATTGCAAAATTAAGGGAAATCTCAAAGTTTATTCATAGTTTTAATTTTTTAAGTTAGTTTTAAGTAATTTACTTTAGAAATTCTTATTCGGAGAGTGTTATGAATAATCATTATGTTTTAATTTAATTTTAGGTTAATTGCGTTTTACACAAGAAAGAGGTTTTAATTAATGACTAGTATCGCTTAAAATAGAATCGTCATTTTGTGTTAAATGGATCTTGCTTATGCTTGTCCTTTTTTTAAACTGAGACTAATTTTCTTGTGTTGATTTTTCTAATTTTTCTGAAGTTTATACAATGGGTAAAATTTTACTGCTATTCAAAGAGGAAGTTTAGTCAAATTCTTTTCTTTTTAATTAATAGGTTTCCTCAATTATTTAATTAATCGTTTTGTTGTCATCATAAATTTCTTCTTTAACAAATGATTCTTATGATGAAAAAGTCTTTGAGATGTCTGTTGGATTAAGAAATTTTGGATTCGAATTCTTTTTCTTTCTTGAAATTCTTTTTAAATCTTTATTAACAAATTATTAAACTCTCCTGTTAGTTTGACTAATATTAACTGATACGTGAGTCTTAGAATTATTTTAATTAATCATATTAATCATAATGTTTCGTAATCATCGTCGTAATCATCCTCTTCCATTTCAATTTCTTTATCATAGACATTAGTTATATCCTTTATTGGTTCTACGATGGATGAAGTTTATGGTTCTATGAATTCTTCTTTTTTATCAACTTCTTTTTTCAAAAATCTATCATCTTTAAATTATTTGAATATGTACTCAATATATCCACAATGGCTCTTTCTGTCTTTTTTTTTAATTTGTCTAATTTGGGTTAGATTGCTCTCTTCAAATCTATGTTTGCTTTTTTTGGAATGATATTCAAAGTGCCTTATTCATCTGTTAGTAATTATGATACCATTTCTATAACTTTTTGCTATTTACACAGAAATGAATACTTTATAATGCATTTCAATATTTTTAATATTTCTGGTAATTTCTTGTTCCTCTTTCCCAAAACATTTATTTTTGGGGAAGTAATGTAGAAACTTCAAATCTGAATGCCAATCTTTTGTTTATTTTTCAGGCATTATAGATTGACTAGAATTTAGATTATCGGGAAAATCTAAAATCATTTTAATATAATTAATGAGCCTGATATTAAAGCATCATCTAATATTACCGAATTTCAAACTTAATGAAACTATACCTTTCAAAAATTAAAAATCTAACTCTATCACAACGTTGAGATCATTTCAAAAAACTTAAACCACCCAAAAAATGCTAGACAAACCTTTACCAACTGTAGAAATGTAAGCCAATAAAACCGATATAACTTTTCCAGCTATAAGCAAACCTTATGCAAAAGAAAAAACTTGTAAAAGGAACTTAACAATTAGAACAGCATACACTGATGATAAAACAATCAAGGATTACTTGGATCATTTGAATACATTGAGATCTCAGAAAAATACTTAAAAACAAAACAAATTTAAGAAGGTCAGAACTGAAACTGAAATCGTACAGTATGGAGATATCAAGTTTAAAAAAGTAAAAGAAAACTCTACCAAAAAACCTCCTACATTAGCATCAAATGTCAGAAATCCTTAATCTCAATCATATATCAAATTTAGTTAGCAGATCTTTGCCCTTGTTTTTAGTTTGGATAATCTCAAAGTATGATCTGATATTTTATTTAAGAAATACATTAACAATGAAAGAAAACTATTTTAAGTGATTAAGCAACTTATTGGATTAAAAAAAAGTTTGCGCAAAATAATACTAAAACAAAATGGAGAAGAATTGGTAGAATTTTCAGAAATTAGTAAATTGTGTTGTGTCAGAGAGATATAGTACATTAATGGAGAACAGAAAATTGTTGATAAATTTGATTTATCTCTTTATGATGATTTAGTTTATTTGACAGAAACTATTGAGAATCTGCTATTAACAAATGAAATTCACTCTATAAATCGAATAAGTGATAATGTAATTATTTTCATCATTCATAGATTTAAAAAGAAACGGAATAAATCGTTAAAATATAGCATTCCATGAACATGCCCAATGAAGAATAAAAATTATCTGTGTAAACAATGTCCATGCAAAGATTTAAAATTCACGACGAAATTGATGTCATTGAATAAAAATTAGGACCTTTATAATTGATTTCAAGGTAAGTTAGATAAACATCCATGGTGTTGGGTAGAGTGATAAGCAGTTTAAATGAATGAGTAATAATTTTTTTCAATTCGCAAATAAATGATCTTTTAAAAACTTTAGAAATCTTTCCGCATAATCTCGTGGAGGTATGGCTGATATTGTAGGGCCATAAATGACTCTCTTCGATAAAAACTCTAATTTCTTCTTTGTGCTGAAGTTTGTTAAAATATCAATTATTCCTATATGCAAAGTAAATTGATTGTCAACGGTTACCATCTTACTAAAATTATCATATTAAGGATTTTCTGAATACACAGAGGATTCATTATCAATTTATTTGTTCCCCTTAACATGCAAACCTAATAAGAGACTGTAATCTATAATATCATTCTCTTCAAAGAATTTGCAGTCCTTTTCCAACTAATTGAAAAACAACATTGATTTATTCTTATTGATATTCAATTTCATATTCTTTTCTATATCTGCTAAGAAATTCAAGTCCTTTCTGGCAACAGTAGGATCACTTATTTTAAACAAATAATCTTTACTTATCAAAAGTATATCTTCCGTAAGTTGAACCCTTCAAGTCATATCTAACATTGATTTCTTGGTTCGTTGAAAAGACATTGCTCATTATAACAAAATATATAACTTTCTCTCTTAGCATAGTCTAATATTTTATTCCAATCTTATGCATTCCAAATAATCTTTATTTAAATTTTAATATTACTTTATAATCAGAGTTTCTGGGTAGTTTTTGAGATGGTAATAATAATTCCTCATAATTTATTTAAGAAATCTGAATTCCTAGTGATGAATTGTTTTTAAAGTGAATTGTCCATCTGCTGTATAATAGAAAAAACTTCCACTCTTTCCTGTTGATGTCAATTCCTATAAACAAGACAGATCTCCCTTTATCAATGATTGTAATATGGATTCTGGTCCAATACTTTTTAGATACTAATGATTATCAATTCCGTATATAGTTCTAATACTATTGAAAACTCGTGGAGCATAATCGAAGAATTAACATACTTTAAAAGAACTCTTATCACCTTATGCTCTTCTTGGTAGAAGTTCAAAGTAATATTTTAATTTGAAATCTTTTGGTCCAACTTCATAATCATCAGCTATATTAATACTACTTACTGCCATTTATATTCCAATCATCATATTTAAAACTAAATTAAAATTTTCATGTCCAAATGAAACACTGATTTTAGGTTTTTTCATTTGTTTTTAATTCTTAATAGAAGATTACTTCCTAGGTATATTTATTATAGTGTGAAGTCTTTATTCATTAATTTAATCTATGATGTCCATCTTTTATTGTTTCACTTGGTTTTGATCAATTAATTCTCTCAATCTTTACACTTCCTTACTGATTTCTTACACACATGAAATCATTGACTTATATTTGTCTTTTAGTTAATCAGTGCTCATTTAATCAACATATTAGTTAAATTGATTTTTCTCTGGATCTATTTCAAAGCTTTGATCTGTCTGATTAAATTGATCTTCTTCTCGAGGTTCTAAATTGTCTCCTTCAATTTCTTTCTATGGGACTTATTGAAATAAAGCTTTCTGTTTTTATTTAGGTTTTTATTATCCATAAAATGAAAAATCCTAATTTTAATCATTCTTTAAATGTTCTATTGATAACTCGTTAGAATGATTGTAATTAAAAGATGCAAATTACTCTGAAGTAAAGAATTTATTATTCGATTAATCATTATTATTGTTATTATGATTATGATTATTTTCTTCACTCTCATATTTAAATAGACTAATAATTGGAGAATGAAGATTTTCAACTTAACTATTTCTTACTTTTTATTCTTATTCGGTAGTTCCTTAAACAAAATGAGGAAGTTCCTTATCCTGCTTCTTATTGTCCTACTTCATAAATTCTAGTAAATGATCTAACTTTTTTTCGATGTTCTATACATATCTGGATTATTGCTAAATACTAAAATCTATAGTTTCTAGAGTAACACCTCTTCTAGCAAAGTCAAATATTTCTAAAAGTGCTGGATCTGCAACTACAGAATCCTGATATTATTGTAATGTAACTTTATCAGCTTTGTCAACATCCATGGTTTAGAAAATTAATTTAATTCTTTAATCAATCTGCTTCTTAGTTTCGCTGGTTAAGTTTTACCCAGTCATGGCTATCCAACTATTAATCACTCCTTACATTGTATCATTAAATTCGGCTGATGTAAAGCTTCCAACCTTGTTCTTATCAATCAACTTAAAACTTATCTCCGCCTTTTCTCTAGCATCTCCATGACTTACTTTATCAAAATATAAAGCAAAATCCTCAAACCGAATCTAATAGATTTCATTTAAAAACATACCTTACCATCCTTATCATCATCCATTATGTGGAAGATTCTGTCTGATAAATGCAACATTGTGCCCATACCAAGCAAACCCAAATTATCTCGAAATTAAAACTTAGTAACAAAATTAGAACCTTGTGACATTCTGGCAAATCGAGTTTTTAATTCTATCAATTCAGTTTCTGTAAGCCTTGTGAGTTTTCCTAATTTATTTATTTCTTCTCTTTAAGTGTTAGTTTTTTATTTTCTCGAACAACACATTTAATTAATTTAATTATTATAAATAATGTAGAGTGATATTGATAATTTTCCTTTACTGTCTAATATCAAACCTGATATTTAGTATGATAATTAATTTAAATTAAATATTAACAAATGCTTTTAATGAAAAAAATAAGTGTAACCAATAAGAAAGAACTATTTTGAAGAAAAAGTCATGATCTTTGATTAAGGTCAAGATTAAAAAACATAAGAATTATTTTAATGTAAAATAGTGATTATTTACACAAATAATTAATTAAGGAAAGCTTTAAATAAAGAAAATTAAAATGGAATAAAACGGATGATATTCGAATCTTAGTTTTGAAGTAAAAATACCTAATTAAAATAATATTAGATAAAAAATCCATTTTCATTTTTTACCAAGAGCTTATAATTCTTGATGAAAAAATATACATACAATATTATAGAAATGTAATTTATTGATTATTATTAGATTTTTAACTATTTAGCATAAAGAAGGCAACCTTGTTGTGAAAACTTAGTTGTTTTATAGCAGATAGTCATGCATTTTATAATGGGGTTACAAAATCTTGATTAGTCAAAATAATAATAATTTTGATGAGTATGGAAATACAATAGCTTTAGACACAGAAAATCACAAAAAAAGTTTACCTACCCTTTTGGAATTCAATTAAAAAGCTAAAAGTAAAGTCAAGTTTTCCTAATTTTGAACATTCATGATCTTAAATTATAAACTAAACAAGCGATGAAAAGATTGATTATATATTATTATCAATACTTAATCTAATTACTTGTTTTAGTGTAATTCTTTTACATATAAATTAACTGAAAAATATTTGCATTCTTAAAGTTAATTATTAATTCTTACTTGGCTTTATAAAATTTAATAAAATTTATTTAGTCCCAAAAATGGAAGAATAATTAAAAAAAATCGACATACTCATCAAGAAGCAGAACTTTTAGAAAAGTATTAAAAAACTTGAAGAACTCCAAAATCAACTCAACCAAAGGATCATAAATCCAGAGGAAATATTAGAAGAAGACCAAGTAAGTCATAATTAAGAATTAGATTTTATAAAGCAATATTTATGAGAGGTTTGCAACAATTTTCATAGATATTAACTAAGTTTATAGAGCAATGTAATACTTGATAAAGATGATAAAAATAGAGAAAGACATTTGTAAAACCTCAAATAATAAGGATAGCATTTTGAGACTCTGTAATTCATACGCAAAAATAGGTAATAAAGTATTTAATAAATTATAGGAAGATGTTGTTTCTATTGTTGCTATTATGAATAGACATTCAAATATTTGGATTATGCTCAATAATTACTCTAAGAAAATAATCTAACTAATACAGGAGTTTACGCATTAACTTTAACATAGTTGGGAAATTATTATAGATTCATGTTTCAAGACGATTTGGCAGAATAAATGTTAAGTGAGAGTATCAAAATTAGGGAAGAGCTATATTCAAAGGATTCTATAGTAAAAATTTATAATTATGTTAGGAAGTGGCTGATTCAGTACATGGACTGGCATAATTATTCTCAGATGAAGGAAAAATTCAAGATGCCATGCTCTAAATTAACTAAGCCATATCTATTTTGACTAATGTGTTAGGTTATGAACATATCAAAACTGCTAAATCAATTTACCTTAAAGGAAATTTATATCTTAGAATGAAATCCACTTAAGAAAGTAATAAAATTATTTGAAAATGTAGATTTAGAAAAAGCAGAATAATTGATAAATCAAAGTCTTCAAATTAACATAAAAATTATGGGAAATTCATCATAAGATATTGCTGATTGCTATCATTCATTGGGTAAAATTAAGGCTTATAACAAATGTTCAAATGAATTTGAAGTGTATTTTTAAAAGTCATTGGAAATTTTGCAGGAATTGTATGGCTAGAGTCATGCAAGCATAGCAATAATATTAAACAATTTTGGAAGATCATATTATGAGAGAAAATAGTATGAAGAAGCTGTAAATTGTTTTTAAGAATCTATAAAAATTTATACTTAATTATGTGGGGATATGCATGGAAATTTAGCAATTACTTTAAAAAATTGTGCTGATTGTCATAAGGAATTGGGACGTTTTAAGCAAGCTTACAATGATTATTCAAAGTCATTGGAGATTTACAAAGTATATTTGAATATTAACTTTAGAAAATGCAAATTAATCAACAACAGGTGAATTCAATTCAAAATTAAATGATCTAAATCTCTGAGAAGTTTTTAGAAGATTGATATCATTCTCTTTGTATAAAGACAACTAAACAATTTAGTCATAAAAATATTAACTAAAATTATATAATATTATACTTATACCCCCTTTTTGGATATTCAATTATAGCCATTATATTATAAACAAAATTAAATTATGAAGATATATAATAAATTCATTATTGATGAAGGCTTTATTATTATTATATAAGTGACTTTCTCTTTGAATTTTATTTTACTATTTACTAAACTTAACTGCTCTTTCTTAATTGATCTCTCTTAACAAACTCATCAACTTTTCTGAACTATACCCAAGCTTTGCCTTCCATTAAATTATCCAGCTATTCTTATTGATTAAACAAAATACTTCTTCAGAGATTTCTTTATCAGTATAACCACTTTTTTTAACTATCTCCCAAAAAGCCATCCATTCATCTTCTGATATTTGTCCGCTCTTATCAAAATCAACAGCATTGAATAAAGCCTATGTATTAACTTTAGCGAAGTTTGTTTTCCAAAATTTTTAAGTTTCATCTTTATCTATAGAACCTGAATTATTGATATCAATTCTTCGAAATATTTCTAAAGCCCTAGCTCTAAGTTTCTCATTCAGGCCTGTTGAATTTTTTTATGCTCCACACCCCATTTATGTAATAATTAAATAAATTAAATCCCCTTTACAATGAATATATGAGTAATAATAATATTAGATAATAAGTCATAGGATTCAATATCTAAATTATAATTACCCAAGTGGTTAACAAATTTATATTAATGAAAATAATTGAATACAAATATTTATAAGAAACAATCAAATTTATGGTTTCACTTCCTGTTGTAGTTCAACTTACACATATTCATTTCGCTTTCTGAACAATATAAGTTACTCCATTTTTTTGTATTTTACTAATTAGAAAATCAAATTTGTAATTCTTTTTAATTATTTTTGAAATATATATCATTATTAATCCAACATAATCTAATCTCTCTTTTCTAGCCAGACAGTTTTTGTAATTCTAGGTATCTATTCTGTATTTAATTAAAAATTCATTTTGGGTTAGTTATATTTAAAGAATAATCTAGCAATATTTTCTTGCTAGTATTCAAATGAGTTTATGATCAATCAATATTTATATGAAGAGTGTAATGAATTCAGTATCAAATTTATCATTGCATTATTGACTCTTAAACTTTTCATAAAGTCTCTTGATTTTATTGACTATATTTAAATCTAGCTGATCATTCTAATGCAATTGTGTTTTAAGACATAATCATCTAATCTTAGTTCCAACATAATAACTTGTTACTTTTTGGTTCAAGATAATTTATAAAGATTTCAATAATCTAATTTATAATACTTATTCTCTTTAAATTACACCAAAAGAATTTATGATTTCTTAAATTGTTATTATGTTTCATATTTTAGCCATAACAATTCTATTTTTTAATGGCACTTTCTTTTTTTTCAGTAATTAAATAATCTTTAATTAAGGGCAAAAAAAAAAAACAGCACTAATAATGATATCAACTTCTAATCTAATTTTTTAATCTAACTTAAAACATAAAGAACAAAAAGCATTGTCACCAAATATCATTTATTTATTCTAAAATTAAAAAGAACTCCGAAAATTACAACTTCAAAAGGTGTTAACAGGATTTAGTACATTATCTTTACCTAGATAATCAGTATAATTCAACGTATGAATAAAGGCAAAATATAATACTTTAAAGATTTCAACTACTACCAATATTATAAATGTATCATTAAATTTGGGTACACCAAAAATATATTTGATATTATAATAATTGGTTACTCTTTTATCAAAAAAAGCAAATGAAATATGTAGTTATTTCAGTGCATACTGTAAGTATCTTAATTATGCAATTATCTAAGTTTTTGAATTGTCAAGAATACACTAAAAGCTCTGAACTATAACTCTTCAATTTCACCTTCAACTTAAAAATCTCCTTACACTTTTCAGCCATTTTATAAGTGGATTCTTTATAAAAGGAATGATCTCGACTCTACAGCATCACTTCTATTAGCTTCAAAACACTGGCTATGAAGTTTTTAAGGCAAGTGGAAAAATATTCTGAGACTTTATGATAACAAAGAGGAAGTAATTTTTTATCTAATACCAATATGTTGATATAATTATTAAATTATAATATATGGAAAAAGTCCAAATTTTTTTCTTATTATAGCAATTATCTGGTTCTTGCAATTTTCAGAATTAAAGAATTTCTTCAATAGTTATATAATAATTTCAATAATCTTGAATTTATTCCTTAATGATGAAAGTCTGGAAAAAGGTCTTTTTTTTGCAGTGGACTTCGTGTATTTAGAGAAGGATTGAATTGATTAGAAGAAATTCTTAGAATTCGTTAACGTTGATACACAATAACAGAAGATTAAACAAAATCAATAGTTTATTAAAAATAAAAAACACCATAAAAAAATGGGGTTGCTACAGAAAATACAGGGCAATGGTGTGAATAATTAGGGCGAAGATCAGAATTTTTAAAGAATTTGAATAAAGTTGTTTATATGTAATTTTCTGTTAATCAAAATATTTTGAGGGGTCTGCATAATAATTTTCAAAACGAATTTTATAATATAAGCTGATAGACGTTAAAGTTTAGTATTTTTTCAAATAAGGTTGCATAGTGTTCATGTAAAATGTACAATGCGTTGGATTATAGTCTCAAAAGATATTTAAAGATTTTAGGATTAATAATAATTCGTCAATCTTCATATATAAAAGGAATGAATTATGCATGATTTTTTCATTATATTTAAAAAAAAATTCTGTGTGCAGAATGAGTGTTGCATCTAATTCTCAGCATGATGGCGAATTGAAGGAGACTCCTATTGAAGTTGTATTTATATCCAAAGTAAATTAGACGAAGTTCACATGGACAATGAAGAGTATAGAAAAACTGAAAGAGCTTCATGTGTTGCAACAAGGGAACTGGAAATCAATCAGTTCGTTGCTAAATGGACCAACCCCTTTGGAGTGTATGATTAAGTGGTAATAACTCCATCCAGATTAAGTAATGAATTTTAATAATGTAGTCAACTTCCAGACAACTGTGGTCACCAGAAGAGGATGAATAATTGTAAGAATTGGTCTAAAAATTTGGAAAAAAATGGAGCAAGATTTGTACAGTAATGAATTGGAGAACTGGAAAATAAGTTAGAGAGCGTTATTTGAATTAACTCTAAGGAACGATTAACTAAGAAAAGTGGACAGAAGAGGAAGATAAATTGATATTAAAATTATATAAGAAGTTTGGAACAAAATGGAGCTATATTTCAAGTTTCTTGAATGGAAGACCTGTATATTTCTGTAACTAATTATTTAGGAAAACATGGTCAAAAATCGATTCTATTCCAACCTAAAAAGAAGATACTAATGTGATTTAGGTGATTCGGATGATGAAGATTTATAAGAGGAATCCCTCAATTCCTTCGAAGAAGACTAGAGCAGGCTTTAGAAAAGGAGAAGACCTTAGAAAAACACGAAAGAGCCTCAAAAAATCAAAAAAGTTTAGGTGGCTGAAGATAATATAGAAAATTTCTAAAGAATGACAAGATCAAAAAATCAAAAATAAAATGAAGATAGTTCTAAATAATATGGTCTCAATGAGGACTAAAACAATGAGAATAACTCAGGTATTCATTATATTTATCATAGGTTTATAAAATATTGCAAGTACTCCAAGTTATTGCACTCCTCAAGCCAATTAAATTAATATAAAGGAAGAAAATTAATTAAAATGTGATCATTTTAATTATAATTCATCCAATGTTTAATAATCAATTCCAGCAATCAATATGTTCCCCTAAACAGTGTCTCCATTCATGTTTAACAATTAATTCATTCCATCTTATCAGAATTCGTTTCTATATCCATAAAATACGATGCCAATCTTACAAGATAAATTGGAAACATAGTAAGTCAAATAGATATAGTTTGACAAAATGTAAATGATAAATGAACTAAATTAATTGCCAAGAACAAACATTGTTAACCCTTTTCTAAATATTATGTAATAACAGTAATTGATGAATTTTTAAATTCCTATCTAGTCGTAATATATAGGTCAGGTTGATCCAATTACATAATGGGCTGAATTATGCAAAGTTTATAATAACCTAATATTGTAAAAACATTTGTAACCATGAGGTTAAATAAGAGAATGTAAACAATATATATATGTAATCAATAAACATATTATTCATACATTATTTTAAAATTCAATTTTTATTTATAGCTAAATTAATGTTACTATTTTTAAATTCAATATTAAATTCTATACAAAAAGAATTTAAGTCTATTCTTTGTTAACTCTCCTCAGATTCTATTTATTCTGATTATATTCACTAAGTTTTAGACAATCCTATAAATATAAATTACATTAGGAACATAAGTCTAATCATCCTTTTAGGAAAAGCGAATTTAATGTGTTAACTTTGGAATGTAATAATCAATCTAGATATTAATTGATATTATATAAATTAAGAGGAAAACAGATAATTTATGTGATTAAATAAAATATGTAATTAGCTCCTTTTTTTGAAGTTGCCATTTTATACCATTTCTTCTTTAAGCATAACTTAATTAAGAATACCAATAATTATGATTTGATTATATCAACAATGATGAAGAAATGGATTTTATAACTAGATTTAAGGAGGATATTGTTGGTAAATTTAAACTATGAAATACATCAAATAGATGTTTTAAATAATAATTATAAAATTAATATATGGGGAAAAAGAGAATTGTAGAAGAAATTTAGAATGAAGAGCCAGAGGAAGTCTAAGAGGTGAAAGCAAAAGTAGAAAATAAAAAATAAAAGAAAATTGCTAAAAATGAGAATAAAATAACCAAAGATGTTGATTTCATTTCATTCCTAAAAGAGGATATTCGATTTTTAATTCAACATAGAAATCAAGAGAATGAATAAAAGTAGTCGAAGGCTGAAGAAGTGTTTAAAAAAATAGAAGGTATATTGTACTAAATTGCCTAAACCAAAATTGGAGGCAGGACAATTCAATTAGTAATTAAATGTGCAGATCCAAATATAAGATAATAAATATTTTCAAAACTATTGAATGACAAACAATTTGGAGAATTATTATAATCTAAATATGGTCACTATATTGGAATTACTATGGTTAGAAATATGGTTCCTGAATTCAGGAATTAATTTTTCGAGATTCTATTCAAAAATGCTAATCACTACGTAGCCTAAGGAGATGCAAGCATTGTTTTAGATAGATTCCTAACAAGGGAAGCAACTACTTAATAGGTCAATAAGGTAAAAGCATTGTTTCAGAATCACAGTGAAAAAATTGATAATCTAGCAATGAAGATCATAGAAAAAGGAATTCATAATCATTTGCTTAGTTTACAAATTCTAAAAGTGGCATTACCAAATCTAGTTCCAGAAGAGCGAGAGAAGGTTATTGAATACTTTTAGCAATTGGAGAATCTCGATTATCTTAGACATAGAGATGGCATTTCAGTATAATATTAAAACTATATTTAGCTATTTTGTGCAATATTAAATGTGACTGACAAAAAAGAAAGAAAGAACTTTCTAAAAAACATATAAACCTACATGTAATAATCTTAGGAACACTTACACAGAAATTCTTAATTTTATCTAGCTTTATAAAAGGTGATATTTACATATGATGACACTAAATAAGTTAATAAATCAATTTTACAAGACATCTTACCTGAATGGTTAAATTCTATACATGTCTATAAAATAATCTAATCGATCTATTAACCTAAACTTAGAGATGACATTAAATTTGACACAATTGGTTTAAAAAACACAGTGAGTTTGAAAGATGATGAGATTAGAATTAAAGAACTTTAAGATTATTGTTTTGAATCAATCTTGAATTCTTTGTAATAAAGTGAAACCAACATCTTATTGGAAAGCAATATCAATTAATTCATTTGCTACTTTATTTAATATATCATTAAGTACTCACAAGTTTAAGCATTGGATTTCATCAAAACTTAGATTGAATCATTACTCTACTTCAGAGGTGACGCTATCTTTACCAGAGAAGTTGAATAAAATGGAAATTATTGGATATTGACATAGCCAGAAGCATAGAGAATTGCTAAATGTTTGATTTAACAATAATAAATTGCTGTAATTATATAAGCTAATAATATAGTAAGGCGAATTCAGTGAAATCATTGACAATTACTGCTAAAAAATACGGGGTCTTTTGATATCAAATTTGAAAGTGACTCTCATTAGTAAAGCAATCTATTTGTTATTGGCACTGATAGAGAATACTAATTTGAAAGAATAAGTTCTCGTGGAGATCAAGAAAAACAAAAAATGGATAGATAAGTTGGAGAAAACATAATCTCTCCAAATATTGTATAAATATGTATGATTTTGTATATTAATAAATATCATTATAATCATTTTGGTACTAGTCTTTGATATTGAATTTAAGAAGTTAATTATGTTTAAAAAATAAATGTTTTAATATAAGGTAGTAGCATTTTTTTGTCATATTAAATAAGCAGTCAAATCATTTGAATCTGAAGTGATCTCTACAGCATATTTAAGGAAAAAGGAGTTGGCAACATTAAATACAATGCTCTTTACTTTAAAGGATTAAGATAATTATTAGGAAATACGTAAAATGATCAAGGACGTTCTGCCTCCTGTCTAAAGCATTTCAAAAATTATAGATTTGAAAGAATATTCCAGAATAGCTTATAAATTGGATATGAAGAAAGATTCTTAGATATTGGAATAGCTTTTAACTTTGATATTGCAGGATCAATTTGGTAATTTTGTATTGAAGGACAAATTGATAAAACACATAATTCAGAGCATTAAAATAAGTATGCTGGAGCCAAAAGTAAAATAGTTATTGGAATAATTGAAATTGAAGGAATCTGAAGTTCAACAGAAATATATAAATATTTATATAGACCTCATTTAATAGAAGGTAAATTAGGGAAGGGAGAGTTCTGAATCATAGATGACTGATTAAAATGTTGTAGATTTAAACAACTAAGAATTGAAATCTGAAAAAAGAATTTAAATTCTAAATTAAATAATTTTTTCAAAATAAGTAAAGCAGAATCAATAAATTCTATTTGAACACTTTTAATAACCCAGTATTGAGGAGATTATGATCATTTTGCCACAAATTCATTTGTTTCCAGGAAAATTAAGGTCGAATTATACAGAAATTTTGAATAAGTACCTAAATTAATTAATGGTCTCTCCAAGAGAGGAGGGTAAAGTTTTGACATAGCTGAATTAAAGTAATTAGATCTGTAAACTTAGTGATTTTAAAGAATTCTGAATTTTTTAAAAAAAGCAATATCTCTTTTATTCACATATTGAATTAGATCTAAATGTAGGGGTTGTTGGAATCTTAAATAAATTAATTATTATACTTAATCACATATTCAAATAGTTTAGATTACTTCAGATAAAATGAATAATAGTTTATAGATTATATTATCAAGAACAAAGCAGTAAATATGAGTTAGATGGTGGCTTACTTCTTCCATCTTGCATAGATTTATAGATAGATAGGCGATTTCAAGGAAGAATTGTTAAAGTTTCAATGTACGTATTTTATGAATAACCTATCCAAATGTGATTCAAACTAATTGTTTTTGATAATTAAATCATTAAGAGTTTGTTAGAACATTGAAGAGGTCGTTGTTTTGAATAAATAGATAGAATAGAAAATATAGGAAGGAGCATTAAATTAGAATCACGATGCTCTTATAAATTTTGTAGCCAATAAAATCAAGTAGTCTTAGGTATTATTTATGCCTGAGACAGCAAATATGGTAACTGTGACATAGAAGAATTTTGGAGAGTGGTGTCACTTAATCTAATAAATAGGTGCACTAAAAACCCTAGAGACAGACCTAATCGATAAGTTCAAAAGATTACACATAAACTTCAGAGAGAGATTATCATAGAATTAATTATACTATTATTTCGCCGCATAATTAATCTGTGGAGTTCATGATGAAAGATACTTTTTGGATAGAATAAATTAGACAAGACCATTTCTATTAGTTAGGATTCTTTATGATATTGCTTAATTCCCTACACATCACTATGAAAAACTAAAGCAAAGAATCATTGAGAAGATAAAAGATACTCCAGATTACCTGACATAAGAGTTTAGTAAATTGGACAAAGGATTATTGAGTTTCAGTATTTTGGCAGCATCACTTTTTGAAGATCAATCATTTTATAATTATTTACTTGATAAATACAAGAGAGAAATAGAATAATTCACTGATGAATTAATATCAAACAATAAGAAGTTCCAGAGAAACAAAATAATAGGTAAGTCATCAGTTAATTTTGTGACAAACCAATCATTGGTGCAATTTTATCAGGCTCTAAGATATCATCATTGTTTAGCCAATGAGGAATCAGGGTATCTGATAAAGTTATAGGATCTCATTAAGGATTACAGTTTGACTCAATAGGAGATGCCTTCTTACATTGAGAGTGTGGTTGAGTCTGTTTTGAAGGAGGAGAAGGTGGAGTTTATAAGAGATTATTGTGAAGTGTTGCCGTTCAGGATAGACTTTTACATTCCGAGCAAGTAGATTGGGATTGAATGCAATGGGGTGTCTCATTATTGCTTGGATCAATTGAGGAGAGGGGATGTTTTGAAAATGAAGGTAATAATTTGATTGTGATTGATTTAGTATTTTGAGGAGAAGCTGAATATAAAAATCAGTGTGATTCGTTCTGGTTGTGTTAATATTTAGGAAATGGTGAAAAGCATAATAAAGTGATTGATATTTTCATACATATATATAAGTGAGTGTTTGATTGATGACAGAAATATATTATAAAATATATAAAGAGTATTAAGTTCATTAATTAGTCTTATTGAGTGGGGTTTCAAAAGGCATCGTGTTCTTGAGCAATTTAATAGCCTCTATCAATAGAACGATAAAAGGATGCTTGAGAGAGTTGCCTGTCTGCTTGAGTGTTTGTGATGGTTTGGATTCGAACTTCGAGTTTCTATTATTATCTTGGTTTTGGTTTGCTAGTACAAATGCCCATGTTTTTAATCGTTAGTAATATTAATAATAAATGAATTGCGCTGTTTGCGGATTAAATTTTGAGAGGAAAGATAAAGGATGTTAGTAAATGGAATGTTAAACAATGTAAATTGAAATATCATCGATTCTGTTATGGCTACAATAATTTGGATGGGAGTATGTGATCCTTGCTAAGACATAGCAAAGAAACCATTATGCTGTATCTGTGGATAGAAAGGTTTACTAAAACGACTCTCCGATTAAAGTGGAGTATACGTGCATGTGTCCTGTGCAATTTTCGCACCGCATATCCAGGTGATCAATTATCATACAATGACCTTTGCTACCAAAAGTTAAATAGACAAAAAAACTAAGGAGAAATGCTCCAATTGTGGAAAAAGTGGAGCAAATATCCAATGCCTAGATTGTCAAGCTTATGCCCATCCTCATTGCATTTTTGTAGAATAAGTGGAGAAGGCCTAAGAAGACATAGAAACAGAATAGTGGATCTTCCATTTAAAGTTTTAAGCAAACAATTAAGATCCAAATCAATTGGATGTGGAGTCAGGTGAAATTAAATGTGAGTTAAAAGAGATTCAGGATGCCTTTTGCAATGCCCTTGACAAGTTTTAGGACAAATCCAAGAAAAGAGGAAACCAGACACAATAATACAAGGAACATGTAAAAAACATTTTGGAATCTATTTTTGATAATTACACACTACAACAATGCAATCAACAATGGTCAGCATAGAATAAGATAGAGAGTTATTGTTAAGTGCATATGGAAAGTCATCGATTATTTTGTATATGTCGTAAATCTTTGAATAATAAGCAAATGGTGTAATGTGATCATTGTTATGAATGGTATCATTTCGGATGTATTAAACGTAAGAATGTAAAAGATGACAGCTACATCTGTGAAGCATGTAAAGGATGGAGTGCTAAGAGAACTAAGATAGATTTGGAAGATCCCAAATTACTAAACTTTGAAGATTTGGTTGTTCCTAAGAGTGTCTACATATTACACTTGATCGACTTGCTCCCCTTGTTATTATACATTGAGTCAATCATGAAGAGATTGCCGTCCATTCCTTTAGATGAGAATGACTATAGAAATATCAAATTTTACAAACTCTTCTTGGCCTCATTACCCATCAAACCTTCCACTGTTATCCAATTAGACAAGATTTTATTGAAGGAAAAACTACAGGAAGAATTAAAATAGAAAATGCACTCTATCATACCCACCTAACTTGAATAGAGTGAGCAATTTGCAGAAGAATTAGTTAAATCTTTTAAAATTCAAAGGCTACTACTTTGAATTGGGAGAGAACAAACTCATTAAATCATTTGTGTTGTCAAGAAAGGATATCAAAGCACAGATATAGAAAGGAATTTCTGAAGGATATTTGATGGAAGACACCTTTTAAGATTCTCAATGAAAATGTCACAGACAATCAAAAAATATTCAAATCTCCTAATGATAATCTAGGCTAACTCATTAATAGGTACAAAGTGGCATAGCAAATCAAGACTACTTTGAGATCTTTATTTGAAGCAGAGAGAATGCAAATTGAATATCCAGTTATTGACAATCAACTTGATTTGACCGTTTATAAATAATAGATTTTGATGAAGAATTAAAAAAATAAACCCAATAAATTGAAGTTGATGGATTTAAAGAGGATGGCCAATCATAATAATGTGACTTTGGGATGTCTCAAGATTATTGATAAACTATTAGAGGAACTCAACGCGTTGGAATAGGAGAACGTTCAGAGTTCCTATAAGAAGATTATAGAATTCCCAGTCAATAGTGACTCTCTCATAAATTAGTTATAATCTTATTTTGATTAAGAATTTATTGATGAATTCAAAGTGGAATTGGAATTGAAGATTGAGAGTTTCTGTAGATTGACTGAAAAGGAGTACACAGGAGTGTATACATATGATAACATCCAAAAGGCTGCTAAAGACTCGATTGTAATAAGGAGTGTGTATAATCAATTGTAAGAAATTCATTAGAAGTGTCAAACTTAAAAAAAAGTAACTATTTAATTTTGTCATGAAATATTAGATATGATGTCAAAGTGCTTATTAACATCAACCTATATGGAAACTCAAAAGGCTAAATTCCTGAAATTCAGAGAACTCTACAAAAGGTTGAATGAATCAATCACACTGGAACAGTTGGAGGAGATTGAACATGAATGCTTTTAACTTGGATTTGATATGGATGTAGAACAAAGGAGATCACAATTGGTCTAAGCACAGGAAATCATCCAAAATATCCAACCTAGTTTGGGTGATTCCTTGGAAGAATTCAAAAAGCTCAAGTCTCTTTAATTGGACACTTACATTAAGTAAACTGAATAGCAAATAGACTTTGTGAAATAATTATATTATTTGGTATACAATTCATATGATACATTGCCTAAGATGATTTAGAAAGTAAAAGATATCTCAGATTTAGATTTCAATAATGAATTAATTTACAAAGTTGCAATTCCAGAAGTCGTCTATGATGAAATGAAATCAGTAGTATTAAATTTTAGATAAATCAAATGGAGATGCGAGTGCTAATTTAATCCTAGATCAACCAAATCAAACCATGATCCAAGGGGGTAACAAAAAATATAATATCAGCCACAATAATTCAATTGTTAAATGCTGATCCCCAAAATCTAAGATCCATTCTACACTTAACAACTCTAGAAGATCAAGAAGGAATACGAGAGTTGGATCATCAATTTGTAGGAGTTCGAGAATCAATTGGCAGGTCAAGTTGCACCTCATTTCAATCAGCTGATCAAATTGATCAATAAGAACCAGTATCAAGAGAACAATTTGCAAACCAAATTGTGGCAATACTACATTTAGATGCTTTGGATGCAAAAGGCAGAAGAGTTTATTGAGGCTAAGGCCAATCCCTAGGCTTACAAGACATTGATCTCCTGTGCGAACATATGCAAACATAGATTCCAACAACGTCTTATTATTGAAACTTAAGGACCATATCTTCATCATGGATGACTTGGGTAGAAAACTGAAGGAATATTAAGAACAACGATTTCTGTGGGTTAAGAGTAGGGAGTAGATCAACAATTTGCAATCGTATAAATCTTACTATAAGTATTTGGAAAACAAGCCAGATGCAGAGTAGATCAATCAAATATACATTCAAGCCAAAGAGTATCCAATATTCAAAGTAAAAGACTTAGCTGAAGATCTGTAAGAAGTACGTTAGGTGTTGCAATAATATAATGACTTAGTACAAAAACAGCCAGACAATAATTTGTACATTCAGCAATTGTAAAAGATAAGGACCTATTACTGTTGTTGTTTTTTGAAGGTTAAGAATTTCTGTGTCTAATTGATGTACAACATGATAAAGTAGTAATCATTGAAATGTTTGAAATAATTGAATCCTACAGAGTAGATTTTACAGAGACTGGAAGAAATCAACCTTTTGGTTGCGATAGGAGGTGAAGAGTGGTTTTAAAAGTTAAGTCTGACTTACAAGGTGAAATAGGATAACATTAGCAATGCTGATTTCAAATTTATTGATTGTGTAAGAATTCATTATTATATATTTATAGAGTTTGTAAGATGATTTTGAATGGATCAGATGGATGGAAGAAAGTAGTTAGAATATAGGCGAGACTTTTGGAATTGAAACAAAAAAGCAATAGAAGGAACAAAAGATAAAGAAGAAAAAGTAATAGAACTAGAAAGTAATGGAAGGTATAACTGAAGACATGAGATAAACCTAAAGACTTGATCTCTAAGTGTGCTTTAAAAAGTGCTCAAATTGGAAACAAGTAAATGAACAATAGATACGCAATTTGGAAGCTCAGGTATTTATGGAATAGAGTTTCGATAAGGACAAGTACCTGAAAGAAATTGAAAAGATAAAAGCAGTCATTAAGCAAAATAAATAGATAGAGTAAATATTAATATTATCTTATATAGACTCAATTACGAAGAAATGAAGAAAGCATATAAACAATATCTCAATCAGAAGAAATCAAATGGTTAATAAAGCAATAATAAATAAGCCTTGTAATTGGAGAGTATCAAAGTGATTAAGAAACAATAGTAACCTCAAGTTCCCCAAATTGTAAGTGCTTAAAAGTTAATCTCTCAACATTCAATTAAAAGCGAGCCAGAATTAGAGAAGAAGGTGAAACCTGAGGCTCCTAAACAACCCACTATTATTGCTCAACCAATTCAAATAACAAATGAGGCCCTTCTATATAATCCAGATGGATAAATAGATACACCTTGTAAAAAGTTAAAAAACTAATTGATGAGCATAGGAGAAATTAATTTGTAAATCAAGAAAAAAGTTAATGACACACGAGAATCATTTCTCATTAAACCTTCACTATTAACTTATGAACATCATATGGCCTAACACTTTCCAAAAACTGAGAATATCACAGTCACTTGTGAAACATTCTCTCCTGTTAAAGAAGTCATGGAGTATTTCACATAGAGAAAACCTGGTCAATTTAGGATGATGATTGGGTGGTTGTATTCTAAAGATCTCAATGTTGCTGGGGACTTATTTAAATTGGCAGATAAGTTGAAACACTCTAAACAATGTGTTCGAACCAAATTAGGAGATGTTGGATTGACCTTGATTTACTACGATTACTTGAATAAACTCAAACCTACCACTAAATGGATTATAATTAAGGAAGAGTTAGAGTAAATTATTGTAATATATTCTTTAGGAATCAATTAGTCATGGACAATCTAACCAAATATCATAATTTAGAGAAATTCAAACCTCACTTATGTTTTGTGTATTACGTCAAGGACCTAAAGGATTGCACAAACACCATATTACCTCAACCTGTTCAATATATTAATGTGTTGAAACACATTCAATTCAAGAGAGTTATTGAAAATCATAAACTGCAATAGAAAAAATAATCAGGATAGTTGATTCCTTCTAAGAAAAAAGAATTAGAACCTATTTCCGATGAGGAAAACAACAATGGATTTTAGTAGAAATAAGACGTCCATTCGATGCTCATGGAAATTCCTGGTATCCTCAGCCTGTTAAATTAATGATTGATAATTTATATATATATTGGCAAAGGGCAATTTTTTGGTACTCTGTCTTTTATTTATTTATTATATGATAATTAATAATATATTTATTGTAAATGAACCCAAAAGATTTCTTTGAGATCACTCATTACTCACTATAAGAAATTTAGTAAATTCCACCTTTCAAAAACAATCTAGGAACATTCAATAAATAAACCTATACTGTCTCATCGGCTTAGACAGGCAAACCTCATTCTTTAAGCAAGCTCATCAATGAACCTATTTATTTTATTAATGATGGCCATTTGTATTTGGTAGGCCGAAAAGAAATATAACAAGGCAAAACATATGTAGGGTATTCTGTCCAATATTTGACACTGATTAAATACAAGGGTTTATATGAAATGGATTCCATTACAATTGAAGTATACTAAATCGTATAATTATTTAGACAAACCTAGAGTCTCTAAAAAAGAACAAAACATATCGCTAATTATCATCCTCATATTTTGAGAGAGTCAAAGACGGATAGGAACTATTAATCTTCAATGAAAGTAAATTAGAAGAATAGGATGAGTATTCTTTAAGTTACCTTCTGAGTTATAAGATTCAGAATTCAGCATAGCTAGTGTAAGTTATCTTTGCTATTAAATACATAGTTAAGAATAGGTACGTCTGGAGAAAAAGTAATAACATACATTCAAGGCATTTCAACCTTTTGAGTCTCATTATTCTATGGTCAGTGAGAATGTAAGTGAATTCCTTGAATTAATTAGTTTCCGGAAGTATTTTTAGAGTATCAGTGCCTAAATGTGTCATCTTAGCCTTTGGAGATGAAGAATATTGAATTTAAAGTTGAAAATATAATGACTATTCAGAGATTGGTATCTCTTATTATTCATAAAATCTAGAAAGACTACCAATTGCCAATTGTTTTGGGTTAGGATGAATGTTTGAAAATCATTTATCGAATTCAGATAGAGACATCAGATCTGAAGGCCATCTACACTGTATTGACTTAAAAGAGTATGTTAAATTTTATTAATCTTATAGAGGATTTGACAGAGTATGATTTGAGGTTGGGATAGATTCATTTAGAATGGGGTACTTGTGGTAATTACTTTGGCACATAAAAAACTTGTTTGGTCAGGATTTATTCTATTAATCTAAGACCTGCGAAATCAATTTAAATAGAAAAAGAAGTCATCACAACAATAGAAATAGATATTGAATTGGGTATCTTATTTGATGTCCCTTAAATTGATTTGGCTATTAAATTAGAAGAATTAGAGATGAAAGCAATTAAAATTGTTGGAATGAATTAAATGGTAATACTATTAGGTTTATATAAAATAGAAATTAAATTTTCCTCCTGGAGTAAGAACAAGAAGAATTAAATTAGATGTAGTTGCTTATAACTGTGGTGTTCATTAAATTAAAGGAATTAAGTTATATGATCCAAAAACTATGAAAAACATTTCATTTAAAAATTTTCTTTCAGTTTTTGTTGTAAACAAACAACAAAATTAAAGAACATAATAAATTAATGCCTAGGAAGTAAATTTATTGGATTTAGAAATAAATTAACCCAAAGTAATTTAAGAAACAAATTTGCTAGATTTAATTTGATAATTAAAATATAATTTATAATTATTTTCATTAAAAAATCAACTTACATCAATAATGAAGTATTCATATTATTTATCTTTTTTCTGAGTGCATTTTTGTTATTTTTAAGATGTAATTACTCTGATGATCCGATTGATTGATGATAAGTCTCAATAATCTTTATACTATTTAATACTTTTAGGCAATAACATTGAATTATAAGAATATATATTTATTTTAAGTGTTATGTGTGATATTCATTTGGCTTTCAATCTCTCTGCTCTACATAAAGAACAACCTAAGGACATTTCTTATCCATTGGGCTTATGAGGAATTCCAAGTGGACATTTGCCTGGTCCTGGACATGGTTTGGTCATGTTAGTTTTGATGTTTCTATGACAAGGATCACAATAATGGGTTGTACCACTTAACAAATAAAATTTAAATCATACTGACACCACCATAATGCTATTGAACAACAATGTCTACATTTGAAATCAATAAAATCAACTCCATGTTTTTTACATTTATCTTCAAGAGTTAATAACGGACAGCATTTGGTGCATACCAAGTCTTCTTACTTGAATTCTACTTTAGGATCTTAATCTGCTGCTTATTAACAATTCTTTAATCCTCCAAAATATGGCTTTTTGCATTTGAAGCATAAATAATAACAATAGATGTGCATAGCATAGTCTAAAGGTTTTTGATAAAACTAATGTGTAGGATCCAATAATTCTTTATCCTTCTCTTTTTCCTCTAATTTCAATCTCTGTAAACACAATTCCTAGACTTCCTTCAACAAAGCCTTTCCTTATTCAATAGACTTTTTGAAGTGAGGCACCTAGACATCCAAAAATTTGTTGCATAAAGGGCATTTCATAAAATTGAATACAATTCTAGGACCATTCCACTTGGCATCTAATTTTTATCTTAAACAATCTTCATGGAATATCTAATTATGATAGTATTCATATATACATGTCCACAAGTAGTCTGAACACAAGGCTGTGATTTCAATCCTTCTGTAAAGCATATATTACAATAGTCATCTTCATTTTAATCCTTGGCACACTTCTCATTAAGACATGGCAAACAAGGAGTGTTCTTTAATCCTTAACAAAAATGTCCGCAGTTAAATTTAATAGTGCATAAATTTTTAGCTCTATTTTGACATTCTTATTATTAACAAATTGTTTATAATGCTTCAGGCTGATTCTTCTTTACTTCTGTGGGTTAATCACACAATCTGCATTTAACTGCTGCCTTATTGATTTTATATTCTTCACAAGTCATGTTTGTATGATAGGGTACACTCATGCAATTCCGACATTATTCTGTGTGACACTTTGAGCATTTAAATCGATTTTCAATATAATGTTTCAGTTGTTCTCCCTGTACTAATTTACCATTCTGATCCTAAATCTTCTCCTCTATATTTCCCTTCTAGAAACAGAATCGTTCTTTGCAATGACAGCACTCAATGATATTCTAAAGGGATAAATTGAGTTTCTCAGTTAATTGTTCATAAAGCTCCTTTCCTAAAATCTATTTAATCTCTTGATCCTTGAATCTCTCGCCACACACACAAGTAACATTGCTTTTCCTAGGTAGGAAGTCATCCTTACAAATCTTTAACATGCAATCTTTGCAGAGGATGTGTGAACAATTTTCCAGATACCAGACTTTATCAAAATCTGAATTGGCTCCAAATTGTTTCTTGCACTTTTCACATTAGACGGTTTAAGAAGGAGTCTTCTGCAAAATTGGCAATTATTATTGTGAATCTTTTGTTTTTAAATCGATACTTACAAATCATTAGCATCATATCCAATCTAGACAGATACACCTTTGCTTCTGCTCTCAATACTCTGAGTTAATCCAGACTAGCATTTTAAATGTCCTTTCTTTCAATATATTTCATAAATTCGCTGTAAGCACTGTAAACAGGACATGCATCTATGTGAATCTCCAGCTCTTTCTCACATTTGTAATTGCAAGAAAAACCGCAAGCACAAACAAAAGGTTCTTGGATTTATTAGAATTATTGCATAACAATTAAATATCTACCCTTTTTATGGGAAGAGACTTTTATAAATAAAAAAATAAACCAGAATATTTCAGAAAATTATACATATCATTATGCTTAATTAACAAATTTGTTCGGAACGATATCATCTTTGTCTTTTTCGTATACGATTTTCAATACTCCATTTTCAATTCCAAAGTGTTTCCACTTCCTTTCAAAGTTTTCAGGAATCCTGAAACTCAGAGTGAATTCTCCATATTTCCTCTCTTATTTCTTGATATGATCACTTTGCTCCTCTTAATAGGGTTTCTTTCTATTGCCCTTGACGATTGTAACTACATTCTATCTATACATTTCAATATCTTCTTCATTGATTCCTGGGACATCCATATAAATAATGTATTTATCATTAGCAATAATATCAGTAGCAGGTGCAAATGAATCAGGTCTGGCTAATATGAGTCCTGATTGATCAATATTTGTTTGAGGAATCTTCAGTTCTCCATCTTGTAAATCAGCCTCCATTTAAACAATTTTCTTAACAAATTAATTATCAGTATCAATTAATTTAACATTGACTTCCCTTTTGAAATACTGTGTAAGTTTACTAGTGGCATATTGGAGGATATTTTCACAAACAGAGAATTGTCTATTAACTGGGACAAAGACTGCCTTTAGCCAATACTTCAACAAAGAGAAGACCCAAGGATTCACATCCAATCCCAATTGACTATCGTCACTGACTAAACAAACATGTCGTGTGTATTGTGTTTTGAACCAAAGAACATGTTTTTCTTGCAATTCATTTATTCTTGGGTTGGTTGCTGCAATCTTAGTCCTTTAGATAGAGCCTCCAGTTGAGTAGATCTAAGTCACTTGGGTTGTCCAAACATGCTGCAATATCTCAGCAGTTTCAATTTCCTTCAGATTGTGAACCACGATTATTTCTCTGAATGTTTTCGAACTATTTTAGATATACCTTGATAATCTGTCTAGATATCTCTGATCAAGGGATGTGAAATCATTTACAACGCAAATGAAATAATCGCTTAATTCGAACACTAGATCGATAATGAAGTGTTCAGTTGCTTCCTTTTCGACAATGCTCATAGCTGATTGAATTTTAACTGGTGAGTAACTTCCAGCAGTATCAACTAAAATCAATTAGGTACCTGAATCGACATCGACGTGTTTAAATGAAATTCCTTTGGTCGTAACCTTTTTCCCGGATGGCAAATTGGACTGGGTGAGGTTGTTCAAAACAAAGGTCTTACCCTTGTCGTACAATCCTACAACGGCAACCGTAGCACCTTCCCATTTGATTTGGGCTTTAGTATCGTTATTGGCTAATCCAACCAATTCTTAATTGGCCTCGAACTGTTTGCTTATATAGACTGTCCAGCCTTATTGAACATTGTTTATGAGATCAATATCGAGGATCCAATCGTAAACTTGTGTTTCATCGATTCCTTCTTGAGTATTGTATTTGATTGGGTCGTTGAATATGTTTTCTTGGATTTTGTCATTCAATTTGGATTACTCTTCGAAGTCGTAACTTGTGATGATGTTCGATTGAAGACTTTTGGATTCAACATTCATATTGTGATTGCTGTGATTGAATTGTAAGAATCTCCCAGTTTGACGTAAAGATCGAGTTTGCTAAAACTTCTCTGATGTCTCTAGATCTTTGGATAAGGTACTCATTTGTTTCTGTAGACTCTCTTACTCTGTCAGTCTGTAATATATTCATGCACTTACAGAAGCTCTTCCTGATGAGTGATTTCATCTAAGATCATCATTTTGTCATCATTTCTCACACTCATCTCATAGTTAATCATTTCCATGATCTCATAAAGTTCTTTGATCGTCCGAGCATCTTTAGTCATTTTGTTAAATTATTTCAAAATCTCCTCCTCCTCTCTTTATATGTCCTTTAGCATCATCACTAGAATGGCTATTTTCTATTTAAGATAATTACTGTTACTTATGTCTTGTCTGCAATCACTTTCCGCAATGGCACTTCCTGAAACAAAGAAGACATTAAGAATAAACAATTATTTTTTTAATCAAATGACAATAATAATTTATCATTCATTCCAACCAATCCAACAACTCAGGAGTGAAATAAGTGATGATGATGTCAATCCCACTTCTAACAAATCCCTCCATGTATTCCAACACCACTCTCTTCAAATCGAACAATTTCTTCTCCGCACCAGCATGTATCATTGAGTATTCCCCACTAACATGATAACAAGCAAGTAATGTATCTGGATGTCTTCTCTTTATTTCTGCAGCTATGTCTAAATAGGCAGTTATTGGTTTGACCATCACATAACCTGCCCCTTCCTTCAAATCTCTCTCAGCTGCCTACAATGCCAATTGTCGAGCCCCTGGTGGTAATTAATATGAAGATCTATCGAACTTCTAAGGGGCTGAACAACACACATCTCTAAAAGGACCATACAATGCTGAACAAAATTTAGATGAATAAGACATAATTGGAACTCTCAAATTTGGATGCTAGTCTAACAATTCTTTGATTGCTCTCACTCTATTGTCCATCATATCAGATGGAGCTACTATGTCAGCTCCAGCCTGTGCATAAGAAAGAGCGCACTCACTCAACCTTTTGATACTGGCTTGATTATCCAAGTATCCATCTTTTGTTAATATTCCGCAATGTCCATGAGATGTGTATGCACACAAGCAAACGTCTGTTATCAACAACAATTAGGGAAATGCTTGTTTCAATACTCTTAAAGCCTTGTGAACACAAGAATCCTTTCCCAAACCTCCTGCCATTGATCCAACATCATCCTTGTCTTCATTTCCTATCACTCCAAAAATCAGCACTGCCTTTAAGCCCTTTATCACCAAAGGTTCCAGAAACTCTTTTAATAAATCTACAGAGTATCTATTAATATTGGGCATTGAATTTATTGGTTGCTTCTGATTCTCTCCATCAACTACAAATATTGGGTAAACTAATTAGCTCTTTCGAGGTAAACAGCTATTCCATAATTTTTAAGTTGGATGAGCGAATAGAGGATGTAATTTGTCCATAAATTATTTTTATTTTTAGGTATATCAATATTTTATACAAGTTAATTTTAGATTTATTCAATTATGATGTGCTATTTTATGTCAACACTGTATGATATTATTTCAATTATTTCAGTATTGTCATGTTAAATAGATCAAAGGAAATGTTAAATTATATAGTAATTTTCTAATAACTTTACAAATTTATATTATCAAATAAGTTTAATATATTATAATATATGTTTGTATATTCATTACAATGATAATTTCTTACTTAGTATTGGTTTAAAAGGGATAGATTAATAATATTAGATTTAATTCGATTTCTTTTTTTTCTCTTGTCGTTGATGTTCTTAATACAATCGATCGAATGGATTGGATTCTAATTAAAATTAAGTCACATATGAATTGTTATCCGATTATGGTTTCTTAATTAACGATTCGGATTTCTTATTCATATGTGATATTGAATTATCTTTTACTTCTGAAACAGATTTCACACTGCTGTGATTATAGAGTCTTTCAAACACTTTCTCATTTTGTCTGCAATTACTTTATTGGTTTATAGCAGGTGCAAATGTGCATTAATCTAATTCAATTTATTAAAGTTCTTCTTATTTCAAAACCATATTATTCATTTTCTCGAAGTGATGATTATAAAGTCTCTCCTCTACTGAGATACCTTCCTATTATTGCAATCTCATCGGAGTGCTGATTAATTAAGGACGATAAGTAAAGGATGAATCCTCAAAGTTCCTGGGTGTCTTATTTCTTTAACTCAATGCATTTTAATAGAGTCTATCAAAGGGATTTTCAACCGATTGGTTGTTACCAATTGACTTGGTATTAATAGATGGTTTAAAAGTGCAATCCTTTAATTCCTATTTCTAATTAAGTTCTTAAACTATTTGTAATTTAATTTTAGAGTCCATGGCATAATTGTTCAATCTAATATGAGCAGGCGAACTCAACTCTAATTTTTAACTCTTCTTTGTTATTTAAGGTTTAAACGTGCACTCCTTCATAAGATGATTGATTTACTAATCTCGTTTGACTATTTGATTCTCCTCATTCAGTATATGCTATTCATACAGATGATTTAATTAAGAACTAGACTTTGTATGTATTTCACTAACTGACATCTTCCTTTATTAACTTTCCAATGGAGATTCTTACTTTTGATCTCCATTATTATTGTTCCATATCCTCACAATACGTGCAGACAATTCAATCATTTATTCTCTGTTTAGAGTAATCAAATGCATCAGAAGAGTTTCTTCCAAAGTGCTTTTTTACATCTTGAATTATTCTTTCTGAGCCAAGAGCCCAACATTTCTGCAAAAGTTAGAAAACTCGTTCAGATATTAAACCATAATATTTATATCAGATAATTAAGGTAAATTTATTTTATTAGCACCCTTGATACAATTGATAATTGTAGATCAATGTTCTGATGTTACATATTTGACTTAATTAATGAAATTACTAAGCACAAGAGTACTATGTATAATCATGGTTTAATTATAATTTAAATTAGCTTTATTATATATTACATAATCATATTTAAATGTTTAGATATAATATTTACAAATCAACGTAGGCTCTATCTTTTAGCTGTCATTTGTTTTAGTAGGATATAGCCTACTATCAGGTATATTATCTCAACTATCAACCATAATATTGCATAATTGTAAATGCTATCTGTGCAACTGGTGACGGCGTTCTGAACAACAGAAATGGCTTTAAGGATTCCTTAATTTTGAAAGCAAGTCTTATTCAATAATTATTGTGTGTATTATGCAGTTTTCTTTAGTCCTTCTTTATTGTTTAATCCATACTAGAATACAAATTATGACAAGATGACAACTATTGCCATTACAACTCCTAAGATGACTATACTTTTTTCAAGTATTTCATTCAACTTAACTTTGTAGGTCACTTTCAATAGGTTGATGTTCTTAGATTTTAATTTTGATTTGAATTGAATTCCTAGTTTGATAACAGCAAAAAATATAAATCCAATAGTGAATAGAATGAATGAGAAATAGCACACCACAAGTTCAAAAACCTAGATGAAAAGACAAGAAATATAGCATTATGAAAATTTATATCTTATAGCTTATTGGCATTCTTCGCCTTGATTAACATAGAGTTTTCTTAAGACATAGATTTTCATAGGGTCATCATCGTTATGATATTTCTCATAATAAGGTAAATTGGAAGTGAAGATATTGTTTTCGTTGATCAGCTAACCATGGGTTGTTTCAGCCAACATGATTGCATCATCCTTCCAAGTGGAATAGCGATCACAGCCAATGTATTGAATAGTAGAAAATGGATATGACAATTTAGATTATTTGTTTGGGCCTAGGGCTGTGTTGAAACATGGTTTATCTGGAGCAATAATTAGTTTGTAAAAGTCTCCTGCTAGAATATCTTCTTTTCTGGAGAAGGCATATTTAGAATCCATAAATTTAACACCATCTTCATGGAGATCGACTTCTTGGGCATTGTTTAATCCATTCTTACCGTTGGAATCCTCATATTGAATGCAATATTATCTGCCATCCAAGGTATACAGTTTCTGTTAGGCTGTTGTGTCCACATATTTGCAAGGTTTCAAACATTGTTGATTGGAGGTTTGCATGTTAGGACAAATGCAGCCTCGGTTTGTTCCAGGAAAATAACCGAGAGATGACATGCATGTGTCACTCTCAGACTTTTCAGCAATATTGGTTATTACTTACTAAGTTACTTATTTTTATAAGACTTTAATAACTGTGTAAGCAGAATTCAAATCTTCATAAAACTTATCAACTGGCAATTCTTGCATTATGAGGTAGCCAAAAATAAATGAAATGATCAAATTAATTAGTGTTAAATGTACAATATGATTATTGTTTTTAAGTTTTTGTTATTAATTCATAGCTCCGATGATGGCTATTCTTTGATTCTTTAGAGTTTGAAATAAGGTTTAATCTTCAAAAGGGTTATCCTGATAATTGATTGTTTGAATCATAAGATAATAATAATTATATTTTATTTTATATGTTTTGATACTCAATTGATTCATCATTTAAACAGAACCAAAATGCAAGTCATATTATCACAACCAGTACCCACTAGAAAATAGTGTTTAATATTTACATGAGGTATCTTTAGCCAACAATTAATCAAGCAATTTTTCAGTAGCCTTCTACAGATTTTGACTAGATTTCAATTCCTAATTAACAAAATTAAGTATTTATTGATGATCCCATGTTTCAAACACTCCATCACATCCCATTAATAAGAACCTGATGAATAATGAATGGATATTAATTACTTATCGGAAGCAGTCAATTGTGTTACTTTAACATCAGGTAATGCACTGATAATCTATTCTTCAGGCTTAAATCTGCTATCTTTTTTGTACTCCAAATCTCCCAAAGCTCTTGATAACGAAAGGTTTCCTAAAATATTGTTATATGTCAAACCGTTAGCACGACCATCAGAAACGAAACCTCCAGCTCTTTCAATTCTCTTTTTCTCTTAATCGTCATCTGGCTTGTGATCTTTACTCATGTCAAATGGTTTTCCATCTCTATTTAAAAATGACCTTGAATCTCCTGCATTGGCAACATACAAAGTTTTGCCAACAATCAATGCAACATTAGCAGTGCATCCAGCCAAAGATGCTAAAGATTTGGAAATAAATTACTTTCATCATTTACTCCTCTTATTTTATTCAACTCATCCTAACCAGAAGGCTCTTATAACATTTTATCAATTTTGAAAAATGTCTCTGTCAATGCCTTCTCATAATTTTTTTATTGATAGTTTTTATTCTTCATCAATTCTTCTCTGAAATGTCTTTCTGCAAATATTGCTACTTCACTTCCTCCGTGACCATCGAAAACAGCGAACAAATGGACATCTGGCTCGATGTTCATGTCTGAAATGTGGGCATCCTCCATTGTATTTCTCCATCCTAAGTTAATCACACTTCATACCTTGCATGTGAGTGGCAGCATATTGGAAAACCTAATTTTAGCCTGTAACTGTAGACTTCTCTGTTTTTGGTTGGCTTAGATACGGTCCCATTTAGACTTTATTATTTAAAATAGATATTTATTAATAATGTTCATTATTGCATATGCTCTTTAACTCAATATCTATTTAGGCAAAATTTAAGATCCACTCATCCTCCCCAATCACACTGGCATGCTCGTTGACATATTTTAAGATGTCATCGACTCCTTTAAAACTCGCAGAAATGAACAAGTAGATTTGCTCTATGTGGATCAACCTGATTAAGCCAATATAACTTTTAACTTTATAAGAAATTATAATTAAGAAAAGAGCATTGTTCTCACTTAAGACGCAATTCAATTGGACTACTCCCAATATGATGTATTTCCTATGAGTTATGCAAGCAGTTGTCAAAACCAATACTTACAGAAAATTATATTTTTATTTATCCCAGTCTTGTCGTTACACTTTTCTCTAGGATTGTATGGGAACTCTTTTTCAATTACATCATCATTATTTTCCCTTGGATTATGATCTATGCAAATTTTATGATTTTCTTCCTTTCCAAACAAAAGTACAAAACCTACTCCAAAAAAATACGAGTATCACTTCAAATTCTTGTTGGCAATCAAGAAACCAATCAGTATCATTATACTTAATCAAATAGATCTACCCTAATACTGAAAATCATGTTTATCATAATCACCTTCTTGATAAGCGCCATCATATTCATCGACTTTATTTACGTTGTTGGAAATGCAATCCAGAGACAAAATTTTAATTCACTTAATGATCTGGCCATGAATCAATTTCAATTATGCTCTGTCAAAAATGATAGATTCGTCTCTGACATGATTTAACGTTATCGTGACATCAGCTACCAAGAAAAAGACAACATCCAATAATGCATTGACGTACTTCATTCCATCAAATATACAAGACGCTCTTTAAAAATGAAGATGCTGTCATCTTTATAAGCGAGTTCTAATATGGACTCTTTCTCAAGAACTACCCAGAATACACCTACTTAAAGTACTAGTTAAAGTACAACTCTTATAGAAGCTATCAATTGCTATTTAATTCAACTATTGATTTCAATATACGGAAAGTACCATTACAATTTCACAATAGGACATCAATGCATCCATCGATTAATTGTGGCCTTAGAAATATGATCTGGATGTCCGGAATAAATATTTGGTCTAGTTAGTCTATGTTAAATCTGCAGTCGTTTCCTTAATCTTTACGAATAAGACCTTTCTAACTACGAGCATCATGATTTCGATCACTTCCATCCTCTTAATTTAAATATCAATTGTTCGAAAACAATGCCGATTATGTCGCAAAAAATTACCCTTCCCATTCATATCCCATAAAGCCAAAGTAATACGCTCCAAAGAAAATAAAACCAATATGAATGATTCACAAGTATTTATAACAGGGATTCTAGAAGAATTAAATAATTGATTATTAATTTGCTTAATTTAATATTTTTAAAATTATTATAAATATATTACCACTCTGGTCTAATTAAACTTTTATTTAATTTTTAAAGGAAAATATAGGCTTGATCTATACACACTATTATTAAACTAAATTATTATCTGTCCTTCATCCGCAATTATTAGAATATCAATTATTTTTATTCAAATTTTTTCAACTTATAATGCACTTTTAGTAAATTCCTTTGCTTAATTTAATTCCTTTGCAATTTATCATCATATATCATAAAATTTAGAAATGATTATCAATACATAAACTAAAAAATAGAAGCAATTGTTATTTATATTTATTCAATTGTATCTGTAGGTTTTAGAGTTGATTTCTTTGCCCCCAACTTATGTTATGATTTTTAGGGTAGCCTTGTCTTTTGTTTTCTGCCCAATCTAACAAGGTTTGCTAGAAGCATACTGAAACTCTTTTTTAATTAATTTTTTTTTAAATTACAGCACCATTGTTTTGGAAGCTGCATACTTGATGTTTAATTTTAAGGATGCCTAATCATTATTATAATTATTACTTCTCTAATTTTCATTCCAATTTAGAAGACTAATTACAATAAGGCTTACTTCTGAATTTGAGAAATCTTCACATATTATCTTTTATTAGCAGATCTCTTAACCATGGGTTGATGCGATGATAAATATTTTTATAAATTTTATGCATCTCTGTGTAATTTAATGATAAAACAGGGTAATAAATCTTTAATTGCTTTATATTAATAAAGGAATCATTTCTTAATAAAAATTATTTAATCATTCATTAATAAATTATAATGGAAGTATTTGATTATTGAATAAATATCATTATATATGTTATTTTAATATTTAAACTGCATCTAAATTTTTGTATATGTATTACATTAATTTGGTCAAAATCTGTCTTACACATGCAATTATTCCTTTTTAAAATGGATAAATTTGCAAAATCATTTCTCAACTAATGTTTTTTGATGATGCTTCTCTAAGGTTTTTGATCATTTGATTAAATTCATACAAAGGATATTTTTTATTATCTTTCTCTTAATTATACCAAACTTTAAAAAATAGTGCATGTCATTTTTAAGAAAAATTATGGAGAATTATTAGGATAAAATTTTTATATATATCTCATTTATGATATTATCTCAATCAATTTAGATCATATACTTTTTCGTTTACCTTCTCCCCACCAGTTTAAGAAACTATTTTAAACTAGCATTTTATTTATGAAACCTATTTAACAAGACAAGGCTTCATTGATAAATATTTAAAACACTTTCTCATTTATTTCTACCTAAATTGGAGGATGATGGTTTTAGCACTTGCATAATTTATCGATAATTTTTGGGCTGCCTTAAAAAGGTAATATAATAGAATACCTATTTTATTTTTAACCCTTCTTGAAATACCAGAGATCTCAGGGCTTCCTTATTTGAATACGACACCTTAGCATAAGCCCTTTTTTTTTTCTGCTGCTATTTTGGCATCTATTTTCGTTTTATTCTTTTAATTTCATAAATTCATCAAGAATAATTTTCCTATTTAAATATACAGTTCAAACATATCTTTTTATGTAATAATTAATATATATATAGGAATGATCAAATATAAGTTAATACATAATTACTGATTCTTCCTAAATTAATATTCAGTTCAATACAGTGAACTTTATTTAAAATATTCTTTGCTCTGTAATTTAAACTAACAAGTATTTAATAAAATTTAATTCATATCATGAACTTTAGACTTTGTTATTTTTGAATTTCAAATGATGCAACATCTAACATATAAAAAATAATTGTAATCTAATTATCTAAATTATTTTATATTACAATTTACAATGTTAAACATTTTTATAAATTTTTTATAATGCAACCATGAGATTATTTGCAATAAACTTCTTTAACTAATTTAAGAATTTAATAAATTTCTTTGCATACTTGCTTTTCAAGTAAAAATAATACATAAAGGATTTTATGATTTTAAATATAAATATTATATATTTATGGAAATAAATTGAAAAACAGTTTGAAATACTTTATATTCTATCCGAAGTTAGTTAATTTACCTTTAAGAAGTAGATGAATAAATATCAAATACATAATTAGAACAAAATATTATTATTATATTTAATTATAAAATTCATTTATAATTAAATAACAATTAAATGGTTATTGGTTTATGTTGAATAACAATAATAATAAAATTATTAATTATTTTGTGTTCGTTAAATGTTTAAGCACAAAAAATCTCCTTCACTTTTAGATACAACAAGATAATCTATTGAGAAATACAGTTTATTAACGAGTGATGTTTCAACAATTAAAAAACCATAAATCAGTCCGATTAATTTCAAAAAGATTCGTACCCCTTCAACTCTTGTGGAACCGCTACAAAAAACTTCAAGGTAACTATCCTAACAAATTTCTTCTGGTGCTTTAAATGAAATTTTGACTATTAATTAAAAGATAGCCGCTTTGTAATAAAGGAAGTCAGTTTTGCTTTAATAATTTTAGAGAATTGAGTATTCTGATGCTCGAAAGAGTATTCGTTATAACAAGGATTTTAATAATAAGTATTTCGATAAATAAAGCATTACTTAGATGGAAAAGAATTGGACACACTATTAAGGGTAGATGGATTAATAATATAAGTTTAATGGTAAAGGGGTTTTGTACTTTAAGAATGCAAAGGTTTTTGGAGTGTTTAAAGATGGTAATTTAGAAGGAAGAGCAACAATATTCGATTCAGAGTTTAAGATTAGTGTGGGATAATATAAATAAGGAATATTATAATAAATAGAATATCATTGATTTTATTTTTCAGGCTCCTCTAACTCGACATATTGTAATTAATAATCGTTATCAAATTCTTAATTATTTCCATTTAATTTTTATGAAAATTCTTGATTGTTCCTAAGGATATATTTTAATGCATCCTATGCAGCAGTTTGCTTTCTATTTCTAATTTTTTCTTCCTTAGAATATTATATATATAAATTACAATTTGCACTAATTATTGGTCCTTCTATTCTTTTTTTAAATATCGTATCATCGCATGTTTTTTGATTAAATTAATGACAATGATTTTCTAGCCGATTTGTTTAAATAGCAACTTGGCTCTTAACCTTTCATTCAAGGCCAATTTCCTAAGACATCGGATATTAGCAACTTTCTAAATATGATAATCTAAAATACTCTTTGAATTTATTCAATATTGACAAATAAGACAGGCAGAAGTACAATAAACAATTTCCAAGCCATCCACAAAGCATATATGACATTGATGATAGCAAGCAAGATTTCAAAAAAAATGATAATTGGGGCATTTGGATCCGTATTTTGATTTTTTAGAGTTGCAATGACTAATGCAATGTAAATAGTGCCAAAGGCAGTGAAACTCGATATTACATTAACAAAGTTTTGTCTTTTATAACCATAAGGCTAGGTGGCAAAGGAAGCTATTCCATACATCAAAACAATAATTAGACATGATTCAGCCATGTAGGTGGTGTCATAAAAGAATATTTCGATGGCAGTTTGAATTAATATCTTTTCTAAAAGTCTAACAAATTCCCAATAATAATATTTTTCAGTGAATTCTCCATTGATGTAATAATATTTGTATTTTCTTAATGGTCTTTTGTCTTTTTTCCTCATATCATTTCTAATATTATAAAGAAGCATGGCAGGGATATAAACAACAAAAAACAATAAACATGGTATAGAAATAAACAAAGTGTAGAAGAAATGTTCAGTTCCATAGCAATCTTAATTTAGGTCTGGTTTGAGATATCTCCCATCTCCAATGGATTTGCAATTCAATAATTGAAGTGTTTTCTCATAAAAACTAGGTAAATAAAATAGCCAAATGATCAACCAAGTGGCAGTGTAATAGATTCCTCTTTTAATCTTTTGATTTCTAAACAGAATCCACCATATAAACATAAAAATTACCATGGAAGATATGGGCTTTAAAACCTCAATGATATAGTTGACATAGACCATTGGTACATAATCATTAACATTTATCATAGGGCATTCTAAAGAGAAATCAAAGATAGAAGAATCTGAAGTGTCCTAAACCTGAGATGGGATATCCACGACTATTTTGCTAACTAATGATATCTTTTAATAATAAGCAAGGAAGATCTTCAATAATGAATTCAAATCTTTGACTTACCCTAAATTAGATCCAATTTTCTTTAAAGGTGGCAACATTTGATTTAAACATGGTAAAACACACAATATAACAACATCTTGAGCCAAGAAGAATATTGACATTGTGAAATAAAGGAAGATTCCAACACTACTTAATAATATGATGGCAATCGGCCAATCAACTTAGGAACATAAAATACAAATTGATCTGGAGTCCCTTGCATAATTGTTCTGATAATCACAAGCCTAACACATTCTACCTGTATACCCATCTCCGCATTAATCTTATGTTATACCACCTACACAATCACTGAACTCCGGATCGCATTTGTATATTTATAAAGTAGTGATATTCTCCCTCCAATATACTGGTTCCAAATTTGTTTAAGCTCCACCAAAACACTAGATCCTGTATTTGCTTACAAGAGGACAAACTTAGCATTGACCTTTGTCTTCTGGAGTTGGTAAGTCAAAAGAGTAAAACCCTTGAGGACATTAATAGCAAACAGTATAATTATCAAAGCTTTGCCAAATTTCACCATATAAACATTTTCTGAATACCACAAAGAATGTATAATTGTAATTGCTTACATAGTAGTACTTGTATTTAGATAATGATTTAATTTAATCAGTAGTTATATAGAATGGATATTCGGTCTCAGGGATACCAATAGCTGTAAGATTTTACAGAGTGAAGAATCCTTCTTTGAATCTCACTTCATTATTGCCTCTACTTGGATCTGAAATACTTAAAGAGTAATTTTCTGATCCAGATGGATATATTTTTAGATAAGCTTAGTCATCATACATAGTCTGATTATTTGATGATTTCAAAATAAATCTTAAGGGGTATTGCACAGTATCCCCACTCTTAAAGTATTTTAAAAAATACTAACCATTATTCGAATAAGGTATAAAATAATATCCCTAAACAGGCTCTAAAGATTCATCGTAAACATAGTTATTTGGCATTTCCGGATCTAAAGGACTCGTCAGAAACAAGGCTGATGGATATGAGCTTATGTTATCCCCCTCTATAAATGCTGAGTTGTTGATAAAAGTAGTGAGTTTATCAATTAATGGATTGAATACAAGTGTCTTTAAGGCTCCTCCATATTTCTAAGCAACATTATTAATAAATTAGGATTGGTTAATATATACTACAGGATTATCTTAAACCTAGTTGATATCAAATGATTGATTGAATGAATTGATATACACACACCCTCCTGAGTCAGCTGCGATATTATTCTAAAATAGAGTATTTAGTATAGTCATTGAAGATACATTCTGCAAATCAGCAAGGATTGTACCTCCTGAACTATTTACGTAATTATGATCAAATATTAAGGAATCAAAAACGGCCCATTATTGCTTCAATGTTAAATAAAAGCAACCTCCATAATTACCTCGACTGTCAATGCATGATCCACCAATCATGTAGCTATATGAGGTTTTTATGTAGAAACCAGAAGAAACACATT